TATGTTGTTGTTGACTCTAGTGTTTCTGACTCTGTTTACTCTGGTGTTGTTAGCTTAGGTGCTAGCCTTGCTCAGTTGCCTGTTGCTAGTGTAGGTTCTTGTGTAGACTCTAGTCCAGCGCCTACCTCGGAGGACACTTCGCTGTCGTTCACGCTGGACTCTGGAGCCTCGCACTGCTTCTTTCGTGACAGCACGACACTTACACCACTTCCTGCGCCTGTCTCTGTGGCGCTGGCTGATCCCACCTCGGGACCAGTCACTGCGCGTCACACTACCACCTTGCCGTGTCCTGCTGCTCCCTCCGGGTCTCTCACTGGGTTTCACGTCCCCTCGTTCTCCCGGAACTTGGTGGGCGTGCGACCCCTCGTGAGTCAGCACGTGGGTGTGTGGTTTGAGCCTTCTGGAGAGACTGCGGTGTGTGTTGACGGAGACTCTTACCAGCCTCTGGCCACCTTTGCTGCTGAGCCGGGCTCCGGTCTCTACACTCTTCACACTGGCCCGCTGGCGCAGCAGCAGCCGCAGCAGCAGCCGCTCCTACTGCCCCCGGCCCCTGTTCCGCCCTCCGCTCGAGTCCCCGCGTCTCACCAGGTTGCTCCTTCCCCCCAGGTAGCTGTGTCTGGTCAGGTTCCTGCGTCTGGTCCAGTCGCTGCGTCGTGCTCCTGCCGGTCCCTTGCCCACCCCACCGTCCTGTGGCACCACCGGATGGGGCACCCGTCCCTTCCTCGTCTGCGCGCTATGTCTAGTCAGCGTCTTGTCTTAGGCCTCCCGCGTGTCTTGCCGTCGCTGCCGCCTTCGCTTGCGCCGCCGTGCGGTCCCTGCGTCGAGGGTCGGCTGCGCGCCACCCCTCACTCCTCCTCCCTTCGTCCGGCCACCGAGCCTTTTGAGACGCTCCACTTGGACGTCTGGGGCCGTGCCCCTCGTCAGGGCCCTGAGCGTGAGCGTTTCTTTCTGGTGGTCATTGACGACTACTCCCGCTACACCACAGTGTTTCCCCTGGCGAAGAAGTCTGAGGTGACTTCTACGCTGATCAAGTGGTTGCTTACCACGCAGGACACTCGTGGTCGTCGTGTCAGCTGTCTTCACTCCGACCGCGGGGGTGAGTTTCGCTCCGGCATTCTTGCTGGATTCTGTCGCGAGCAGGGCATTCGTCAGTCCTGGACGCTTCCAGAGTCCCCACAGCAGAATGGGGTTGCTGAGCGCCGCATAGGCTTGGTCATGGAGATCGCCCGCACCTCCCTGACTCACGCCCGTGCCCCCCATTTTCTGTGGCCCTACGCGGTCAGGTACGCCGCGCACCAGCTGAACCTCTGGCCACGCGTCTCTCGGCCAGAGGCTTCACCGACCAGTCTTTGGACCGGGTCCCCTGGTGTTGCGTCGAGGTTTCGTGTCTGGGGGTGCTTGGCTCTTGTCCGCGACACCTCCGCGGACAAGCTCTCGCCTCGCGCCGTTCCTTGTGTCTTCCTTGGTTTCCCTGAGGACTCCTCTGACTTCACCTTTTACCACCCTCCCTCTCACCGGTTCTTTGACTCCCGTGACGTCCGTTTCGAGGAGTCCACCCCCTACTACGTCAGGTACCCCAGTCGAGGTCTCCCGGTCCCTCCCCCCCCTCTCTTCCTGACCGCCGCTCCCCCTCCTGCTCCCCCGGTACAGCCTCCCCCCCCTGGTCCAGCCCCGTCCGGTGTGTCCCAGGCTACCCCTCCCCCTTCGGTAGCCCCTCCGGTACAGCCTCCCTCCCCACAGTCTTCCTCGCCGCGTCCTGCAGGTGCTCGCTCTAGAGAGGTTGGTACTGAGACAGTTCCTGTACCGGTTTCTGGTTCTGGGGGTGCTGGAGTTGGAGCTGAGCCGCGGGTTGCAGAGGACTCTCGTCTTCCGGGAGCTGGTGCTGGTCGTGCGGAGTCTGGGGGTGCTGCGTCTGGGGGTGAGAGTGAGACCCCTTCGGTTTCTGGTGCGTCTGGGTCTGGAGCTGGTGTTGGTGCTGACTCTGGGGGTGGTGTGCCTGGTGCTTCGGAGGTGGACTCTGGGGCTGCCGCTGCCCCGGACACTACTACTACCCCCCACCCCTACCCGACCAGGTTCCAGGCTCGTGTTCGCCGTGCTCGTGAGGAGCAGCTGGAGTTGGAGAGAGAGGAGCGAGAGTTGCAGCGGCTCGAGGAGCAGGAGCGACAGCAGCAGCAGCAGGAGCAGCAGCAGCAGCAGCAGCTGGAGCAGCAGCAGCAGCAGCAGCAGCAGCAGCAGCAGCCGCCTCCTCCTCCTGTCTCGGGTCTTCGGACCCTTGGTCTCCCCTCTCGCTCTCCTTCCTCCTCCCCCTCTCCTCCCGTCTCTGGTCCTCCGCTTCCTCCTCCTGACCCCTCTCCCGCTGTTTTCCCTCGTTCTCAGTCTTCGTTGTCCCCTCCTCCTTCTCAGACTTGGGCCTCTCGTCGCTCCCCTCGTGCTCGTCCCTCGTCTCCTGTTCCCTTCACTGACCTTCGTACTGCCTTACTTCGTTCTAGTCCACCTCGTCCGTCTCCGTCTGTGCTTCCGTCTCCTCCTGAGTCGGCCCTCACTGCGTCGCTCCCTACTCCTGTCACTGACTACTACCGCACGTACCGTCCTGTTCTCTCTCGTGTTCTTGCCTCTCTTGTTACTCACCCTCGTGCCTCTGTGTCCTCCGTGTCCTCCCTTACTGCCGCAGTCACTGACTTTGCCTCTACCCGCCGCCTTGACTTCGCCACCGCTCTTGTGGCTGCTCCTCCTTCCAGTCCTCTGGCCGTCGGGGGTGTGTCTGCCCTTGGCTGTGACGCCCTAGAGGACAGGCAGTTTGAGCTAGAGTTCCTGGCAGCCGCTTCCCCTCATCTCTGTGCCATGCTCCTCGCCCCTGAGGGTGACCCAGACGCCCTTGACATTCCGACTCCTCGCACTTATGCTGAGGCAGTGTCAGGGCCTTGGGCCTCTCAGTGGAGAGCTGCCATGGACGCAGAGATGGCCTCCTACAGATCCACAGGCACCTACGTCGATGAGGTTCCCCCTCCTGGGGCGAACGTAGTCGACGGCATGTGGATCTACAGGGTGAAGCGGCCACCGGGATCTCCCCCGGTCTTCAAGGCGCGTTACGTGGCTAGAGGTTTCAGTCAGCGCGAGGGAGTTGACTTTTTTCAGACCTTCGCGCCTACCCCGAAGATGACCACTCTTCGGGTGTTACTACACGTAGCAGCACAGAGAGACTACGAGTTACACTCTCTCGACTTCTCCACTGCTTTCCTTCAGGGTAGCCTTCACGAGGAGGTCTGGCTGCGTCGTCCCTCTGCCTTCACTGGCACCTTCCCTCCTGGGACCCAGTGGAGGCTGAGGCGACCTGTCTACGGTCTTCGCCAGGCCCCTCGTGAGTGGCACGACACTCTGCGTTCTACCCTCTCTGACCTTGGGTTCCAGCCGTCTTCTGCCGACCCGTCGCTGTTCGTTCGTCGCGGCTCCACACCGTTCTTTGTTCTGGTCTACGTCGACGACCTCGTTTTCGCCACTGCTGACAGGGTTGCTTTGGCACACGTGAAGTCCGAACTGCAGAAGAGACACACCTGCACTGACCTTGGTGAGCTGCGCCACTACCTTGGCCTGCAGATCACCAGGGACAGAGCTGCTCGCACCATTACACTTTCACAGTCACACATGGTGCAGCAGGTCCTTCAGCGGTTCGGGCTTCAGCACTCCACAGTACAGCGCACACCTCTTGCTGTTGACCACAGACTCACTGGACCCTTTCCTGACGAGCCGTTTGAGCCTAGTGGTCCCTACGCAGAGCTTGTGGGTTGCCTCATGTACCTGATGACTTGTACTCGCCCGGACCTCGCCTTCCCTCTCAGCGTCCTTGCGCATTTTGTTGCGCCAGGGAGACACCGTCCTGTTCACTGGACAGCAGATGTGAGGGTGGCGAAGTACCTAGCGACGACATCAGGCGTGGGGCTAGTTCTTGGAGGGCAGCAGTCTGTCGTACTTACTGGTCACTGTGACTCTTCTTACGCTGACGACGCTGAGACTCACAGGTCTACTCAGGGGTACTGTTTCAGTCTGGGTTCTGGAGCTGTTTCCTGGCGGTCCACGCGCTCCTCTTCGGTCTCGACCTCTACAGCTGAGGCTGAGATCTACGCTGGTGCCATGGCGGCACAGGAGCTGCGTTGGTTGACGTTCTTGCTTGCCGACCTTGGTGAGCGGCCGAGCTCTGCACCGACCTTGTTCACTGACAACAAGGCATCGATTCTCCTTTGTCGAGAGCCGCGACTGGAGAGCAGAGTGAAGCACATTCACGTCAGGTACTTTCTTCTGCGAGAGTTGCAGAGACGTGGACAGGCTCGCTTCGAGTTTGTGGAGTCCGAGGCCAACACTGCAGACATCTTCACCAAGGCGCTTCCGCCTTGTGACCACCAGAGGTGCTGTGTGCAGTTAGGCCTTGTTGACACTGGTTCTCGTCTTGTGTAGACTTGAGTTGACTGTTTGTCTTGCTTGTACATTTGTTGTACTATCTTGTGAGTTCTTGGACTGGCCTTGTGGCCACTGGTGTTTGTGCTCAGAGTGTGTGGTGACGTTGTGATCCACCCTGAGCTTTGTTTCTTGGACTGGTCTTGTGACCGTACTCTTTTGGTTCTGCTAGACACCCCTCACTTAGGCTATGGGGGTGTGTCAAATGTTGTAGCCTATAGTGAGGTTTGTCTTAGGGGGTACAAAAGTTAGGGTTAGCTATATGTACCCCAACCAACATCAATGCATCATCCATTCCTCATTCAGACACCCTTGTACTCTTATAAAAACCTTGTATCTCCTTGTTTTAATCAATCTACTTTGCCCTCACACACTAGCGCAAGGTGGTTCACTATTCTCATTAAACGCTTCCGCAATTACAAAAAGTCCTACCCAGAGTTTAGTCTTGTAAAGATCCTACGGGCTTTTCAGCCCAACAGAAACACCACAGACCCGCACCGTTTCTGAGAATAACACACTGTTCCGACCGTATCCAAACCAAACTAGTTCAACTAGGTACTGCTGGGGACTTCAAGTGATTTTTTGACCTGGATGCCCATGGACCTAGCTGTTCCTATGATTGATCGACAGATGGATTCGAGAGGGATGTAGCTGCACCCAGGGTCCTGCTGCTTTATCTTGGCGATCTCATACACGTGCTTTAAGGACACCTCGCCCACCACCTGATGCCCCGCCTCCCCGCCGCCCAGAGACAGCCCCGCCGCCCGCTTCAGGAAGTAGGACGTGGGAGGGGATTTGATTATGAAGTCAAACGAACGATCCTGGTGAAAGGGGGACCGGGGGGTGGAGGTGAAGGAGAGGGGGGAAAGTTGATCGGGGGTTATGAAGTAAGACAAATGATTCTGGTGAACAAGATAAGGGACGTGAAAAAGAGGGGGCAAGTGGGTGGGTGGGTGGGGGAGGGGGAGAGGGTAGGGGAGCATTATGAAGTAAGATTAGCGATCCTGATGAAGATGATAGGGGAGGTGCTGACGGCAGCACTCACGCTGTGATAAGGGAAGGCACAGAAATGAGAAGCACAGATCACGTGGTGATAAGGGAAGGCACAGAAATGAGAAGCACAGATCACGTGGTGATAAGGGAAGGCCCAATAATAAGCAGCACCGATCACGCGGTGATAAGGGAAGGCACAGAAATGAGAAGCAAAGATCACGTGGTGATAAGGGAAGGCCCAATAATAAGCAGCACCGATCACGCGGTGATAAGGGAAGGCACAGAAATGAGAAGCAAAGATCACGTGGTGATAAGGGAAGGCCCAATAATAAGCAGCACCGATCACGCGGTGATAAGGGAAGGCACAGAAATGAGAAGCAAAGATCACGTGGTGATAAGGGAAGGCCCAATAATAAGCAGCACCGATCACGCGGTGATAAGGGAAGGCACAGAAATGAGAAGCACAGATCACGTGGTGATAAGGGAAGGCCCAATAATAAGCAGCACCGATCACGCGGTGATAAGGGATCAGAAAAGGCAGGGTGTGGTTTGGTTGCATGCAGCACAGACACTCACTGAGTACGCGGTAACCAGTGCGGGAATGGGCATGTAGGGTTTGATGTCAAGCACCACTGATACTTACTGAAAACGACTTCTGAGGCGCGACAGAGATCATCAGGCAGGCAGCACGGGACACTCACCGAGTACGTGGTGATGAGCGCGGGAATGGGGACATTTGGTTTGATGTGCTGCGCGCACGCGTTGAAGACCTTGCAGAACGCCATGAGGTTCAGCACAGCAGGTGCTGCCCACAAACAAGCAGCACAAATACTCACCGAGTATGCAGTAATCAGTGCGGGGATCGGCACATCTGGTTTGATGTGCTGCGCGCGCGCGTTTAAGTCCTTGCAGAACGCCATGAGGTTCAGCCCGTGCTGGCTCATGGGGACTAGAACTGTCATCAACTGGGGTGGAGAGATTCAACGAGCCTTGAGCCACATACGACACAAGGCGTTGACACTCACCGAGTACGCAGTAATCAGTGCAGGGATCGGCACGTCTGGCTTTATGTGTTGCGTGCGCGCGTTGAAGTCTTTACAGAACGCCATGAGGTTCAGCCCGTGCTGGCCCAGCGCGGGTCCCACGGGCGGCGCGGGCTTCGCCTGGCCCGCGTTGATCACCAGTCGGATCACCGTCGTCACCGTCTTCTGACTCGCCATCGCGACGATCGCGAATGGCGATAGCGACGTTCGCGAGAAGACTGTCGATGGTCGGAAAAGGGAGAACGTCTGGCGACCCTCGCGAAAGGAGCCTGGTGACGCTCGCGAACGGGGTCTGGCGACAAATGGTGTGGTGTTTTACTCCACTAAGAATTCGCTTCCCTTACGCTTGTGTCTGGCTCAATGACGCCTCGAAAAGCGAATCGGCTTGTACCATCAGGTCACCACATGACCCGCTTCGCTATATCGGCTCTCAAACACTCTGAAGCTGCGCCAACGAAAGCACGCGAACCGGAGACTAGGTTGACACAGAGGCAGTCCTGCTCTTACTCGCAAGTGGGATTCCGATGGCGCAACGGCGCGACAGTCGTCTCAGCGTTAAACACGAGACGCGAGCAGAGCTTCGAGCAGGACCAAGTTTTGTATGAGCCTGCTATGCTCTACGAGGCTGCGATGCTCGACTTCTCCTCAGAGAAAATGAAGGCGTGAACAGCGGAGGTGGAAGTGGTGATGGAGTTGACGGGGGAGGGAGGCGAGGTGATCCCCTTTACAAACTGACCCATCGCGAAAGTTTCAAGTTTCGATTTATCAATTACTGTTAGATTCGCCCCATAGTGCACCTTAGTTATTGAATGAACCATAACACACTCCAAACTACGGTACGTACTTCCACTCCACAGATTCTTTTGCAAGTGCTTACTTGCCCAAACATACAACAATACATATATAAGACATCACACAATCTATGCCCTCTTTCACACCAAGCCAAGCCTTTTGGCCTACACACACCCCATCCTCCTTCCCTTTACAAGCTGCCCCCATACAAAAAATGCTCACCCATGTTCTCTGCTTACTGCTGCTGCGGCTGCTACTGATATACAAACATACACATGATACACACAACACTCCATGCCCTCTTTCACGCACAAGCCAAGCCCCTTGGCGAGCGAACACCCTCTCCTCCTCATCTTGCCCTCCTCCCTCCACAGCACCTTCCTCTTCCTATATCACAGGCTCCTCCTCCTTATCCCCTTCACAAGCTGCCACCACACAAACAATGCTCAACCAATGGCCTTGCTTGTTGCTGCTGCTGCTAACAATCTACACACAAAACATTTTCACTCACACTTTCACTCACACTTTCACTCACACTTTCACTCACACTCCATGCCTTCTTTCACACCCAGACCAAGCCCCTTGGCCAACTCACACCCCCTCCTCCTCATCTCCCCTTCCTCCCTCCACAGCACCCTCCTCTTCCTGTAACACTTGCTCTTTCTCGCCGGCCCTCGCGGTATACCCTCTACAAGCTGCTCCCCTACAAGCAGCGCGCGCCCCATGGCCTGCGCCTGCTGCTGCTGCATGCATGCTTCAAACGAGAGGAGGGCGCGGAGGAAGGAGTCGGAGAGGGGGAGAGTGAGTGAGGGAGCGAGAAGAGGGGCGAGGGCAGGAGGGAGGGATTCCCAGAGGAGGGATACTCGGTCTAGGTCTAGGAGAATGTGGGAGAGAGAGGGGGAGGAGGGAGAGGGGGAGGAGGGAGAGGGGGAGGAGGAAGAGGAGGGGGAGGGAGAGGGGGAGGAAGGAGAGGTGGAAGCAGGAGAGGGGGTAGTGGAGGAAACAGCGTAGGCTGTAGAAGTTGCATTTCTCCCCTTGAATCCCCGAGCCACCACGTAACGTTCGGCGTTGCAGGCTCGGGAGGAGCGGAGGCGGACGAGGTGGACGGAGCGGAAGGAGAGGGCGAGCAGCGCGAGGAGGGAGGCCGTTGAGAGGAGCGAACAGCCCAGCAGCTTGAGGATGAACGTGCCGCCTGGCGCCTGGTGGGTTCAGGAGAGAGAAGATAGGACTTTTGAGTCGACTCAAAAGTCGAGAAGATGGAGGGGTTGCAGAGGAGGGGGCAAGAGGGAGTGTGAGGCGGTCATGGCGTTCAAAAAGTGTAAGATTCACTCCCTAGACATTGTAAGATTCACCCAAACAGACCCTCCACACGAAACGTTCTTACACACAAGCACCAACAATTCTCACCAGCAGCTTGAGCGCGGCGCGCACTTGGCAGAAGACAAGGCGGGCGTGCATGGCCTCCTGCCGGTCCCAATCCACTGAACTGTCCAACCCCCCATCCGCCGTCACCAGTGCCGCCCCTCCCTCCATCGCCACCCCTCCCTCGATTGCTGGCTTGCCAGCCTGGCAACCCGCTGAACTGTTCGACCCCCCGTCCACGTGGCTGCCCCTGATGACGTCAGCAGCGAAGGCTGCCACGTTGGCATGACGTGTCAAGTCCCCTGTGCCGTCCGTGCCATACAGCACGTGACCGTGGGACATGAAGGAAGCTGCCTGGAAGGTGATGGAGGGAGAAACTATCGACACTGGAATCAGCTCATGTTGTGCCTGTAACGAGTGTGGCTGTAACGAGTGTGACTGTAACGAAGGTGACTGTAACGAGGGTGACTGTAACGAGTCAGAGCTGTGCAGAGGCTTGCAAAGGGCACAGTGCTCCTTCTCGTCTTTCTCCTCCTCATCTTCTCCCTTCTCTTCCTCCTCCTTTAAGCCAGCCGCTCCACATCCCCCCTCCTTCGATCGCTCCCCTTCTCTTCCTCTGCTGCTGCTGCTGCTGCTGCTGCCTCGCACCACCATACTTGCCCAGGATACCCGCACCACCATGACAGATTCGCCCCCCTTCTGATTCCACAATCCTATCTCCCAGCGCCCCTCCCAGCGCCCCTCCCAGCGCCCCTCCCTGCGCGCCTCTCTGCCGCCCCAGCAGGCCCAGCACAAAGTCAGGCGCATGCCCAGGGCCGGCAGAGGGGGCAAGGTGCGGAAAGGAGTACGGGGAAGGTTGGGCTGCAGTGTGGGCGGCAGGGTGGGCGGCAGGCAAGGCGGTGGTGGGAGCAACGGCAGCAGCAGGCAGCAGAGGGGGCTGCTGGTTAACTGGTCGCAGAGGCGAGCGCTGCTGCTGCCCCTCGCCTGTGACCCCCGCGACCCCTGTGACCCCCGCGACCCCTGTGACCCCCGCGACCCCTGTGACCCCCGCGACCCCTGTGACCCCCGCGACCCCTGTGACCCCCGCGACCCCTGTGACCCCCGCGACCCCTGTGACCCCCGCGACCCCTGTGACCCCCGCGACCCCTGTGACCTGCTGTTGCTGCACGTCCCCCGTGGTGGGAGCAACGGCGAGAGCAGGCAGCAAAGGGGGCTGCTGGTTGACAGGCCGCAAAGGCGAGTGGTGCTGGTTGACCGGCCGCAAAGGCGAGTGGTGCTGGTTGACTGGGCGCAGAGGGGAGCGCTGCTGCTGCACCTCCCATGTGACCCCTGTGACCCCTGTGACCCCTGTGACCCCTGTGAGCTCCTGTTGCTTGGACCGTTTCTTCTCCCTCTTCCTCCTGCTCTTACACGCCTTCCCCCCCCCTGCCTGCTCCCCTCCCTGTCCCCCTGCCTGCATCCTTCGCTGCTCCGCTCCCTGCTCTCCGCCCTGCTTCCCTTCCTGCGACACTCCCTCCTCGCCCGAACTGTTGCTTGCTCCATATGAGGCAATACCTGCCGAGCCAGTCCCTGCCGAACAAACACCTGTGCTCTGCGGATTGCACTGCTTCTGCTGCTGCTGCTGCTGCTGGTGCTGGTGGTGGTTGTGCTGGTGATGCTGCTGCTGCTGGTGGTGATTTTGTCGCTGCACCCACTGCTGCTGCGGCCGCTGCGGCTTCCAATGCAGTGGATGCTCCCTCCACTCAGCGCTGCCGCCCCTGCTGCTGCCGCCGCTGCTGCCACCGCTGCTGCTTTCCCAGCTGCCCCAGCTGCCGCTGCTTCTGCTGCTGCCAGGGCTGCTGCAACCACTCCCTCCGCCACTCCTGCCACTCCTGCCACTCCTCCCCCCACCTCTGCCTCCGCTGACGGACGCTGGCACAGGAATAGCCCTTGATCTCCTTTCCCCTCTACCACTCAAATTGCCCTTAATATCTTCTGTGCATTCTCCTCTTCCCCCGCCTTGTCCTCCCCCTCTTCTCCCCCACTCCCCTCTCCCTCCTCTTCCTCCTCCTCCCGCTCCCCTTCCCCTTCCCCCCCCTCCCCTTCCTTGAACCATCCCACCCAATACACTCCCTTTCCCCTTACCCCTCCCCTCATGCCCTTGCACCACCGCTCTGCACCCCTCCTCACCAACACTTACCACACACACTCCGGAACCTGCAACCGAACCAATAGGTGGCGAACCAACAATCGAGCCAACAGCTGCCGAGCCTACAGCAGCCTTGCCTCGGAGAGTGATTCCAAACCACAAGTGCTGCAAACCACGACCCACCACCTCCACTCCCACATCTGCTCCCCCTCCCCCTACCCCTCCCTGGCCGCCTTCAGCCACTCCGCCCCCTCTCCCCCCGGCCTGTTCCGCCAGCAGCAGCTGCACCGCTTGAATAAACCCCCCCGGCCCCTCACACAGGTGCGCGGAGACGAACGGGGGGAAGCAGGAAGGGGAAACGGAGGAAGCGGAACCCCCCAGGGAAAGATCCGGGGAAGCGCTTCCCGCTTTTTCTCCCCCCAACAGGCGGAACAAGCGCGCCAATTCGACCATTTTGAAGAACGCGCGACTTATGGCGCGGGGGGCGGGGGATGCGTGGGGGAAAGCGCTCATTGGTTGCGGGGACGCGCTTATGGGCTGGGGGGAAGCGCAACTGGATTTGGGGGAAGCGCCGATGGAGGAGGGCGGAAGTACGGAGGCCGACGCGGAGTGTGACGAGGCCACTACGGGGTTGGGGTTTAGCGATGCCACGTCAGCAAGGAGCTCGTACGGGTTGGCGCACTGGGCGGCGAGCGACCAAAGGTCTAACCCCTGCAAGCACGGGGGGACGGGGGTTAGGGAGGGCAGAGGAGAAGACGGAAGGGGGAGGGGGGCGGCGGAGAGAGGGTGGGATGCAAGGGGGTGAGGAAGGGCGGGGGGCGGGGAAAGAGGAGTGAGTGAATGGCGGTAGATGGCGTTGGAAAAACATCGAAGAACATTGGTCAAACTAGAATGGCTCTACTGCTAGGATTCACGGCCCAAACCCCGTTCTTACTTCGCGAGTCGTGAATGCCGTGACCTCGTATTTGCGTTCCAACAGCGAATCCCGCGTTTCAAGCAGCCAGTCGCGTGACCGCAGGATCCAATCACTGTCGGGATCTGATACGCTAGCGAGATCCCCACTGGCAGGCTTTTCTGCCACGTCAGCAGCAACGCTAGCGACTAAATCCTCACAGGCGCTTCGAGCGGACGGCACGGCAACAGAATCTGACGCTCCCGCCAGATCCGCTGCCGAAAGTCGAGTCGCGAGAATGTCTTCCAACCCCCTTGCCGTCAACTCTAACAGACGGCCGTCAGGGGGTAGGCTGGTTGCGAACACGTTCTCCGTCGGCAGGGAGACGGCGAAACAACCCAAGCCGTCAAAAACGTCAAGATCGTGATGATCTTGGAGGAAGCGAAGAACCGAATTCGAAGATCCATTCGAGTGCAAGCCGTCATTTTCTGGCGTTGTCTTTAAGAAAGAGTCCATTGGATATAAAGATCCGGTGGGATCTGATGTAGCATCTCGATGGCAAAGGAGGGCGGCGTTTGTAACTCGCGAGCAGAGCTGCTCCAATCTGTCGCGACGCGAATGGTGGCTGGGTTTGGCGAACGCGGGACGGCAGGGAACGGAGGCGAGAGTAGCGCGCGGGGATTGCGGATCAAGTAGGGCCGGGTCCAGGCACGTCATCTTGCCTTACTGAGAAGAATCTGGTCGACCAGGGGAAGCATGCTGAGGAAAACTACAAGGGAGGATTTGTGAGGAGTAAGGGAGGGAAGAGAGGAGCCATTGAATTTGGTAGTGGGAGCATGCACCAAGACCTGTTCCGAAAAGTTTTTCTTTCCTGCACGTTCATGGCCTTTCGGGCCTTTAGCTGAACGGAAGACGAGATCCAGCCGTTCATTCCAGACCTGCCTCTGAACGGACTTTCCATCGACGGTCCTAAGAAGAAAGATGCTGTCCTGTACTGTGCATGAGGTTTGGAGAGTGAGTTCGGTGAATCTGTGATCTTTCCAATTTTGGCGCTCCACTCCACAGTTGCAAATACGCCGTTCCACGTCACAGTGCCGTGTAGGTTGCGGGGATTGGTCGATGTATTTTTCTGAAGGCGTGGAAGCCGAACTTGCTGACGACGACAACAGTCAGATTACTGTCAGCTCACTTTCGCAACTGGAAACCTGCAAAGTCTGATCCCGTCATAAGCGAGCCGTGCAAATGTCATGTATTGCTCTAAAGAGTGTTCTAGGGGAGTTGCATAAATTTCTTTGTGAAAGAGTTTTATTACTTTACCCTTACAACGGAATAACTACGTGCACCTCGTACGCTTTAGAAAGAGACGCAGCCGTGACCTGTTCCCATGCTTGCCATCTATGGGGCCAACATGTTTGCGAGTGGGCACAAGGCCCGCCGAATCGCTCTAGTGCGCTTCGGCGTCATCCAATGGCCACTATCGGAGGAACCGTTGTGGACTTCGCTCCGCTCGTGAGAATTTGGAATTTCGCCAGCGAATTTCCCTCGTCGGAATGGCGCCATGAATTTCACCTGACCAGCACAGCCCATCGCCCCTCACGCAAATCATCATGTCGCTGCGCCACATTGCGGCTCAACTCCCACAGGGGTTCCCTCTGTGTGATCCTGTCACACTCTCTCCAGCACGGCTAATGTTTCTCCCAACGAAACAGGCAACGTCTAGGGGTATGTCCTAATTCCTCACCGTATAAAGTAGAGCCGAAGCTGTCACACGTTCATCATTCTAACTCCAGTCCAGAGCCTTCTAGCGTGGAGCAAGTTTCTAAATCTATATAGTAGTCCTGCTCCTAGCTCCTTTCCTCACGCTACTCTCCATCGCCCCGGTCGTCGCTTAAATTCGCGTGTTCGCTCAAGCACTGAAAAGCGAAACACCATGGCTCACAAAGCGGTTTCCCTTCTCGTTCTCTGCGTGCTTGCTAGCGCGACCATCGCTCACGGCGCGCGGCCAATCACCCCCTCTACTCTTAGCGCAGAAACCGCATCGCAGAGCCATTCCCCCTTCTCCGCGTCGAGCCTCTTCCGCATGGCCATGGCCGCCTGGAATGACGGCGCTCAAGGCGTCATCCTTCCTTCCGTTTCCAAATCCGACGACTCCCAAGGTAAGCAGTCGGCTCATCAAGAACCGACTTGGAAAAAACATAATTCCCCCTCCATTGTCCTTATCACCCGCCATTATCGTTGCATTCGCCGGTGGGCTAATTGCATCCCTGAAGCACACTTCCGTCCTCATTGCATCCCTAATTGCATCCCTAATTACGAAAGACGTCTCCCCAAGTGTCTCAGTTGCAGTTGTCTCCGAGACCGCCTGCCACCCTGCATTTCACTACTGCGAGTCGCGTATCCAATCCCCTTACTCTCTCTTCACAATCTTTCGTATTGCATCTCTCTCACCCCTTCAACCCTCTTCCACGAATATTCCCATTCCCGCTTCCCAGCTCGCGAGGCAACGAGCTCCGCCGTCATCGTTGCGCCCGAAGTCGCTCCGTTCGAGGAGGACGTGGATCCCGCTGCTGCTGACGTGGCGGTGTCGCTCCCCGGATCCGACAACCTGATTATCTCCCGCGTGCACGTCAAGCCGGCGAAGATCGCCGAACCCGCTGACGACACTGACGACAATGGCGACACTGACGACAAAATCACCGTCGAAGACGACGACAACGAAGACGACGATGACGACGACGTCTTTTCGCGACTGATCGCCAACGAAGTGAACGAAGAGACTGATCTCACGTCCGTCTCCCTGCCTGGTTCTGACAACGTCATCGCGGCAATTCACAAGCCCCGGAGCCACGTGGCTTCCAAGCCTAGGAGCAGCTTCGGCGTGTCGCTCCCGGGTTCCGACAACGAGATCGTAGCGTTCGGCGTTCCTGCGACGCTGGCGACTCGCAGTGTCGTCGTCGCGACGGACGTAGACGCGCTCCAGGCGGAGGCGACGAAGGAAGAGAGCGTCGTCGTCGCGAACGACGGAAAGGTGACTAAGGCCGAGGACGATTCCACCTTCCACGTGTCGCTTCCTGGTTCGGACAACGAGATCTGGGCCCGCAACGTGCCCCACAGAAAGAGCAACGTAGTGGCGATTACCGACGAGTCAGACCGCGATGCAACCACCACCACCGCTACTGCCACTGCCACCACAGCTACCGCCTCGCTTTCCCCCAAGTCTGCTTCGGCTTCCTCTGCTGACGACAACACTGCATCCGTGTCGCTGCCTGGTTCAGACAACGTTATCCAGGCATTCAACATCCGTGGAAATAAGAAAAAGACCACCTCCTTTCAGGTGTCGCTTCCGGGTTCCGACAATGTTATTACCGCGTACGGCGTGCCCAAGAGGAAGGGGTTGACTGTTGTCGCCACAGAGGGGGCGGAAGTCGCAGAGCCAGCTGTCGCAGAAACGACGACAGCTGTTAACAAGGTCGCAGAGGCGAATGCGACTACCGACGATGTTTTCACGGTGTCGCTTCCTGGGTCCGACAACGTAATCGCCGCACTACATGTCCCCCATAAGCGCAAATTCGTTGTTGGGCAAGCTTAGCTTTACCAAAGCCCACGCAAATAATGGGGCAAACTCAGCCCCTTCCAAATAATAGCTGGTATTTTTATCACCTCGTTTCCGAGTAAACCACAAGTAATCATTTGCTTTTTTGTTTTCGCAGCACTCGCTGTACTACACTAATATGTGAATGAAAGAAAAAAAATAGTGGTTCTTAGGGCTACAATGAACACTGGTTATGAACATCCCTACTCCCTAATAATTCGGCCTGAACGCCTCCTATAACGTATACCAGCCCAGTCTATGTAGGGCACCCAACATGTCAGCAATGCACAAAAGGTGTACATGCTGTTGTGTATAAGGTAGCCAACCCACACACGCCACAGCGCATACTGCCGCTCTCTACAGTCACATTTCCCTCTATCCACCGCCGCCACAGCCGCACGGTCTGGCCAAATTGGAGCCTGAGGGTCTAGAAAGCGGCAGGTCTGAATATGCGCAGCAATCATTGAAAGGAGGGCGAGAGAGGCGAGAGCAAAGGAGGCCAGGTGGAGCAGGGCTAGTGAGACGCCTAGTGGGAGGTGGGAGAGGTGGGTGATGGTGTGTTGAAGGAGTGAGGGAAGGAGGGGGAGGAGGAGACCAGGCTGCCTCATGTAAACTCCTAGTGTGTTGTTTGTTGTGGTGAGCCATTGCTGCTGCTGCTGCTGCTGCTGGCGATGGGGCAGGGCCTGGCGAGATTTCGCCACCCAGGATGCTGCACGATGCGTTAGCTTGAGCTAAGGCAAGCCCACTAGGGCATGCAGGCGACGCGTCAGTGACAGCACCTGCTGCTGTTCCTGCTGATGTTGCCCCTCCTGCAGCTGCCACGTCAATCTGCGTCGCTGCAACAGCAGCAGCACTGGACGGCAGCACACGGCAAACCACACCGACCACAGGAACCTTACACACAGGAGCAGCAGCCCCAAGCAACTCAACCATCTGGACACCCCGTGCAGCAAAACCGGCCATACAAGGCAGCAGATGCTGCACCAGGAGCGAGAGCGAGACGGTAATCGACCCAACCATGACGGAGCTGAAGGCGACGCCCATGAGCAGGAGCCAGAGGTTGAGGCTGCGGTTAAGGGGGGAGAAGTGCATGGTGAGAGTGAACACGCGAGCGAGCGCCCAGAGCGACCCAACCAGCTGGACTCCGGCCAAAACTGGTGCGGCAGAACCAGCCACACACGGCACCACATGCTTTGCGAGAAACACCAAGGAGATGGCGATGGAAGCGGTCATGACAGAGCTGAAGGCCATGCCCATGAGCAGCAGCCAGAGGTTGAGGCGGCGGTTGAGCGGCGAGAAGTGCGTGGTGAGCGTGAACAGCTGCCGCCGCAGGTAGCTCCAGAACTGCCGAGCGGACAAGTGCGGGTCTAGGGGGTGTGCTAGGAGCGCGTAGGCTGGTGATAGCATGGGCGGGTTGCTGCTGCCGGGCCTGCTCCAGGGGCTGCTTCTGGGGTTGCGTCTGGGGCTGCTGCTTCTAGGGCTGCTTCTGCTACTTCTTCTGCTGCTGCCAGGGCTGTTCGGTATGGTTTTGAGTCTGCTGAGCCTGAGTCGCTGTGCGCACTCGATGGCCCTGCAGGGAAGGCTGCTACCGCCCTGCTGCTCGCGCTTCTCACATTCCTTTCCAATCAACTGGAAAGGTCCCTCGTGGCATGCCTTGCTGCAGCTCCCCTTGCTGCTACTTCCCTGCTTCTCACATTCCTTCTCACATTGCTTCTCACACACAATGCTGCTGCTTCCCCTGTCTATGCTGCTCTTGCCGCTACTGCTGCTGCTACTTATGCTGTTGCCCACTGCACCTAGCGTCATGTCATCAGAGTACCCCCCCTTCCGAAGCACATCCACCATGCCGAGCCTGTTGGTTCGGAAATCACCGAGCCTTAGCATCATGCACCCGCCCCAGATATACTCTGTGCCCGCATCATATGAGAAATTAACCAGTGGGACCAAATGAAACCCTAACACCGCGTACGAAAATAGCGACCCCGGGTTCGGAATGTCAAACGGGTAACCGGTTACAAGGAACGTGTCGGGTCGGCCAAGCATGTCTGTTACCAGGTAAGTGATCGCCTCTGGGTACATTCTCGCGTCGTCGTCCAGGAAAAGGACAAATTCGGCTTCCAGACGGGCGGCAGCAACGCCGGCCAGCTGATTGTGGATCTTTTGGCTGCATGTGGTGGAGGTGCCAGCTACCACCACGCGAACCTTCCTCAGATGTACCTCCTCCTGCTGCCTGCACGCTATGTCACATTTATCTGAGTTCTCCCCTCCACATACCGCCTCCCCTGCGTTAATAATTTCCCTCCCCTGCCCTCCGCTAGCTTCCCCCCGCCCTCCGCTAGCTTCCCCCTGACCTCCGCTAGCTTCCCCCTGCCCTCCGCTAGCTCCCCCCCGCCCTCCGCTAGCTCCCCCCCGCCCTCCGCTAGCTTCCCCCTGCCCTCCGCTAGCTTCCCCCTGCCCTCCGCTAGCTTCCCCCTGCCCTCCGCTAGCTTCCCCCTGCCCTCCGCCTGCGCCCTTCTTCTCCCTGCCTTCATACTTTTGCACCATCCCTTCGACCCCCCTTCCCCTCCCCCCTTTATGCGCCTCGTTGAATCGCGCCGCGAACTTGCATGCCTCCTGGTACGCGCGGTCCGCCTCGCTCTCCACAACTATGAGGAACTCCACGGGCCCCGCATAATCCGCCGTGATGTGCGTCGCCCAGTTGCTCGCCGTGTGCGCGTGAAAGCCGCGCACCGGCATCACCACCGCCACCGCCGGCCAATGCGGGCAGCGCGAGCTCTCCGCGTTTTCCGTCGTGTTGCCACTTGGAGAATTCGCTCCACGCGGATCGACACCGCCATCACCACCACCATCGCCATCGCCATCGCCATAGTCAGCAGAGATAGTACCCTCACCTGGTTGCTGCGCGCCGCGCTTTCGCGTCGCGCGTTGAGGCTGCTTCGCGGCGGACGCGCGGCGACGCGAGCGGAGACGATCGAGGGACTTGCGGCGGTTGCGGGCGGCGACGGACCAGCCGTACGTGTGGAGGAGCAGCAGCAGCACGCCCGCCACCTGCAAGCCGTGCAGGAGCGCGACCAACGGGCCCATTCACGCGACTTTTGAGTTGACCTTTGAGTTGACTCAAAAGTCACCAGCCGTACGTGTGGAGGCGACGTCTCAAAGCAGCAGCACGCCCGCCGCCTGCAAGCCTTGCAGGAGAGCCACGCCCACGACCAAGCCCATTCGCGAGATCACGTCCCCGCGAACTTCTCTAACCTATAGAACCGCTTGAACCTGTCGATTCGGTCGAGTCGCTCAAACCTGTCGAACCACTCGAGCCGCTCAAATTTTCCTGAGAATCAGTTGAGGAGACTCTCGAACCCGAACCGTGTCGGAGCCTCTCAAACCAGTCAAACTGGTTAAACTGGTCAAACTGGTCAAAGTGGTCAATCCGCTCTCGAACTGGTCAAAACGGCAAATCACTTCAAACCATGCAACTCCGTGGGACTCCCAAGATGCGCGTGTCCGGACGGTATTCGATAGAAATCGGGACGGGAGCCAATGCAAGTAGTGATCATCTACTAATCCGTCACGATCTGTAGTCGACGTTGCGAGAATTTACCGAACAATCAGAAACGATTGCCAGTAAATCTCTTGGCTTCGATCGGCCAAGAAGCTATTACGGTTCCTCCTAAGCGACAAGCAGAAACCCTGGGAAGAAGCAAGCCTAGTAACGAGCGCGAAACTTGGAAGCTAGCTTCGGGAAAGCTGACTGACTGACATATTTGCCTGGTCAGGTCGGAAGAAAAAGGCTGACAACAATCAGCCATGCCCATGACGCGCGGCGCGCTGACAAGCTCCTGTTTCCAATCTGCTCGCGGGGAAAGCAAAGCAGCGGAGCAGCCAATCACAACAAAATGTGAGGTTTTCCCTTCGCCAGCGATAGAGTGTGCTTGGTCCTTGGGCATACGCGCTAAAGATTCAGAAGTGTGCGATCAAACTTAGAAATGCTGAATTAGTAAAATATCTCCGTGCTGCTTAAATGACTTCTCAATGAACAAGTAAAACCATATATTCTCACCTGCCACAGCATTTATTGGGTAGGAAATCTACAATACACGGCGATGTGTTCTTGATAATTTTGTACCTACAACGCTCTTGCTGTCATTGCTTACAACAAAAAATATGCTCACCAAAATCACAAAAACCCATCCCTGTCTACACTTTCACGGTTCACCCCCAACCCTTCCCTGCAATCACCCATTGATCAGCAGCTGGGCACTGCGGATGTGACTGTAACAGGGCCACAGGTGGCGGCTCCGGGCTTGCCAGCGCGACACACACGTAAAGTCACAGGGCCGCGCACCACACGCCCTCGGAAGTTGACCAATTGGAAGCGGTACGAGCGCTGGCACCCCCGCACTGGCCGCCCAAGGTCCAGGCGGATAAAACGAGAATTGCCGGCCCTGGGAAAAGTGGGGGGAGATGTGGGGGGAGGGGAAACAAGGTTGGGTTGAGGCAGGTTAAAAGGAGGAAGTGAGAGATTTATGAGTAAGGATGGGGGAAAGGAGGTGCCGGGGGAGGGTAACGTGTTGAAGTGCAATGCAGGATTGACGAAAGGGATGCAAAAATGAATAAAGACTTCGCACCTCACTCACCTCGGGACCCGCCAGAGTCTTACCTGACAATCCTGGCGTTGTTGCCGCAGGGGTAAGTGTGGCAGTTGCCCAATGGTATCAGAACAGCCGTGACGTACCTCGGCACCAGACCAACCGATTCCACATCAAGCCAACAGCTTCGGCACCCGAACCAAAGTCTCACCTGACGATCCTGGCGTTGTTGCCGCGGGGGTAAGCTCGGCAGTTGCCCAATGGTATCAGAACAGCCGTGACATAGGGCCCAGCAGAGCAGTAGGGCGTGTAAGAGGGGAACTTGGCCGCAGCCTGGTCCGCCATGGCCATCGCCAGCACTTGCGGATTCTCCTTCTGCCGCTCCCGCTGCTGCCGATGCCACTCCAGTATCCTCATGCTGCGCCTGCTGCTGCTGCTGCTGCTGCTGTGTCTCCGCTTCCGCCTCCTCTTCTTCTTCCCCGGGTATTGGGGTTGCAGCTGGAGTGGTTACCACTGGTGTGGTTACAGACGCAGTGGTGGCGAGAGAAAATGACTTGGCGGTGGTCTTGGGTTCTGCTGCTGCTGCTGCTGCTGCTGTCACTGCCACTGCCACTGCTCATGCTGCCACTGCTGCTGCTGCGGCTGCTGGGATCAGAGGAAGGGAAGAATTGTGAGGATGGGCTCTTTGGTCTGGTGGGTTTTCCTTTGGGGTGCGCAGCAGGGGTAGCTGCGGGTGCTTTGGTGGGCGATGGCAGCGGCTTTTTTGATGCAGCAGGAGGCGGTTGTTTCGTGAGGGAGGGGGATTGGGAAGAGGAAGGTGAGGAGGATGGGGAGGAGGATGGGGAGGAGGATGGGGAGGAGGATGGGGAGGAGGGAGGCTTACGCGGAGGGGAGGACGGAGAGGAGGACAGTGGAGGAGAAGGGATAGCAGGAGATGTGGACGAAGGAGGAGGCGAGGGCTTTTGAGGCTTGCTCTGCCCCTTCCCTCCCGAACCACTGGGTCCGCCTGCCGAGCCTGCAGACCCACCTCCCGAACCTCCCGCACCTCCTGAAGAACCTGCAGGCCCACCTCCCGAACCTGAACTTGGCCCCGGACCGGAAGGTTCGTAAGGGGGCCCTGACGTGTCGGATAGGAGGGTCCCCGAGTTAGGCGGGAGGGGAGGAGAGGTGGAGGAAGAGGAGGGTGTTGGTGATTTAGGAATTGGTGGTGAGGGTGAAGGAGAGAGAGGAGAGGGAGGAGGAGAGGGAGACGAGGGAGGAGTGCGGGGAGGAGGGGTGGGGGAGGGGTCGGGGAGTTGGAGATAAAAGGCGTCGTAGTTGAAAACGGCCTGACAGGCAGAGGGGGCCGAAACGCAGGGAGAGGATTGTGAGGCGGTGTGGTTCGGTTGAATGCGAGGAACGGGAAACCAGCGGGGCGAAAAGCGAGAGGGGCGAAGGGTAAGCTCGAGAGGAGGGCGAGGGATGCGAGCCGGTGTGGTGCGGTGAAGTGAGACGGCACAATTATTTGGTCCCAGTGCTGCCGTTTACTACTGCGTTCTCGTGTTTCTGTGTTGTCGTGTCGTGATCTCTTGTTTTTTCACCACTTAAGTCAAAGGCTCCCTCTCTCTACAGTCTGGAAAGCATCACCGTCGTTGCCTTAGTGGAGAAAGAAACAAAGATGCTAACGAGGACGGCAGCAGCGCGTACCACAGGCTGCGTGGCGGTCCCATTCGAGGACGGCTCCTCCTGAATGTCCACCGTGGCGTTCACCACCGCCTGGTGCGGGGAGAAAAGGCAGGGGGAAGGGAAATGAGGGAGGGAAAAGGGGAAGGAGGGAGGGGGAAGGCAAGAGAAGAGAGAACTCGGGACGCCGGACCATTACAAACCATGACGGGAGGGGTGGGGAAAGTGACAAACTATAAGTTGTGAACCTGAGTAGTTCGTTAGGAGTTTCTTTTCCGAGTATCACTATATAAAGTTTTACATTGGCCTCAAAAAGTACACGCAGGACGCCAGCTAGCCAGTTTGCAAACGGCATGCAGTCAAGCGAGACGGCCGTACCTTGCCGGCCGGCAGGCCTGTGGCGACCGCGTCTTCCGGAATTGTTGGCGTCACCGTTACAATCATGCTGTCCACGCCGCCGCTTGAGCTGTTACCGTTACTGTTGCTGTTGCTGTTGCTGTTGCTGTTGCTGCTGTTTGCTTTATTAACCGCTCCGCTGCTATTGGAATTTCCACTGTTGGTACCACCAGGCTGCGTCTTATTACCCCCGCTATTACTACTAATGTTGCCCGCTGCGTTGTTCCTAAGCCACTCGCTATTACTCCCAGAGCTGTCGCTATTGCTGCTAGTGCTGGTGTTGCTATTGCTGCTGCCGGTACTACCACCGTTGCTGCCGGCGCTGCTACCACCGTTAACGGCACTACCAGTCGTCTTGGTAGTGATTGTAACGAGCGTCCTCCGCACCGAGTCTCCTTCCAAACTGAACTGCTTCGGTTCGACATCAACAGACGCAGAAGCAGCGTCAGACGTAGCAAATGAGCCAGCTGCATCAGCAGCTAATTTGGCGTTAATATCTTCTGAAGCTGCAGGAACAGTAGCCGGCACTGCTGCAGTTGTTTCCATAGTAGAAGCACTTGAGTCGCGCTTCTGCCGCGCCATATACAGCGCGAAAAGCGGTTCATGCCGTCGTTGGCGATTAAATACGATGCTGACGCTCCAAGGCAAAAGGTGTCTCCCGCCGCGCGCCAATTCTGCTGCAACGGTTTCTGCGGCCGACATTTTAGTATCGAGCGCCGTGGCCGTGGCTATAGCGATTATTTGCGTAGCAATAACAACGGAGGATAAAATCCACATTGGAAAGAGCCACATTCGGCGATCGCTTGCCATTTGATTATAATATTTTATTCGCGTTAACGAGTCGGTTTCTGGAGGGAAATAATAGCGAATCCCTGATCGCCAAGAGTGAGCAACGGCACTACTGGAGCATCGGACATAAAGCGCCCCTAGGCTCAATTCAATCTACGAGCCGCGCATACTCGTTCTACAAGCTACGACTGTAGCATCTCACTTAGGGTGACTTTTGAGTCGACTAGAAAATTACGAGCCGAACATATTCGTTCTACAAGCTACGACTGTAGCATCTCAATCCGCCTTGCGGTCGCTCGACTCCCCAAGCCTGGAAGGCCATAGCCCGTCAACACTGCAAGCTCGGAGTGCTACCACGGGACAGAAGTGTCAAGAAAACGAGGGGGCGGCTATTTTTGAGGCGCCTCAAAAAACGAGGGGGCGGCTATAGGACGAGAAAACATTTGTTCACTCCATTCATCTGATCGCGAACATCTCTGCGATCCGTTCCATGACGCAGAGTCTCCTTCGGACCCAGCTGGAAACGACAAACAGGCGCTGGCAAATAGTGGTGCTGCTCGCTTGCCCGCTAGCCTTTTGTTGACCCGCTAGCCCTGAAGGCCTGAAAGGGAAGGAGGGGAAGGAAAGTCGTAATTTGACACGACCAGCACGCCATGGTATTGAATGCGGAGAAAGGGCAGAGGGATGGTTGTCGTGCAGCGGGGGATGAGGTGTCTGAGGAGACGAGATAGCTGACTAGTAAAAAAAGTCACCATGGTGCGGGGTGAGGGTGGACAGGGGGAGGAGCTATTGGTGTATTGGTTGGTTACGGTAAAGATGGTTTGGTAGGGATCAGAATGGAGTACTGTAGGATGCAAAGAGGGGTGCCATTTGGTGCAGGGTGGGAGGCAGGTCGAGGCGAGGTCATGCCGAGTGCCACACGCAACGCAACGAAGGTGGATGGCGGCGAGGGAAGGGAAGGAAGAACGAGGCGAACGAGACTGCAGTGGAGTGGTGGATAGAGGGGCGACATTTGGAGTCGCGTTACGTGCCCCTGAGTGCGGCGCCGCGAATTCTCAGGATTCGTTAGACTGCGTTCGGCAATACTTCACGCAGCCAGACCAGGCTTTAAAAAGGAGGCAAGTTTCGATTACAGGTGCAATTTGAGGGTTAAAACTCAGAAGTTTATATATTTACGCCCCCCGGAACGTTCAAAACGTTGTGTGATCTTCAAGTGATTGCTAGCGCCGAAAATAGCTCAGCGGACAAGCGAGTCCGCCCGGGGGAGCTCGCTGCCCGCGGGCAAAAAAAATAAACCCCAGACGGGCATGCATCCGGTCAGGGAGCCTCAACCCTAAACGCGGGGAGGCATGGTGTTTAGGGTTGAGGCTCCCTCGGATGGCATGCCATCCGATGGGGGTTTAGTTTTTTTGCTGCCTGGGGCAGCAGGTCGACAGGTCGACACAGGTCGACAGGCTTGTCGACCTGATTCCGCTGAGCTCTTCCGTGGACAGCGAGCGGGTCAAAGTTAGTTGCTTTGCGAGATTCGTGGTGGTGACGGCGCACCAGTTGCTTTCCTTTGTCGAGTTGTCACGCTTTAGGGGGAGCCCATATACGGTACTAGATTCGGTGTACTGAGTGAACCCACATGCTGGCTATCATCGGTTTGTTTCTAGGGTTCGCATATTAATTGCATTGATGAATAAAAAACGGAATCAAAGGTGTTGGTACATTGCACCAACACCAATCAACTACTATGATACACTAAACACGTATCTGGAAACAAACACGTAGATTTGCTAGCCACAGTATGGTACTGCTGAAGTCATGGTAACTGGTCCACAAGTGGAGGCTTTAGCCGTGCCCGCCTGGCACACGCGCAGTGTGACTGGGCCCTGGCGCACCTGCCCTTGGAAATTGGGCACCTGAAAAGAATATTTCCGTTGACAGCCAACATAGATCACGGAGGATGATCTGGAAGCGGATGGTTCCCCATATGACAACTTGGCATACCAAGCGTTGCTTATCCTGGGGAGGAAGTAGCAAAGAGGGAAAGAATGGGGAGAAAGGAGGGAAAACAAGAGATAGTTCAAGAGTGAACGCTGCCAATTCTGAACATGCCTTCCTCGACTGGACTTAGAGACAGTCACATGGGACAGGGGAATAGACAAGATATGTCTTCACGATGCATGTGACGACAGTTAACTTCACCCCCCGAGGAACAAAACACAACACGGAAACCACAGCTAAGGGCGATGAGAGCGGAAGGCAAAAATCTTCACCTGACAAGTTTGGAGGTAGCAGTGGCTTTTACTTTGCACTTGCCAAGAGGGACTAATGCAGCGCTCACATACGGCCCCTCCTGGCACTGCGGAGTGGCAGACGGCACGCCGCCATTCGTCACGCCGCCATTCGTTGCGCCCCCTGCCGATGCCCCTGTCGCTGCCCCTGTCGCTGCTGCAGCGAATTTCGACGCTGATTTCGAAGCTGACGTGGCAACTGACTTGGAAGCTGACATGGCAGGTGCAGAAGCTGCACCGGCGCTGCCAGTGGCAGCGGCAGCAGCCCGGGCATCAGGACCGGTTAAGAACCATCGGGCAGGTGTGAAGGGTTGAAGCAACTGCATTCCCTGAGCCACTGTCGAGCCTCCGCTTCCTGCTGAGCTGGCAGCACTGCTGCTGCCGGAAACTGCAGCTATGGAAAAAGTCTGGGACGAGGATGGATTGGGAGAGACAGGAGACCCAGAAGCTAAGGCTGAAGTTGCACCTGAAGCTGAAGCTGTGGCAGTATTGCTGCTGCTGGTGGTATCCTTTGCTGTGTTGAGAGTTGCATTCCCACTGCTTGTGGTGCTAACAGCGCTGCTGCTGCTGCTACTGGTGCTCCCGCTACAACCGCTACAACCGCTGCTTCCGGTGCTGCCAGTGCTGCCGCTGCTGCCGGTATCAGTACTGCTGCCTGTGCTGCCCGTGCTGCTTGTGGTGGTGCTGCCCGTGCTGCTTGAGGTGCCGCTGCTGCTGTCGGTGTTACCAGTGCTGCCGGTACTGGTAGCGCCACCAGTGGATCCAGTGTTACCGGTGCTAGCAGTGCTTCCAGTGCCCCCGCTGCCGCTGCTGCCGTTGCTGCCGCTGCTGCCGTTGTTGCCGCTGCTGCCGGTGCTGCCGGTGCTGCCGGTGCTGCCGGTGCTGCCGGTGCTGCCGGTGCTGCCGCTGCTGCCGGTGCTGCCAATACTGGTAGTGCTACCAGTGCTGCCAATGCCAGCACCGGCACTGGCAGTGGTGACGGTGGTGGTGTCAACCGGAAAGACAAGGATGTTGTAAGTCACCGTCACAGTCATGCCTGCACCAGCGGCTGCTGCTGTGGATGTCACGACTCCTAGGGACGCGTTCAGCATGGCCTGAGGCGGGCGGCGGGAAGGATAGGGGTACAGGGGACGGATGAGAGTGAGGAGAGCGAGGAGAGGGAAACGAGAAGTCCCCTCTCATCTCACCATTATGTTTTTTGAGAATTCTCAAAAAACATAAGCTAGGAGAAGTCCCCTCACACCATTCCGTCCCCTCGCTCGGCCGGCCCTTATGCCCCTCCCTCCGCCTATATTATCACACCTTCTCTTCCGCCCCTTCCCCTTCCCCGCTCTCTTCTCACGTCTCACCTGTCCTTCCGCCCCCCTTCCCCGCTCTATCGCGTCGCTCCCTTTCTCACATCTCACCTGTCCTGCGGGGAACCCCAGCGCGACGGCGTCAGGCGGGATGGGGGGGGTCGTCGTCGACTCAAACATCGCCGTCGTTGTCGTCGCGCTGTCGCCCATTCCCAGTCGCACGGCCTCCGTCGGCCCGCCCGACCCAATCCCAGGCACCCACGCGCTGCTCCCCGCGCCGCTCCCTGCGCTGCCCGCGCCGCCCGTCCCCGCAACATCCGGCACGTATCCCGCCCACTTGCTCCGCGTGCACTCCCGATCGTGGCACATCACGTGCGCGCGCCCGCCCTCCCACCACCGGTCCTCGCTCTCCATATCCTCCGCCGGCGGCGGCGGAGACGGCGTGGGCGTCGGCGTCGTCGTCGCATTGTCGTCGTCGTTATCGTCGTAATCGTCGTCGCCGTACGGTCCGTCGTCGTCGTCGTCGTCGTCGCTTTCCCCATTGTTCCAGCCTTGCTGCCATTCCGGCCAGCCGCGGCCCCTCCGGCTCCTACAATTCCTAGGGCTCCTGTTCGAGTCGCAAGGAGGACCTCTCCCGTCGCCGCCTCTTCCGCCGTCTTTTCCGCCTCCGCCTTTCCCGCCGTCTTTCCCGTCCCCGCCTCTTCGATAACTTCCACCGCCTCGTTCGCTTCTCTCGCCGCCTCTATGCATCGGCTTCGCTCTACCAGCGGTGCTCGCCGTTGCCGTTTTCGACCCAGCCTTGGGACCAGCCGGGGCGGCTGCTTTCGCGACAGGTTTAGATACTAACTTACCCGTAGCGGCTTTCACGGCGGTTTTAACGGCGGATTTCACGGCGGTTCCAACGGCGCCAGTGACGGCCTTAGCTGTTAACCCCTGCTGCGGCGTCGCGACCAAAAGTCGGAGGAGATGACGGCCGCTGCTAGGCTCCGCCGCCTCTTGCGGAACCTCAAAACTCGTCTTAACGGCGCCTGTTAACGGCTGCGCCGTCGCGACCAGAAGTCGGAGTAACTGACGGCCGCTCCTAGGCCGGGCCGCCTTCTCGGCTCCTCCCAACCCCTCCACGGTCGTACCCGCGAGTGCTGACGTGTCATCTAAGAACGCTAGCAGGGGTCTAAATATGTGTCCAAAACTGAGTCCGAATCTATGTCTGACTCTGGATAAGACAGATTTAGAGTCTCCCCAAGAGGCAAGGCTGTCGGGGCGTGAGCTGTCAGCACTATCGGCGGTGTTATTGGCGCTTTCGGCGCGCAGTGAATGCGCGCATAGTAGTGAGCATATTAGAAAAACTGCCCAGCCTGTTGAAAAGGAGATTCCGGGCTTGCCAGAGTTGCGTCGCGAACCCATGACCCCGCTGGACGCGGTTGCCCGGATTCGCGGCTGCTCAGGAGAAGAGAGGAGGACCGTGATGTACGGCTAAGATGACATCCGCGCCAATAACTGGATGAAATTCGTAAAAAGACGGCTACGATGCATTCAGGGATGTGGGAAACCTAAAATAAACGGCTGGGATGCATGCAGGACCGGACCCTGCGTCTACCGTGGAAGGAGATACTTCTGTTGGTGAATGCCAGTCAGCGACGAAGTTTTTTAGGAAAAAATAACCAAGCGAGGCCGAGGGTGGTATTAGCAGACCTCCTGTAAAGGCGAAACAAGACCGTTCCGTGCGGATTTGAGCTCCACTCAATCGCATGTATCAGCTGTTTCTTCATTCGAATCTGTCGATGATTCCATATTTACACGAAATCTATTAGTACGCTTCGGAGGAACTTAGCGAGCGCAGCCAAGCTAGCAGTTGCTGCGCGGGTTACACGCCGCGCGACTTGACTGAAGCTGCTACCTTTCTCTAGCGCAGCCGAGTTAGCAGTTGCTGTGCGGGTTACACGATGTGCGGCTTGAGGTAAGTTACTATCTCGCTCTTGTTGCAGATGAATCGTGGCTGTTACCTTAGCGGGAATCATGTGAAAAAGGTTGGGAGGTTGAGGGCGTATTCCTAGCTTCGGGTCATCCGGCGTTTGTGTCATCCGAGAATTGAGGTAGCCAATCGTAGAACTCGCGGTTCGAAATTTGATTTTTCCGATTGGATGCCGCAAATTTCGGATGACACGAAGAAGGGATGACCCGAAGCCAGGAATACGCCCTGAAAAGCAACCAGAAAAGCACATCGAGCAGCAACAACAGCAGAGGGGTACAGTAGCAACAACAGCAGGGAGCAGCAAGTGGCAATAAGCCAAGGAAGAGGGATGGAGCCATGGCGGACGAATGAGTTGGAGGAGGCGGGGGGAGAAATTTGGTCGAGCAATTTGCGCACGTTGGGAGGGTGGGGCACCGCATGGAATGGGACACGGGGAAAGGGTTTGTTGAGACGCGGAGGGACGAAGGGAAGGGGAAGGGGTGGAGGGGAACGAGGGAGGGGTTGGGAGGATCAAACCAATGCCCCTCGGCGGGATCATTTTTAACGGGATTAGTGTTGGTTCTGTAGGTTTTAGAAACGTCAACTGTGGGTACATTGCGGTCTGGATCGAGTTTGGACCATCCTCGATCTTCCAACTTATAACCCCCCCTGGCGGAAGGAGGGAGTTGCGGGAAGGGGGTTGAGCAAGGGGAGGTTGCTTTACGAGTATCGGCTGCGTTCTGCAGGCACGGCAGAGGGTGCGGAGGAGGTGGATAGGAACCTTCCCTCACCTGCGTTTTTTGGTTCAAACGAACGGTCAGCCCGGAAAATGGAACCAAGCCTCTCATTCACCCTCCGAACGTAAACGAAGGTAAATGGCAACAGAACAGCCATTTACCCTTGCGGATATAAGGTCGTGGGAAGCTGCCTATTTTCCCTCCCCACCTTCCTTCTCTGGCAAAATTTGCCTCCTTCGCCCCCCCTTTCGAAAACTGCTCTTGCCCGGGATGTGAGACGGAGGGGGAGGGAGGCGCTGGGTTAGGGAACACCACACCTGAACCCTTCCAAGCAAACAACCTCTCCCTTGAGTAGCCCAAACAGGGACGCGTCAAACTAACAGGTAAAAAAAAACACAAGCCACCAGACTCCTCGAACTGAATTGTGTATTGCTGGAGGGAGTGCTTTGGGTCGTTTTTTTTCCACGTGGTTACCCTTCTCTAAACTTCCACCCTTTTTGTGATGCCGCGCAGCTCTATCTACCTAACTTCGAGGCAGTGGAAATTGTGGCTGTTTTTTCGCCATTTACCTTCAGCAGCTTCGCACCGAGCAACCTAAATCTCCCACTTTCGATTGTAGCGGGAGGGGGGGGAGAGATTCGAAGGGGAAAATGCTTCGGAACCCTCGTCATTTCCCTCGCCCCCTCACCTCCCTCCCAAGGGAAATGCCTACAGAACGCAGCCGTTGTGTTTTGTCAAGGGCGAAGAGAGAGAAGCGCAACTTCGACGACACTGGTTACCAGTTTCGGTTTCGATACAGTGGCAGAAATCTAGACGTTGCTTCCACAGTGCACCTGACGTCGTAGGAAGTTGAACGGTTGAGATGCTACCTGGCATTTTTCAACGGACGGATGAGGCCTTGAGTTTGGTGCAAATCCTCAGCAGTCGGTGGGGTGAAGAGGGGAAGTGGAGGACACTGCAAAGAGCAAAAGCCAAGGCGCATGTCAGGGAGCATTTGACCCCACCCCTCCCCCTATCGTCACCTTCGCCCCGCAGGAGAACTGTCATGCCATGCCGTCTCCAATTTTGCTGAGCTCACAGCTCAGCACACCACCAGCATCAAGGGAGGGATTCATCCCATCTATCACCGCCCTACTCAGCACGGGAGAATGCCCATGTCATAATCATGTGCCCTACAATTTCATTTGAAGGTCCAGCCACGTCAGCTCAACGGATAATTTTACATCATCAAAGTTTTTCTTGACGTGCCCCACACTTTAGGGATCTCCGCAGTAATTACCCCTCGTGGTTGGGTCCATTGTGATCCCAACACACTGATCCCACTGTGCATCTGTCTGTCCATCTGACGTGCTCCTGTGCTTTGAATGATGGGCGTGCGAAATGAATGGAGAGAAAGGGAAACTGGGACACCATCCCAAAACTCGCACTACCCGTACCCTTCGAAAATCGTGGGGGAATGAGACGTAACAAAACGCAACTGAGCTTGTGTTGAATTCCGAGGACGGAAAGCTGTAAAACCCTCTTGTGTGTGTCCGTTCCTTTTGTATAACTACGTTCTTCTTGGTGTACTAAGAGCCAATCGAGTAGACGAGATTGTAAAGACAAGATGGAAAAAAGTGATAACATTGAGGACTCTTCAACAGAAAAATTGCAATGCTATTTCCCTGTGTGGTGCTTCGCCTTGACGTGGTTTGCTAAGGAATCAGAAGACGTGAATCTCCTGCAATTCAAGTGACATTGACATTGGGACAAAAAGGGGTAAAATGCTTTGGCACAACGTGCATTTACTAAAATAAAAAAGAAGACAACAGGAGCAAGGCTGAGTGCAAACTACACTAATAGGACACAAACGATATGAAGGTCTCACTTTGAACACGCCGTGCATGGGAAGGAGCCTGGTTTAGGAGTAGATGGCGAAGTGCTCTGGACAGGGGAGGTTGACTTGGGCATTCCAATAAGCAATCCATGCAAGGTGAGGAAGGGGGAATGGGGAGTGGAGCATGGGGTAGAGGGCGGTGAAATATCAGGCGTCAGTAAAGCTAGTCAACAATCCAGTTTGCCAAACATTCTAATGCAACGATCCACAAGGAAATCAGAGCAGAATGGAGAGAGGGTGAACCTTTCCAGTACCTTCTGGGCTTGAGGAGGGGTTACAGTGGCAGCTGCCTGCGGCTTCACCTTGGCTGCACATAACAACAGCAACAGCAACAGCAACAGACAGTAGTCGAGAATTTGGGGGTAAGAAAGCAACTTATTAGAATTCTCAAACAGTGTCAAGACGTGCGATGCCCAAGTATCTCGTAACTTCAATACTACATCATCTTCTTCCCTCACCCCATCGGCTGTCTTGCCACTACCAGCACTGACAGGGCTTGTGGGGGTTAAAAGCATGACGTGCTCAATAACTCATCCTCCTTTTCCCTCATTCCATCTATTGCCTTGACGATACCCAGTGCAGGGTGCGCTTACAGCCTGAATGAGCAAACGACCACTTTTCCCCGCACCCTACCTGCTGTCTTGATGGCAGCGGGGGTGTCAGGGCGAGGTTTCTTCCGCTCAGTCTTCTCCCCCTTGCCTTTCGAGGAGGGCGGAGTGATGATGCTCACTGATGGCCGCTTGCTGCCCGTCACAGGCTGTAGAGCGACACGTGTGATGGAGGGTGAAGGAGGGATAAGAGCAGAAACACCATGCCATTCGCTGCATTGCAGGCGGCAGGAGTTGCATGGACATGCAATGTGCAGCACAGTGTACAGACAGTCACTGATACCATGTAAGCCAACAATGTGATGACATATGAGAATTGGGCAGTTTGTAATGTCAACAGCGATTTTTGAGGCGCCTCAAAAAGCGATTTTTGAGGCGCCTCAAAAATTGGGCAGTTTGTAATGTCAACAGCTCAGTGCTTGAAGTTTGACCCGCAAGCATGACTATCCGGCTCTTATTCTCCAGTCACAAGTACCACGTTTTTCGCTATACCTCTCCTGCTTCGCCCACCAACCTTTTTCTTTTCTTGTGCTTTCTGAGAGAAGAGTAGGTCCACTTTTGAGGCGTCTCAAAAGTGGTATATTAAGCTAAACACTTTCTTTTGTTTTCTTGTACTGACCTCTTTCTTCGGTGTCACTTTTTTCATTGGTGTCGCTTCTTTCCCATTCCTCGGTGCAGAGTCTTTGCCCTCCGTTCTTGCTGCCGGAGTTCCTTGCTTTGTTGCTGCTGGTGGTGTTGCTGCTGCTGCTGCTGCTGCTGCCCCTCTTCCCCTTGCTGGGGAGGGCACCGGAGTGCCTTTCTTTCCTGACTTGATGCGCGCTGCAGCAGGACACAGGCAGGAATGATATTAGTGGGGGATGAGATGAGCACCGGAGGGCATGTTTTGATTCACCTACTAATGCTTCTGCCCCTCTTCCCACTTGGGGAGGGCACCGAAGTGCATTTCTTTCCTGACTCGATGCGCGCTGCAGCAGAACACAGGCAGGAATGATAATAGTGGGGGATGAGATGAGCACCGGAGGGCATGTTTTGATTCACCTACTGCTGCTGCTGCCCCTCTTCCCACTTGGGGAGGGCACCGAAGTGCCCTTCTTTCCTGACTTGATGAGTGCTGCAGCAAAACGAGGGCTGGGAAGATTTGGGGGCATGTTCTGAGGGTAGTGGGCAATGGGTAACAGGGGTTTGAGACGTCTACAAGCTGCAAGGCGAGCAGGCATGATTTGGGGCGGATGGCATGATTTGGGGCGGATGGCAGTGGGGAATTGCAAAACACAATGGGCAATGGGAGATGGGCAATGGGTAATGGCCGATGGAGAAGCAGAGCAGGTGTGGGAGGAATTTGAGGGTCGGAAGCTGGAAATGTCTGCTTGAGGGCCGATGAAGGTTTGCAGTGCAATGACAACCTCACACAAGCGACCGTTAAACAAATGTCAATAACAGTAGAGAAAATTGGGGGGAGACGAATCTCACCTCTCTTCTCAACAGCCGCCGCTGCAGCGGCCGCCATTCCCTTTGACGATTTCTCGGCTGGAGATGGGAGAAGAGGGGGGTAACACGAGATAGACAAAGGCCAGGTCTAGTTACAAAACGAGATATTACAAAACGAGAGACATAGGCCATGCACACTTATCAAATCCACCGGGGACAAGCAGACCAGGTCTACTTCTGGAAGGATACGGTACAGCTGACCAGCTTTGGCACTCCAAGGTTGCCTTACTCGCTGCAATTCCAGTCATATGGAACAGGTAAGGCCTCACTTAATCCCTTGTCAGCTCACCTGCCATGGCAGCTGCTGCTGCTTCCTCATCATCACTGCCTTCCATCGCCTCGTCTTCCTCTTCCTCATCGTCATCCTCATCACTGTCCTCTTCCTCCTCGTCCTCCTCAATTTCCTCGTCCTCATCTGAACCGTCACACAATACCAAGCGTGCACATAAGCAGAGACTTTTAAAACAGCTTAATTCGTTTCAGCGTGAAGGAACCTAAACCACGGGAGACAACCCTAAAAGAAATGGCATATTTCTACCCTACAAGCACTCACCATACAAGCACTCACCATACAAGCACTCACCATACAAACACTCACCATTGAGGGGCTCAAGAACACACTGTGGTTGCCCGCATGAGCCAGGCTGAACTGGCGGTCAAAGATATGGCCTATGCATGCTCACATGGCAATGAAAGGGGGAGTCTCCCCGTACAAGGAGTCACCACACTATCACTCACCATACAGGGAGTCAGCACCAGTGGCATCAGAGGTCTTATATCCCGAGAAGAACATGCTGTGGCTGCCCGTGTGGGCCAGGCTGAACTGACGGTCAAAGATATGGTTCATGGCTGCTCACATAGCTATGGGGGTTGGAGTTCCCGAGCATACAAGCACTCACCGTACAGGGAGTCAGCACCAACGGAATCAGTGGTCTTGTAGCCGGAGAAGAACACACTGTGGCTGCCCGTGTGGGCCAGGCTGAACTGACGGTCAAAGATGTGGTTCATGGCTGCAAAGTCCACCCGCCCCTTCACCAGCACGCCCAGCACAACCTCCGGCCCCACTGCAAACGACTTGGACTTCGACGCCCCCTTGCCCGGCTTCCCCTTGCCGTCATCATCACTATCGTCGCTATCCTCGCTGTCATCACTGTCCTCATCATCCGAGTCTTCGGGGAACTCCACCTGTCGCACTTTGAGCACCACCCGCTCATGGTCCTTGGCTACCTCACCAAGACTCGCCTGCCAGTGAGAAGGGAGAGCGGAGAATCATTGCCGTTGTCATCGCTACCATTGCTGTCATCACCATCAGACCTGTCGAACCTTGAGCACCACCCGCTAATGGTCGTTAGCCGCCTCACCAAGACTCGCCTGCCGTCAAGTGGGTGAGACGTGGGTTGCACGCGCGTAGAGGAAGGAGCAGGACATGGTAACACGTGAGCAGGGGAGTGTGTGGGGAGGGGGGGTGGAAGAAAACGATCGCACAAGCATTGGACGCTGTTCTGCTCTCCATGTTGCACATGACTGACATTTGTCTCGTTTCGTTTGTAGTTCGTCCACTTGTCATCTGTGTTGCCTGCAAGCAAGGGTTTGCATTATGCATGCGACACCAATGACAAGTGGACGAAACTTTCACATGAAACACTGACATGCAGCAAATGTGTGCCGGTGTGCCGGGGACAGGTGCGTGCAGAGCATTGAAGGAGTACCTGGGACACGCGCACACAGTACACCTGGGTAATTCATGCAGTGCAGGTGGTACCTGGGACAGGTGTATGTAGTCGAAGTCATGCTCTGTGGGATCTACCACCACCGTCTCACCCGCCTTCACTTCCACTCCTGCCGAGCAACCAGTTCATTAGTGGCAACGAACGGGCCGGCAGCACGATTGGTAGTGTAAGCCGAAACTGGAGCAGCTTGAAACGAAGAGGGTTCAGACGAAGCACACCACGAGGAAATGAATTCCCACCGTCTTTTCAACAATTCGCATTTCCACACTCTAGAGAACCCCCCTCGCATTCTCAATATAATCTCATCTCAGCGACGCACCCCAAAACGACATATGGACCGTTTAATCAGAGGCAGCCGGCGTATCCCCCGTCGCCCGATCCGAGAAACACGCTTTTTCAACGCGGAAGGCTGGCAGGTACGACGACAAGGCTTCAAATCAGCAGACGGAGAAATCGGGATCCTGAGATTTCCTGAGGCGTAATGAAACTCGGAGTCAAAAGTTGGTGATGTTATGCGAGTATGCTTGGCGTTCAGGAGGAGACCAGGATACGATGGATGATTAGCTCGGCAGGGACAACGCAAAAGCTACGGCAAATGTCGGTTGCGGTGGGATGACCCACTCTATGAGCCAGCTGCCTGATAGCTCCCTAGAAATCACCGGCTAGGAAAAAGAAGATAACAGATAACCGAGCTGACCAGAATTTCAAGGTTGTCAGCGATGTGTGATCTGATCACTCGTTGTTAGATCACAAAACCGAAGTTCAACTCTCAGTACCGTACTCTAGCTCTTGAAAAAGGTGATTTGCTCCTCATGATGTGAAAAACGTCGGGATGCACAGGGGTCGGTAAAAAGCCATGCTATGAAATCAGTTGGGGCGTGATGTTCCGTATGTTACAGTATGAAGACTTGGAAACAGTGCAGAATGTACGCAGTGAAGCGAAGCGTCACTCTCTAGCGCATCATGCCATGAATGATTCCAACAGCTTGAGAAAAAATCAAACCATCGGTAGATTTGAGGATCTCACTTCTCGACCGTCTGATCATTACATGCCTGTGATCGTCATCTCTGGTCGAGTAATCTCTGATCATGTTCTGGAGCAGCAGCGTGACGAAGGTCCCAATCTGCGGCTCTGCGACATGCGAGTCGCAGGGACCCGTCGCATGTCGCCCGCTCTCCACAGACGAAGAGCTTTGGTGTCGCGCGATGGAGATGGGAACCGGGCTCGGCGTCGTTGGCCTACAGTTTTCCGGGCAGATTTCGCTTGAAAAAGTCCAGCAAGCAGCGAAGGAGCTTGGGTCGAAATTTCCTCTTCTGCTTGCCCGAGTCGTCGGGCAGGGTAAAGCCGGCGGTCCGCTAGAACTACACTTGTGCCGTGACCCGAAACCAATCACTGTAGCTACCCGGAGCATTGATGACGTGGCAGCTTGGGAGGCTGCTGCGCCATTGGACAACGACCCTAGCAGTCTCGAGCTCAAGGAAGATTCTGACGTGGCAAAGAAAGACCAAGGGAGTGACGTGTATGCGGATGCGAGAGCACCAGCTGATAGCGGTAAAGGAGAAGGTTCCACGTCAGCAGCGGAAGCCGTTTTTGAGAAGTTTTCTGCAGCAAACGTGGCGGACGAGAGAGGAGAGGAGCACGATGAGGAGGAGGATGCTTTCGAGGATGCAGAGGATGGTGACGGTGACGGTGACGGTGGTGATGGTGATGGTGATGGTGGTGATGGTGATGGTGATGGTGATGGTGGTGATGGTGATGGTGGTGGTGGTGGTGGTAATGGTGATAATGGAGGCGGTGAGTTTCTAGAAGCTAGTGCAACAGAAGGCAGTGGTGGAATCAAGGTGACCGGTAAATTTAAGGGCGTGGAGAAAGCGGAGGATCTGCACAGGATAGTGGAGATGGAGTTGAACCAGCCAATTACAGCAGCGCATGGCAAAGCACCAGCAGACGCCCTGCAGGTAGTGAGGGTCTTCTGAGTGGCACTGGGTTGCACTCAGTATCGGAAGCATTCTCCTGCCCACCCTCCTTTTGCCCGCAATGCTTCGCTTCTCTCCTTTCTGCTCCCTCCTGTCCTGTCCAATGCTTCAAGTGTTCATCCCAGCAAGCCCAGTGTCATGTTTCACTCCCCGTCTCTTGTTCTTTCAGCTTCAACCTTCACTCCCTTCCTCCCTCCATCCCTCTTGCCCATCTCGTTCCCTCCCTGCACTCAAGGGTCAGATCCACGTGTACCCCCCCCCCCCCCCCCCCCCCCCGGTTTGTACCGTCTCCCCCAATCCCACAGATCCACGTGTACCATCTCCCACGTGCCACCTGTCTGGCCCTCCGCTGCCATCGAGCTGTGCTGGACCGCCCAGCTGTGCGCCAGCTGGCAATGGCTTTGGTTTCCGCCCTGCACCGCTCGCAACCAGCCGTCACCGCTGACTCCCCAGAGTACGTCACACACCCGGCTATCCCCGAGTTTCGCACCATACTGTCCAGCCATGCGTGTGCCAGCTGGCAATGGGCCAGCTGACAATGGGCCAGCTAGCAATGGCTCCGCCATATACGCCATTCGAATTTCAAGACGTCTAAAAAATCCCCCCGTGCATGCACCACTCTCACTCCTACTTGACCACAAGCAAGCAGCTGTTGCCGAGCCATCAAGGTGTTGCCTTCACCACCGTCTCAAAACCCGTCTTCAGCCTTCACGGTTTTGCACCCAGGCACGCTCCAGCCTTGTAAGCACAGTGGCCCCCGTCAACCTTTTCTATCACCTCAGAATCTGCCCTCTCTCCCCCTTTGCCTTCCCCACCCCCCCCCCCCCCCCCCCCCCCCCCCCGCCCCCTCCACTGTCATATCCTCCCCTTGCAGGCACTCAGAAGCCGTGTCTCTCCCGCCTCACCTCTCTTCGCTCACTCCCAAGCCTCCTGAAACCCGTTCTTACCTCACCAAGAGCCTCTCTCAGGCCTATGATGCATTGGGCTATGTGCGCAGCAGTCTACATGTGCACTTGCTTCCAAAACCTCTCCCATTGAACTCCCTTCTTCCCTCACTTGCCTCCCTCCCACCCACACCCCCTCTGACATCTCCTCTCCTTGCAGGCACTCAGAAGCCGTCTCTCTCCCGCCTCCCCTCTCCTCGCTCACTCCCAAGCCTCCTGAAACCCGTTCCTACCTCACCAAGAGCCTCTCTCAGGCCTACGACGCATTGGGCTATGTGCGCAACGCCATGGCCTCCTCACACGCGCCCTTTCAGCCTGGCCGTGCTGACTTCAGAACGAACCGGTTCCGCTCCTCCTTTGCCTGCCTGCGCTTCAGCAAGCAAGGTCAGTCCTCTCAAGCCCATCAAAGGCCACTCTCAGGCGTACGACACACTGGGCTATGTGCGCAATGCCATGGCCTCCTTGCAGCCGCCCTTCCAGCCTGGCCGGGCGTATTCCAGAAAGAATGAGTTTTGTTCCTCCTTGGCGGCTGCAAGGAGGCCATGTCGTTGCAAGATGTTTTCCTCCTTTTCCTGTCTGCACTTCGGCAAGCAAGGTCAGATCTGACTCTGCCTCACTGGTTCCCTCTTCCTGCCTGCCTGCTTCTCTTGCTCCTGCAATGCTCCCTCACGAGCTTGCAACACTCTCTCTCTCTCACTTCAGGGGACATCTCAACATGGCAAGTCACCAGTCCATAAGTCGTTTTAAAACGCCAAATTTCTCAGTTCCCCATCCTCTCTCCTTCCTGCTGCCGCCTCTCCACCCAACAGTGGCTGAAAGCCTACTTACTGCCCTCGCCTCTCGCTCCTGCTCTCTTTTCAGCCTCGAGTGTCCGGCGGCGCTCAAGGCTCTGACAGATGCTTTTGGTCCCCCTTCTCCACCTTACATTTTCCTCCCTCTTCGCTGCCTGCCCTCCACCCAACAGAAACAACGAGCCTTCTTTCCGCCCTGGCCTCTCACTCCTGCGCGCTCTTCAGCCTCCAGTGTGCCGCGGCACTCAAGGCCCCGTTCCTGTCCCTTCCGTTTCCTGCCCTCCTCCCCCCAACAGAGACCGAGAGCCTCCTTGCCGCCCTCGCCTCCCACTCCTGCTCTCTCTTCAGCTCGAGAGTGTGGTGGCACGCAAAGTTGTTGCAATTTCCTTAGTCCTATTCTCCACCTTTCGTTTTCTTCCCTCTCCCCTGCCTCTCCTCTTCTAAACAGAGACTGAGAGACTCCTCGCCGCCCTCGCCTCTCGCTCCTGCTCGCTCTTCAGCCTCGAGTGTGCGGCCGCACTCAAAGCCGTGGCAGATGCCAAGCAGCTGGGCAGCCGCACAGAAACGTTCAATGTCACCAGGTGTGTGTGTGTCTGAGCAGGTCACTTGGTATGTGCGTATCACCAGGTGAGCATATGTGTGTACACCTGCTGCCACTCAAAGCCAAGCAGCTGGGCAGTCGCACCAAGACGTTCAATGTCACACAGGTGGAACAACACCACCGCCTCACTCACACCCCCCCTCTCACTCACTCACACTCCCCCGCTCGCTCAGGCCCTCCCTCTCGCTCACAACCCCCCTCTCCTCGTCCCCCGCGCTGCTGGACCCCCCTCTGCCACCCGACGCCATAAGGGTGTTCAAAACAGAAGATGTGCTTCTTACCCTCTTATTCTCACCCACCTCCTCCCCTCCCAGCATCATGAACTGCAGGCCACTGCTGGACCCGCCGCTAGCGCCCGACGCCATGGGGGTGTTCACCTCGGGATTGCCGCTCAAGCAGCCGGCCAATCAGGATCTGCCGCTTTGGGACGTGGCTCGTACTGTAGATGCTGATCTGGCAGCTTCCGTCGGGCAGAAGAAACAATTTACCGACATGCCCGTGCTGGAACTGCTCTTCTCTACGGTAATTAGTATTTTTATTTTCCTCTTTCAATGTGTTACCTGGACTGGGTTCCACATGGAGCGCCTCATTAGCAAAGCATTCACACTTTTTATTCCGAAACTGTTCAGGGCGTCTACTACATCGAAAAAGGCTCGAGAGTAACACACATGTATGTCCTCGCATGTATGTCCTCGCATGTGTGTCCTCGCATGTATGTCCTCGCATGTATGTCCTCGCATGTGTGTCCTCGCATGTATGTCCTCGCATGTATGTCCTCGCATGTATGTCCTCGCATGTATGTCCTCGCATGTATGTCCTCGCATGTGTGTCCTCGCATGTATGTCCTCGCATGTATGTCCTCGCATGTATGTCCTCGCATGTATGTCCTCGCATGTGTGTCCTCGCATGTATGTCCTCGCATGTATGTCCTCGCATGTATGTCCTCGCATGTATGTCATCGCATGTATGTCCTCGCATGTATGTCCTCGCATGTATTTCCTCACTCGCACAGCCTACACCTCTCCATAAATCATGGAATCTGAGTTGCTTTTGAAAATCCAAAAAGCGATTCTATGCGTGGTGCTGGTCATGATGAATTGCGGGAGTGGGATGAAGCATGCCTTCCCGGGAATCACAGACTTGCCCTTCCACATTCTCCTTCTCTGCATCCCACACCCACCACACCCCTCTTCAACCCCCCTTCTCTTCCCCCTCTCTTCTCCTCTCCAACCTTCCCCCTCCCACCCCACCCCCACTCTCTCTGTTGGTCTAATCTACAGGCTATGAGAACCTCAAGGTTTTCCCCCGAGTGCTCCCTCCGCACCTCCTTCATGTCTGCCACCACCGAGTCGCCCTTCTTCATGGACTGGCCAGCCAATTCTTTTCCTCACCACCTTCGTCCCCCTCTCCTCACCCAACCCCTCTCTGTTTGTTCCCAGGCCATGATTACTCCAACATTTCCCCCGATGCTCCTTCATGCATGCACCTCCTTCATGTCTGCCACCACCGAGTCACACTCGCACATCCTCCTTCTCCTCGTCCCCTCCCTGCTCCCCACACCCCGTCCCCACACCGCATCCACACACCACCTTAATCCACTGCCCCACTGTCCTTTTTTGTCTCATCCCCGGGCCACGAAAACGCCGACGTTTTCCCTCGAGTGCTCCCTGCGCACCTCCTTCATTTCTGCAATCACTGAGTCGCCCTCACAAGTTCACCTTCCCCTCGTCCTCTTCCCACTCCCCCCCCCCCCCCTTTCTCCGCACACCACTTCATCCCATCCCCCAACTCAGGCCATGAGAACGCCGACGTTTTCCCCCGAGTGCTCCCTGCGCACCTCCTTCATGTCCGCCATCACCGAGTCGCCCTTCCCCATGGACTGGCCGGCCAATGAGGAGGAGGGACATGCAGATGGGGCTAGTGGAGGAGGAGATGAGGGTTTGGTGCCTCAGCTGGAGGGGTTTGTGGGGCCGATCTTCGCAACGCATGGCGTCGGCCCAAGCATATCTGTCGGGGATGCGATATGTGTAAGTACCATGCATGATGAGCTTGCAAATACCTTTTGTTGTCTATGTGCAAATATGCTCACGCTATCCCATGATTTGGTTTGTCCCTTGCCTTGCACTTGTTACAGGATGGCGAACTCCACGTCTACATCAATTTTGTGTCTCCTTTGTTTTCACTAGACTTTATTGCTGGGTTTGTGAGATTATTCAAGCGATACTTCGAGGAAGCAATGAGCTAGTAATGATTAATGTAACCAGGATATTGTCAATTTGTCAGTTGTTGCACAATGTAACAGTCATAAGGTAGCGGAATTCGCTGATAGCCTTCTCCAATCAATGTCGCGAAATCATCTTACGTGTCAGCACAATGCTGGACCTGTCCAACCCATCATCCGTTTCTGCTCGCCACGCCAGCATCGCCCCTCTCGCCCACCCCTGGGTTTCCCATTCTGGTCCCTGAAGAACCGCAACGAACCGTACGAACACACGTTTTTGCAACCTTGAACTCCGCAATATTCCCTTCCACAAACATGTCTCCACAGGTGTTTGGTTCTGCTGGGTCTCGACCCTTGTGATTTTCTCATCGACTACTGCAGGAGAGCTATTTTCTCCCTCTTGTCCTGCTGTGAGCACTGAGGCTTTGACCTACTATTTTTGCAAGGCTAGTGTGGTCAGCCATGGCTTCCATTGCTGCTGCCTCTGCGTCGTTGTCGTCGCTGCAGATTGCCAGCAAGGCGACCGTTAGGGCTAGGAGCATTGCGACTGAGCTGTCGTGCGCGCGGGGGTTCGGGTGCGAGAGTGTACACGTTTCCGCATGCGGCTCCGAGTTTGCGCGTGGCGATGCTCTGCTCGGCGGCTGCGCACAGGAGATCGAGCAAAACAGCAGCGTTGTAGTCATGGCAGGTGGGTAGAGTCGCTATTACCCTAATGCTGACAACCAGTCACCCTCGTAGTTTACTTCCGTTCTCCCCATTTTTCGCCCTCACAAGAGATACCCTTTGTGTGTATGATTTAATGCACACGCCGTATTTGACATTCGACCATACTCAGTAAAAAAACTCCTAACCCCATTGTCGCCGTTACGTCCTCGTCGAGAAGCCTCGTATCTCTACATTTTTTACGACTCAAAGGTTCGTTGCAGTCTTCTCGGTACGTCTCTCACTCGCACAGTCTTCGTCCATTGGGGGGAGATTGAAGCTTGGACGTTTGAAGTGGTTGGATTGGTCTATGGGGGATATAATCATGTTGATTGGCACCTGAAGTCGCCCGGCTGTTTCGTGTAATGACCGTTGTCCTCACTTGTCAAAGCGTCCTCCTCTAGTTCCTTGGGCCTATCTGAACGGGCAGTTGGTCACGTGAAATGTCGGGCCCTAGACGACGGTAGGACGGAATATATTTGCTGATGTGACGTCTGGTGGATGTAATCGAAAGTCATGTACCTTTTTCACAGAGAAGGACTTAGAGTGGTGAATCCTAAGCCTGCCACGTGCCTGCCACTCTACTGAGTTAGAGCTTCATGCGTTTGTTAACCCGCTTCAGCATTATCCACACCAGTGAACGTGATTTCTCTTTACTCACTTGAACACCATGTCCTCCACAACCTTGCTGCTCCCTTCCTGGACAACGCTGAAAAAGGACTGAAGGGAAGTCTTGCACCCATTCTGTTCCTATGATTCATATTTTTGGAGCTCATCGTCTCAACACCTTCGTCCCATCCTTCCTGGGTGCTGTCTGTGAAGTCCTCTCGAGTGAAGGCGATTTTGACAATCCACCCTGTGTTCGTTCTTGGCTCATTTTTTCAACTCCCTTGCTTCTCCCCATATGCAGTGCCAAAGAAAGGGACTTCCCGGACAAAGACCAAGATCCGCCGGGCTGTGTGGAAGGCTCAGGCTCGGGGCGAGGCTCTTAAGGCTCTGTCCCTTGCCAAGTCAGTGCTTACAGGCCGCTCTAAGAGCTTCATCTATGTGCAAAACGAGAAGAAGAGTGCTGATGAGGAGGGCACCGATGAGGCTGCCTCTGAGTAGACGTAGGAAGAAAACGATTCAATTTCATGTTCTGGTCACATCAAAGCAATCCCAACGTTTTATATGATGGGTGGCATGGCATGGCATCCCATGAAAGCAGTCATGTGCACCTCCTGGATTCTTGAAACACGGATGGAGTCAGTAATATCGTACCCTCCCAGCTACAATGATGTGCACACGTAGCTTTGTGAAGAAATGCAGTGGATAAAACCTAGTTGTCAATGGTTAGAAAGTAAAAACCTTGATTCAGTATACTCGAAGGACCTTCTTGTTCATAAGCTCGTAACTACACTCCTGGCTTTCGCGTCTATGCTACATGTGGATTACCACCAAAGGACATGGCCTCAACCATACCAAACCCCACTACGCCTTGCACCACCTCTGGCAGATTCGTTCGCTCCCAGCGGAAACGCAGCTCCACCCCCCCCCCCGCCGTACCTCAATCCCGTCCCTGCACACTCAAATGCGCGCCCCGTTCTCCCCCAACCCCCTCCCCTGCTGACGTTTGCGCCTCCCTCCCTGCGCTGCATTGTTCGGCTCGAGCGAGAGGTTCCTCCCTCCATCCCTCTTTCCTCCCGCCCTTCCTCTTCCCCTCCTCCTGCTCCTCCCTCTCCTCCCCCCTTCACCTTTTCAGAGCAACCCCTGTCTCTCCTCTTCCCCTCTTTTCCTCGATTTCACCATGACGACTTCTCTGAGGAAGAACCGCAAAAAGCGCGGCCACGTCAGCGCCGGCCATGGCCGTATCGGCAAGCACAGAAAGCATCCCGGCGGTCGCGGTAACGCGGGAGGCATGCACCACCACAGGATCATGATGGACAAGTACCATCCGGGTTACTTCGGTAAAGTCGGTATGCGTTACTTCCACAAGTCCATGAACAAGTTCCACTGCCCACACATCAACCTTAACGAGCTCTGGTCGCTCATTCCCGCCGATGTTAAGGAGAAGGCCAGCGGCGCCGGATCCGCTCCCGTGCTCGACGTGACCAAGTTCGGGTTCTTCAAGGTGCTTGGCGCCGGCGAGCTGCCACCGCAGCCGTTGATTGTGAAGGCGAAGCTGTTCAGCAAGCTGGCGGAGCGGCGGATCAAGGAGGCCGGCGGAGCGGTTCAATTGACGGCGTAAAGTTGACGGCTAGGCGTCAGGCGGTTTTCTGTCGGCAGCTGATTTTGGCAGGCAGCGGCTAGGGTTCCGTTCGGCTCGGTCAGGGATCCAGGAGTAGGGACTAGGCTTGCAGGCTGCTGATCGGCTGGTTACCTGTAGGTTACTGGTCGGTCGCTTTGCTTGTTACGAGTTCCTCCATAATGGGTACATATTTCCTGATACAAGATACAGATTCCCTTTGCCATGGCCCGTCTTTTACTGGCAGTGGCTGCCGAGCCTGCTCCGGCCTCCGAGCCTGCTGCGACCATGATGTCTCTTGTCAGTCCAAGCATCCTATCATCCATGCAGTCAAGCATGCAACAATCCAATCATTCAAACATCCACGCGCGTGTCTGTTTCTGCAGGGTGTGCTCTTCATTCTCACGTTACCGAATTTTTTTTTTTGGTCTCCTGTCGCATTTTCACGGACCATGGGAGACCGAGGGAGAACGGGGCAGGGGGAAGGACGCGGGTTTCTGGGATGGGGGAGGGGTTTCCTTCAGGATAAAGCTCTACAGGGAAGTGTTAAGGTGCTGTACCTGAGGCATTGGTGTTGGTGTCCCTCTCCGTCTCCGACTGTGTAGTGGTGAATGCTGTGCTTGGAGGGGTCGCTAGGAAGGTGCAATCAGTGGGCGGGGGAGGCAGATGGTTGGCGCAGGAGTGGGGACAGTGAGACGCGTGCTCGCGCTGAGTGTACGAATTTATGCGGAGGTACACAGTGGCTCGCAGTGGGTCCCAGGGACGGACTGAGTAGTTGCGTAAAGACGCGTGGCTAGTTATTTGGGGGACAGGTATGTTCGAGGTTGTATGAGAGGATTGTGTGAGGGTGTTTGGGTTGTGTTTGGGACGGCCGCTTAGGTTTTCACAATGGGAAGTGAATTGGGAAGTTGAGATCAATCTAGACCGTGGGCGTTGTGCTTCCCTTCTCTTTGTTCTCTCCTTCCGTCCAAGTGAATTGGGAAGTTGAGATCAATCTAGACCGTGGGCGTTGTGCTTCCCTTCTCTTTGTTCTCTCCTTCCGTCCACCCTCCGTGTACCCTGCTCCCTTCTTTATGAACGCATGTTTTTTTCCCTTCCCTCCTCTCAACCCCTCCGTTGGCAACCTCGGTGTCATCTCCTCGTACACATCCCCACTTTTCGGTTTCATTTATCCCCCCTCCCGCTCTCTCCCCCTCTCCCTCTCGCTCTCTGTCTCCCTCACACCCCCTCTCCCCCGCCATCCACTCTCTCTCTCTCTCTCTCTCTCTCTCTCTCTCTCTCTCTCTCTCTCTCTCTCTCTCTCTCTCTCTCTCTCTCTCTCTCTCTCTCTCTCTCTCTCTCTCTCTCTCTCTCTCTCTCTTTCCCCCCTCACCCTCTCCCTCTCTCTCGCGTCACTGTCTCTCCTCTCACACTCCCCTCTCCCTCCGGACCTTACAACCCTTTCTCCTACTCACTTGTTTCCCTCGTTCCACTTTTCTCCCCATCCCTCTTAGCTTTCCCTGTTTTCCTCACTCCTTCAACGTTCCCTGTTTCTCTCACTCCTGCTTTCGTAATTCCTTTCCTCTCCCTTTCTTCTGTCCCTCGTGTTCATCTTTCCTGTCTCCTTGTTCCATCTGAATCCTTTCCTTGATGCTATGTTTCTTTTGTTTTTTGGGTTGTGTGTTGCACTAGATTTTTTTTTTTTTTTTCTGAAGGTGGGTGTGGGAGAGGAATGGTATTGTAGGCCTATCTGTAGATGTGTCTTTTGGGTTTATGCAAAGCGAGGTGAATAGGAGAGACGCACATGAGTGAGGGTAACATGTTTGCATTCCCCCACGTGATTAGAGTTTGTTGACAACACATCATCAAGTGCCCATGGCAGATGATTGGAGCATTGCTACGGTATCAGTCTATCCACGTTTCACCATAATAAGAAATATAAGAGTGGGTGAACTAGGAATGCCCCATCCCATGACAGCACTTCGGTTCGCTTCAAGCGAACCATTTGTACGCGTCAGAACCGACACCTGGATGCGAAGGTGGGTCACTGTCGCCGACAAATATGCCCCAAACCATGCCCCTCCTACGACGTCTGCGATTTGCCCGTCTAGTGCGATTGCGTCGCGAAACGCCAACTTCAAATCTCTGGTTTTGTGTTGCTTCGCAAACCTCATTTGAGGGCCGCCATGGCGATCCCGAGGAAAAGCAATTTTGCGTTGCGGCCGCTGGCAGCCATGGCGGACGGGGAAGTGCCAAGATGGTCGTACTTAATCGGCTTCCCTGTTCTTGTTTTGATATCGTTGTAAATGGCCAGTCCTCTTAGTTTTGCTCTGCTTATTACGACTCTCCTTGCCACTGCGACGACGGCTCGCTATCTCCACCTTGTTCACCATAAAGGCTCAGCCAAAATTCAGTATTTTACGGATGAACCAGAGGAATGGGAGAGTGTGGGAGTCGCAGCAACAGCTTGGAGGCACGGAAGGAGAGCGTTAGTCGGTAAAATGCATGGTAAGGTGAAACCTTCAGAGTCTTCTGAGCCGTTGGATCCGACAGAGCTTGTTGACCTTACTGTAGTGGATGATGATGTGACGTCAACGAAGACGGACAACATGGTCGAGTCGGATACTCCCGGAGAAGTAGATTGGGAAGCGATTATCCCGCTCCATCGAGAATTTGGAAGTGTCGTTTCAAGGGAAGAACGGCAGGGTGCCATTCTGTATGACGTTTATGGACGTCGCAGCAACGCGTTGACAGATTATCGGGACAGCTTATCGGACGACGATACCGTTCCTGAATCTGGAGGAGGTAAGAATCCGGAGGATGCTTTGAGTGGTACGGTAATCGTTTTCTTCCGCGTGAAGAATTTATGGGAGAATTTATGTTTCAGGTGAAACGCTGGATGAAATTCAGATGTTGGATGAAATGGCAACGTCAGATGAAATGGCTGACGAAGAGGAGTCGGAGGATTTGTCCGAGCTCATAGAATGGAGAGCACCTACTGCAAGACCAGGAAGCATGAATGGACCGAAAATGCATGGCAGAGAAGATTCAGTTCAAGCATCTGGTGCACAAGCGAATCAAGATGGAGATTATAACGAGGATGGAGATTCCTTGAACGATGTAGCACTGGATGCAACGGAAAATGGGATGAGTTTCAGGGAAAGAAAAGGTTTCAGGCCTGGAAAGGATGGGGATTGGGATTGGGACTATGAGGACGTCAGCAGGAGCTCAGATTACATCAATATGAGAATCCCAGGTGACGTCAGCATGGGTGGCATTGGCAGCACAAGGGAGGAAGCTGCTGCATTGCTGCAGGATTACCGGTACCGGCATGACCGCACTGGAGAGCAGGAGCAGAACTTTCACAATATGCCCGGTGTTTTGGCTCCTGGTGCTGGTGCTGGAGGAGAGGGAGAGGACTTTGATGAATTTCAGCTGGGTGGTGGTGGTCAGCCGTCCACACTGGCAGCACGAGGTGTTGTTGATGCGAGTGGGTTGAGTAGAGCACACAAGCAGGGCCATGGCAGACCGGTTGAAGAACAATACGAGGACAGTGATCAGGTATTTGCGCTGGAAGCAGGGGTGGGTGTTGTTGACAACAAAGAACCAGGCAGATTGGACCATGACCAGATGGTTAGACAGAGCAATGAGACTGGTGGTGATGAGGCTTTGCCACTGAAGGGGGAGGCAGTAATGCCTGCGCGCAATGACAGCTGGGGCCTTCAAGAGAATCCTCTGAACGTCTCTGTTGAATGACAGGCCAGAAACAAGAAAACTACGCCTTTTCTTATTCATTCATTGAAGCGAAGCTGGAATGCTCCCTATCTTACCCTAAAATTTCCAGCCTTGGATGTTACCACCTCTCTCCGGAAAGCCTCCATGTAGGGTATGAACCAGCAGATTTTTCTGTCCAAGGGCTAGCAGTAACACCAACCAACCAACCATATTATTGTTGCCATTACTTGCAGTCTGGTTGCTTCACATTGCTTACTGTCACAAGAACCACATGAAGCAATCAGTACCAGGAGCCTCTCTTGCGCACATCCAGCCCAAACTCCTTCAGCAGCATTTCGTCCTGCCTCCACTTCTCCTTCACCTTCACTCGGATCTGAGCAAGGGGAGTACGGAGCAGAGGGGAAAGTGCGGAGCAGAGGGGAAAGTAGCAGAGGGGAAAGTGCAGAGCAGAGGGGAAAGTGCGGAGCAGAGGGGAAAGTGCAGAGCATTATCGAGATTAAGGGAGATATACTGAGCAAGGAATGGGAGGTTCCTGCTTTCTTCAGCAGCGTCTCATCTTGCATCCACTTCTCCTCTACCTTCACTCGGATCTGTAAAGAGGGGTGTGGAGTAGAGAGGGGTAGAGGAGCGGACCAGATATGTGAGAAATGTGACGAGTGAGGAAGGGAGAGGAGGCAGGGAAAGGAATGGAGGCCAGGAGGGCTTCTGTCCCTTCAGCAGCGTCCCATCCTACCTTCAGCAGCTTCTGTCCCATCCTACCTTCTCCTCCACCTTCACGCAGATCTGAGCAAGCACCCCTCACCTCGAGGAACACCTCTCGCCCCAGAAACTCCTCAATGTCCATCCGGGCTTGCTGCAGTGCAGAAACTCCTCAATGTCCATCCGGGCTTGCTGCAGTGCAGAAACTCCTCAATGTCCATCCGGGCTTGCTGCAGTGCAGAAACTCCTCAATGTCCATCCGGGCTTGCTGCAGTGCAGAAACTCCTCAATGTCCATCCGGGCTTGCTGCAGTGCAGAAACTCCTCAATGTCCATCCGGGCTTGCTGCAGTGCAGAAACTCCTCAATGTCCATCCGGGCTTGCTGCAGTGCAGAAACTCCTCAATGTCCATCCGGGCTTGCTGCAGTGCAGAAACTCCTCAATGTCCATCCGGGCTTGCTGCAGTGCAGAAACTCCTCAATGTCCATCCGGGCTTGCTGCAGTGCAGGCACCCTTCCCTTGGCCCAACACCCCTCACCTCCTGCTCAATGCTCACCTCCAGGAACACCTCTCGTCCCAGAAACTCCTCAATGTCCATCCGGGCTGCCGTTGCCAGCGCCTTGAGCTGCTTGCCCTCCTGGTGTGGTCGGGATGTGATGCCATGTAAGGAGAAATATGAGGTAGAGGGATGGGTGTGAAGCACGAGGCATGCCCATGTAAACGGCAATAAAAGAAACACCCCTCTCAGGTCACCAGCACCCTTCCCAGCACCACCTCTCGCCTCTCACACCCCTCTCACACCCCTCTCACACCCCTCTCACACCCCTCTCACAGCACCTTCCCCAGCGGAATGGCCTTCTGGCCGTCGCGTTCAACCATGATGTCAAGGCTGATATAGTCCTTCTCACCCTCCCTCCCTCTCCCTACCCACTTGCCCTTTCCCCTGATACCGCACACGTCACCCCTCACTCCTCTGAACTCACCTTCCCCAGCAGAATGGCTTTCTGACTATCCCGTTCAACCATCACATCAAAACTGATGTAGCCCCCTTACGCCCTCCCTCCCCCTCCCCCACCTCCTTTGACCCACATGCACATACCCCTCACCCCTCTCACAGCACCTTCCCCAGCAGAATCGCCTTCTGGCTGTCCCGCTCAACCATGATGTCTAAGCTGATGTAGTCCTTTGCGTTCTCCCTCTCCCTCCCTCTTCCCCTTCCACCCACACGCACGTACCCTTCACCCCTCGCTCCTCACGCCAACCACCCACCACCCACCTTGCCGAGAAGAAAGGCTTTCTGGCTGTGTCGTTTAACCATAATGTCTAAGCTTTACCCCTCCCCTCCAGCTCAACCATGATGTCTAAGCTTCACCCCTCCCCTCCAGCTCAACCATGATGTCTAAGCTTCACCCCTCCCCTCCAGCTCAACCATGATGTCAAAACTGATGTAGCCCCCTTACGCCCTCCCTCCCCCTCCCCCTCTTCCTTTGACCCACATGCACATGCCCCTCACCCCTCACTCCGCACCTTCCCCAGCAGAATCGCCTTCTGGCTGTCCCGCTCAACCATGATGTCTAAGCTGATGTAGTCCTTTGCGTTCTCCCTCTCCCTGAACGCCCTCACCAACACCTGCCATTAGATAAGTGCCACGTCAGAAGTGCCAGTGGATAAGTGCCATGCCATCATTGCCAGGCGCCTCAAAAGCAGAACTTGCAGGAAGTGCCGTATGCCTCTTTTGAGGCGCCTCAAAAGCAGAACTTGCAGGAAGTGCCGTATGCCTCTTTTGAGGCGCCTCAAAAGCAGAACTTGCAGGAAGTGCCGTATGCCTCTTTTGAGGCGCCTCAAAAGCAGAACTTGCAGGAAGTGCCGTATGCCTCTTTTGAGGCGCCTCAAAAGCAGAACTTGCAGGAAGTGCCGTATGCCTCTTTTGAGGCGCCTCAAAAGCAGAACTTGCAGGAAGTGCCGTATGCCTCTTTTGAGGCGCCTCAAAAGCAGAACTTGCAGGAAGTGCCGTATGCCTCTTTTGAGGCGCCTCAAAAGCAGAACTTGCAGGAAGTACCGTATGCCTCTTTTGAGGCGCCTCAAAAGCAGAACTTGCAGGAAGTGCCGTATGCCTCTTTTGAGGCGCCTCAAAAGCAGAACTTGCAGGAAGTGCCGTATGCCTCTTTTGAGGCGCCTCAAAAGCAGAACTTGCAGGAAGTGCCGTATGCCTCTTTTGAGGCGCCTCAAAAGCAGAACTTGCAGGAAGTGCCGTATGCCTCTTTTGAGGCGCCTCAAAAGCAGAACTTGCAGGAAGTGCCGTATGCCCCTTTTGAGGCGCCTCAAAAGCAGAACTTGCAGGAAGTGCCGTATGCCTCTTTTGAGGCGCCTCAAAAGCAGAACTTGCAGGAATTGCCGTATGCCTCTTTTGAGGCGCCTCAAAAGCAGAACTTGCAGGAAGTGCCGTATGCCTCTTTTGAGGCGCCTCAAAAGCAGAACTTGCAGGAAGTGCCGTATGCCTCTTTTGAGGCGCCTCAAAAGCAGAACTTGCAGGAAGTGCCGTATGCCTCTTTTGAGGCGCCTCAAAAGCAGAACTTGCAGGAAGTGCCGTATGCCTCTTTTGAGGCGCCTCAAAAGCAGAACTTGCAGGAAGTGCCGTATGCCTCTTTTGAGGCGCCTCAAAAGCAGAACTTGCAGGAAGTGCCGTATGCCCCTTTTGAGGCGCCTCAAAAGCAGAACTTGCAGGAAGTGCCGTATGCCTCTTTTGAGGCGCCTCAAAAGCAGAACTTGCAGGAAGTGCCGTATGCCTCTTTTGAGGCGCCTCAAAAGCAGAACTTGCAGGAAGTGCCGTATGCCTCTTTTGAGGCGCCTCAAAAGCAGAACTTGCAGGAAGTGCCGTATGCCTCTTTTGAGGCGCCTCAAAAGCAGAACTTGCAGGAAGTGCCGTATGCCTCTTTTGAGGCGCCTCAAAAGCAGAACTTGCAGGAAGTGCCGTATGCCTCTTTTGAGGCGCCTCAAAAGCAGAACTTGCAGGAAGTGCCGTATGCCTCTTTTGAGGCGCCTCAAAAGCAGAACTTGCAGGAATTGCCGTATGCCTCTTTTGAGGCGCCTCAAAAGCAGAACTTGCAGGAAGTGCCGTATGCCTCTTTTGAGGCGCCTCAAAAGCAGAACTTGCAGGAAGTGCCGTATGCCTCTTTTGAGGCGCCTCAAAAGCAGAACTTGCAGGAAGTGCCGTATGCCTCTTTTGAGGCGCCTCAAAAGCAGAACTTGCAGGAAGTGCCGTATGCCTCTTTTGAGGCGCCTCAAAAGCAGAACTTGCAGGAAGTGCCGTATGCCTCTTTTGAGGCGCCTCAAAAGCAGAACTTGCAGGAAGTGCCGTATGCCTCTTTTTAGGCGCCTCAAAAGCAGAACTTGCAGGAAGTGCCGTATGCCTCTTTTGAGGCGCCTCAAAAGCAGAACTTGCAGGAAGTGCCGTATGCCTCTTTTGAGGCGCCTCAAAAGCAGAACTTGCAGGAAGTGCCGTATGCCTCTTTTGAGGCGCCTCAAAAGCAGAACTTGCAGGAAGTGCCGTATGCCTCTTTTGAGGCGCCTCAAAAGCAGAACTTGCAGGAAGTGCCGTATGCCTCTTTTGAGGCGCCTCAAAAGCAGAACTTGCAGGAAGTGCCGTATGCCTCTTTTGAGGCGCCTCAAAAGCAGAACTTGCAGGAAGTGCCGTATGCCTCTTTTGAGGCGCCTCAAAAGCAGAACTTGCAGGAATTGCCGTATGCCTCTTTTGAGGCGCCTCAAAAGCAGAACTTGCAGGAAGTGCCGTATGCCTCTTTTGAGGCGCCTCAAAAGCAGAACTTGCAGGAAGTGCCGTATGCCTCTTTTGAGGCGCCTCAAAAGCAGAACTTGCAGGAAGTGCCGTATGCCTCTTTTGAGGCGCCTCAAAAGCAGAACTTGCAGGAAGTGCCGTATGCCTCTTTTGAGGCGCCTCAAAAGCAGAACTTGCAGGAAGTGCCGTATGCCTCTTTTGAGGCGCCTCAAAAGCAGAACTTGCAGGAAGTGCCGTATGCCCCTTTTGAGGCGCCTCAAAAGCAGAACTTGCAGGAAGTGCCGTATGCCTCTTTTGAGGCGCCTCAAAAGCAGAACTTGCAGGAAGTGCCGTATGCCTCTTTTGAGGCGCCTCAAAAGCAGAACTTGCAGGAAGTGCCGTATGCCTCTTTTGAGGCGCCTCAAAAGCAGAACTTGCAGGAAGTGCCGTATGCCTCTTTTGAGGCGCCTCAAAAGCAGAACTTACAGGAAGTGCCGTATGCCTCTTTTGAGGCGCCTCAAAAGCAGAACTTGCAGGAAGTGCCGTATGCCTCTTTTGAGGCGCCTCAAAAGCAGAACTTGCAGGAAGTGCCATATGCCTCCCTAACCCATGCCTTCCTCCCCATCCCCATCCCCATCCCCATCCCCATCCCCATCCCCATCCCCATCCCCATCCCCATCCCCATCCCCATCCCCAAGTCCATGCTCTGCACACACGCGCATGTGATAAGTCGATTTTTTAGTCGACTAAAAAATCCCCCCACCATCCCGTCCCCATCCCCAAGTCCACGCAGCTCTGCACACGCACGCACCTGGGAAGCATATGGCAACTCCTGCACATACAAGGTGGGCTTTGAGTCGACTCAAAAGTCGCACGCACCTGGGAAGCATATGGCAACTCCTGCACATACAAGGTGGGCTTTGAGTCGACTCAAAAGTCGCACGCACTTGGGAAGCATATGGCAACTCCCGCACATACAAGGTGGGCTTTGAGTCGACTCAAAAGTCGCACGCACCTGGGAAGCATATGGCAACTCCTGCACATACAAGGTGGGCTTTGAGTCGACTCAAAAGTCGCACGCACCTGGGAAGCATATGGCAACTCCTGCACATACAAGGTGGGCTTTGAGTCGACTCAAAAGTCGCACGCACCTGGGAAGCATATGGCAACTCCTGCACATACAAGGTGGGCTTTGAGTCGACTCAAAAGTCGCACGCACTTGGGAAGCATATGGCAACTCCCGTACAGCAACAGAATCTTCTCCCTCACTATCTCCGCCACAAAGCCCTCACACTCATGCCTTTTGAGTCGACTCAAAGCCCTGACCCTCATGCCTTTTGAGTCGACTCAAAGCCCTGACCCTCATGCCTTTTGAGTCGACTCAAAGCCCTGACCCTCATGCCTTTTGAGTCGACTCAAAGCCCTGACCCTCATGCCCCATGCCCTGTTCCATACTCCATGCTGCAAGACCTCCACGCCCCATGCTCGTCGTATGCACACATGTAAAGAGTGAATTTTTGAGACGTCTCGAAAATTCACTCTTTACACGTGATCGCCATCATGCCCCATGCTCGTATGCACACACACCTGAGAAGCATACGGCACTTCCTGTGCGTACTGCAGCAGAATCTTCTCCCTCACTATCTCCGCCACAAAGAACCGCTCTGGCAGCTCGCTCACCACGTCCTGGTGAGGTGAGGGGTAGGTGGGGTGGGGTGGGGTGGGGTGGGGATGGAGAGTGGTGTAGGATGGCATGACATGACATGGCATGGCATGGCGTGGCTGTGGTACTTTGAAGCGCCACAACGAAACGCTCTGGCAGCTCGCTCACCACGTCCTGGTGAGGTGAGGGGTAGGTGGGGTGTGGCATGACATGGGACAGGATGGGATGGGATGGGATGGGATGGGATGGAATGGGATGGGATGGGATGGGATGGGATGGGATGGGATGGGATGGGATGGGATGGGATGGGATGGGATGGGATGGGATGGGATGGGATGGGATGGGATGCGATGGGATGGGATGGGATGGGATGGGATGGGATGGGATGGGATGGGATGGGATGGGATGGGATGGGATGGGATGGGATGGGATGGGATGGGATGGGATGGGATGGGATGGGATGGGATGGGATGGGATGGGATGCGATGCGATGGGATGGGATGCGATGCGATGGGATGGGATGGGATGGGATGGGATGGGATGGGATGGGATGGGATGGGATGGGATGGGATGGGATGCGATGGGATGGGATGGGATGGGATGGGATGGGATGGGATGGGATGGGATGGGATGGGATGGGATGGGATGGGATGGGATGGGATGGGATGGGATGGGATGGGATGGGATGGGATGGGATGGGATGGGATGGGATGGGATGGGATGGGATGGGATGGGATGGGATGGGATGGGATGCGATGGGATGCGATGGGATGGGATGGGATGGGATGGGATGGGATGGGATGGGATGGGATGGGATGGGATGGGATGGGATGGGATGGGATGGGATGGGATGGGATGGGATGGGATGGGATGGGATGGGATGGGATGGGATGGGATGGGATGGGATGGGATGGGATGGGATGGGATGGGATGGGATGGGATGGGATGGGATGGAATGGGATGGGACGGGATAAAATGGGGAATGATGTCGAGCATCCATACTAGCAGCCCATCCACCACCGTATCTACCCCAAGCCTACCACTCTCCTAACCAATGCTAGGGGACGACTTGTGTAAGGCAGGCAGTGCAGTGCAGTGCAGTGCTACCTTGGGGGGTAGTAAGCAGGCCCCAGGGGAATGTTGTCCAGCATCCACCCTCCTCTGACTGAGCCTACCCCAAGCCTACCGCTTTCTGCTACAATGCCACAGCACAATCAGCAAGCAGCGCTCTAGTCGCCTCAAGTCACCTTGGGGTAGTAGGTGGGGCCTTGGGGAATGTTACCTTGGGGTAGTAGGCGGGGCCTTGGGGAATGTTACCTTGGGGTAGTAGGCGGGGCCTTGGGGAATGTTACCTTGGGGTAGTAGGCGGGGCCTTGGGGAATGTTACCTTGGGGTAGTAGGCGGGGCCTTGGGGAATGTTACCTTGGGGTAGTAGGTGGGGCCTTGGGGAATGTTACCTTGGGGTAGTAGGCGGGGCCTTGGGGAATGTTACCTTGGGGTAGTAGGCGGGGCCTTGGGGAATGTTACCTTGGGGTAGTAGGCGGGGCCTTGGGGAATGTTACCTTGGGGTAGTAGGCGGGGCCTTGGGGAATGTTACCTTGGGGTAGTAGGCGGGGCCTTGGGGAATGTTACCTTGGGGTAGTAGGCGGGGCCTTGGGGAATGTTACCTTGGGGTAGTAGGCGGGGCCTTGGGGAATGTTACCTTGGGGTAGTAGGCGGGGCCTTGGGGAATGTTACCTTGGGGTAGTAGGCGGGGCCTTGGGGAATGTTACCTTGGGGTAGTAGGCGGGGCCTTGGGGAATGTTACCTTGGGGTAGTAGGCGGGGCCTTGGGGAATGTTACCTTGGGGTAGTAGGCGGGGCCTTGGGGAATGTTACCTTGGGGTAGTAGGCGGGGCCTTGGGGAATGTTACCTTGGGGTAGTAGGCGGGGCCTTGGGGAATGTTACCTTGGGGTAGTAGGCGGGGCCTTGGGGAATGTTACCTTGGGGTAGTAGGCGGGGCCTTGGGGAATGTTACCTTGGGGTAGTAGGCGGGGCCTTGGGGAATGTTACCTTGGGGTAGTAGGCGGGGCCTTGGGGAATGTTACCTTGGGGTAGTAGGCGGGGCCTTGGGGAATGTTACCTTGGGGTAGTAGGCGGGGCCTTGGGGAATGTTACCTTGGGGTAGTAGGCGGGGCCTTGGGGAATGTTACCTTGGGGTAGTAGGCGGGGCCTTGGGGAATGTTACCTTGGGGTAGTAGGCGGGGCCTTGGGGAATGTTACCTTGGGGTAGTAGGCGGGGCCTTGGGGAATGTTACCTTGGGGTAGTAGGCGGGGCCTTGGGGAATGTTACCTTGGGGTAGTAGGCGGGGCCTTGGGGAATGTTACCTTGGGGTAGTAGGCGGGGCCTTGGGGAATGTTACCTTGGGGTAGTAGGCGGGGCCTTGGGGAATGTTACCTTGGGGTAGTAGGCGGGGCCTTGGGGAATGTTACCTTGGGGTAGTAGGCGGGGCCTTGGGGAATGTTACCTTGGGGTAGTAGGCGGGGCCTTGGGGAATGTTACCTTGGGGTAGTAGGCGGGGCCTTGGGGAATGTTACCTTGGGGTAGTAGGCGGGGCCTTGGGGAATGTTACCTTGGGGTAGTAGGCGGGGCCTTGGGGAATGTTACCTTGGGGTAGTAGGCGGGGCCTTGGGGAATGTTACCTTGGGGTAGTAGGCGGGGCCTTGGGGAATGTTACCTTGGGGTAGTAGGCGGGGCCTTGGGGAATGTTACCTTGGGGTAGTAGGCGGGGCCTTGGGGAATGTTACCTTGGGGTAGTAGGCGGGGCCTTGGGGAATGTTACCTTGGGGTAGTAGGCGGGGCCTTGGGGAATGTTACCTTGGGGTAGTAGGCGGGGCCTTGGGGAATGTTACCTTGGGGTAGTAGGCGGGGCCTTGGGGAATGTTACCTTGGGGTAGTAGGCGGGGCCTTGGGGAATGTTGTCCAGCATCCACGCAAGCAGCGCATCCACCCCGTCGCCCCTCTTGGCACTCAGAGCGATCACCTTGTGTCCATCCGCTGCCACTGCCTCTTGGTACCACTGGAGGGATTGTGATCAATTAATTGCATGGAGAGAGGGTAAAGGGTCACTGTGTCGCTCCCCCGCTTCCCCCATGTGCACGGGGGAGCGGTTGTGATCAATTAATTGCATGGAGAGAGGGTAAAGGGTCACTGTGTCGCTCCCCCGCTTCCCCCGTGTGCACGGGGGAGCGGTTGTGATCAATTAATTGCATGGAGAGAGGGTAAAGGGTCACTGTGTCGCTCCCCCGCTTCCCCCGTGTGCACGGGGGAGCGGTTGTGATCAATTAATTGCATGGAGAGAGGGTGAAGGGTCACTGTGTCGTTCCCAAGGCAATTAATTGATCACAACCAATAAGGGTCGGCTTTTGAGGCGCCTCAAAACCATAAGGGTCGGCTTCTTCTGCACCACTGTGCTCTACATCCCCTCTAGTAGCTACCAGAGCGGAGCTGACTGGCGCTGAGTGGTGCTGAGAGGTGCTGAGTGGTGCTGAGTGGTGCTGAGAGGTGCTGAGTGGTAACTTTTCCTTACCTTGAGCTTCTTGGCAACTTCCCCCGGTTTGAGCGAGTCCTTCTTGTTCAGCACGATGAGGGTTGGCTTCTTCTGCACCACTGCGCTCTCCATCCCCTCTAGTAGCAGCTTCGATACCTGCATAAGGGGCACAGAAAGACACAGCAAGCATGACCTGATGATTGAGATAACACTAAACATCAGTCAGCATAATCAAATCGTGCCACACATGAGCGAAGGAAAGTCAGATCAGATCCTAGCTGCCTTTGAGAAGAGAGAGAGAGAGAGAGAGAGAGAGAGAGAGAGAGAGAGAGAGAGAGAGAGAGAGAGAGAGAGAGAGAGAGAGAGAGAGAGAGCAAAGCGAACCTCTTGCGAAGTGTAGGCATGCACACCTTCTAACGGGGTTGAGCACACCTCTTGAGGCGCCTGGGTGATGTCTATAACGAGGACAACAGCATCGGCGTTGACTGTAGCGGTGCGCACGGCCTGCATCATGAGGTCGTCCAGCTTATGCAGTGACTTGGACAGCACCCCGGGCGTGTCGTACAGGATGATCTGGAGAAGTAGGGGGAAGGATGGGGGACGCAAGCATGGGCACAAGGGAGGGAGGAGCACAGCATGTATCATCAGCTCGTCTAGCTGGTGCAGTGACTTGGACAGCACCCCGGGCGTGTCGTACAGAATGATCTGCAGAAGGAGGAGAGGGGGGAAGAGATGGAGAGACAGAAGGCAGCAGCAGGTGAAAAGAAGCGGGAGGTCACTAGACAGACACACATGCGCACTCCCCACCTGGTACGCGCGTGCTGAGACAAGGCCCGGCCCAGGATGCGGTGCCGGGTGGTCTGCGGCTGCTGTTGCTTCTGTGTGCTCCCACAGCCCCCCATTTCCCTCACTCATCTGTCGGTGTCTTAACACAACACACCACCCTCGCTCGCACCTGGTAGGCGGGCGCGTTTGAGGCGCCTCAAAACTGGGCGCGGAGACAAGTCCGAGGATGCGGTGGCGGGTGGGCTGCGGCTTCTGAGTGACGCACTGCCTTGTATCCCATCACCCATCTAGCATGCGTTACTAGACACATCCCCCCACCTTCTCCTCTCCTCTTCGCCTGGTACGCGGGCGCGAAACGAGTCCCAGGATGCGGTGGCGGGTGGGCTGTGGCTTCTTTAAGTCGACTCAAGAGTGACAGCTTCTGCACGCCCCCGCAGCCACTCGTGTGCTTTACAAGGGGGGACACACCACACCCACCTGGTAAGCCGGTGCAGACACGAGTCCCAGGATGCGGTGGCGGGTGGTCTGCGGCTTCTGAGTGACGATCGACAGCTTCTGCCCGATGAGGCGGTTCAGCAGCGTGCTCTTTCCCGCATTGGGTTGGCCTATCAGCGCCACGTAGCCTGGAGGTGAAGGGAGGTGAAGAGCGGCGAAGGGCGGTGAGGGGGAAAAGGGGCATGGTGGGAGAGGAAGGGGGCACAGAAAGGAGGAGGAGGAGGAGGAGGAGGAGGAGGAGGAGGAGGAGGAGGAGGAGGAGGAGGAGGAGGAGGAGGAGGAGGAGGAGGAGGAGGAGGAGGAGGAGGAGGAGGAGGAGGAGGAGGAGGAGGAGGAGGAGGAGGAGGAGGAGGAGGAGGAGGAGGAGGAGGAGGAGGAGGAGGAGGAGGAGGAGGAGGAGGAGGAGGAGGAGGAGGAGGAGGAGGAGGAGGAGGAGGAGGAGGAGGAGGAGGAGGAGGAGGAGGAGGAGGGGAGGAGGAGGAGGAGGAGGAGGAGGAGGAGGAGGAGGAGGAGGAGGAGGAGGAGGAGGAGGAGGGAGGAGGAGGAGGGGAGGAGGAGGAGAAGGCGATAAGTGCTTTCACCGTTTAGGGTAGATTCACAACACACACTACGTATCAAACCCCAAGTCCTAAACCCAGAGACAAAAACCCCTTCACGCCGTCCCGACTGCACAATGCCATCACCGCGTCTCCTCATCACTTTGATGGTCGTCCGGCCCGGCACTATGTGCACTTAGTTCTTTAGGGTCCATGATGCTGAAGGGTATTTTTTGGAATTCTCAAAAATACACTTCGATGGTCGTTCGGCACTATGTGTACTAAGTTCTTTAGGGTCTCCCAATCACCCCTTCACCTCCCCTACATTCCCCATCAACCCCATTCCCCCGCCCTTGCGTCTCCGCTTACCGTCGCCCCCACCTACCGCTCTTATGGTCGTCCGGCACTATGGGTACTATTCGTCTGGGCGGCCCCGTTAGTAGCTGATCCACTGCCGCCGCTTGCGCGCTGGTCTGCGCGCTTGATCGTTTCCCCTCGGGGCCGCCACTCGCGGCGCCAATCGCGGAGGACGCGCCGGCTTCTAAAGCGTCCTGCGTAGCGGCTGCTACATCATCTAACTGCTGCTGCTGCTGCGGCGGCGGCGGCAGCAGCATCAGCGGAAGCGGCGGCGGCGGCGGCGGCGGCGGCGGCGGCTCGTGAATCGTGGCGAAGAACCTTTGCGACGTCTGGCGACTGTCGCGGATTCGTGAAAATGAAAACGGGCTCATCTGAGTCGTCGGATGATCCGGCCCCAGCAGCAGCAGCTGCTGCTGCTACTGCATTGCGTTTTCCGTCGCATCGGAAAAGCGTAGACGGTTTCCGTCGTTGCAACGTTGACGGAGACTGCAAATCCGTTGCCGAAAACCCGTATCGAGGACAAGTCCAAGCGCTACACGAGGTTTTCGAGACTCGCAGCCGGCGTGATTGCGATGGTAACCCTACTGCACGTCCATCGCTGATCGCCTCGCCACAAATGGTAACGCTCGGCGAAACGGATGATGATGCTCTCGACACGTCAGACTGAAGCTGAAATCTGCATGACACGTCAGATTTCTGACAAGACGAAATTCCCGGCGGAAGCGACGACGACACGCCGTTAGCAGCAAGACCTAGCATTTCGAATCGCCCGGCGCTTGACTGGAATCACCAACCAATGCGTCTTGCTGCTTAGTTTCCCTTGGGACATAAGGCTAGAACCACTGCTGGTCCCCCCTTAGCTGTAGGACTGAAGCCTAGTGAGAGAACAGAACTACCTGTATCCGCGTTAAAAGCAGGGTTGACACAGCTCTACTGCTATTTACGTTGGGTGTCTGTAACGCAGTTTTATTCACGCAGAAACAACAAGCAAAAGAGCACTTGTAACACAAGCGAGTGCGGAATCCCTCGTTTCGAATTTCTGTCGCTGATCGGCTGCCATCGCTGAAGATGGTTGGCTGCGAGACTGTGACTGTCAGTCACCGAATTTTCGAGATATTTCGCACATATTCCTCGTCAGCGATGGAATCACAAAACCTCAAGGTTGTGATGACACTCCCCAACCTGTTGTCGGCAACTGTCTCCTTGCCGCTCAGCCGTCGCCGTTCGTGGGCATCGGCTATTTAGCAGTCTTGCCACGTGTCCTTCATTGACAGAGCGGGTCAGAGGCATCGACGGTCACAAATTAGAGCACGAGCTCTCAAACCGCAACTAAATCGCATCGTGTTTATGCGAAATTTCGAGTCGCATCTCGCGCAAAATTCCTGAAATTGCATCTTCTCGAACGTTGCTTTGCTGCACAGCACACCACACCACGCACCCCCTTCGTTTCCGCCTTCGCAACCAGCACCGCTGCCCACACCCATTCCACTTCTCTACTGGTCAACACAGGGCAATACTTGCCGTACTGACATCAGATGCCTTAGCGCTTTAGAATGCTCTAGCTGTTACCACAGTTTATCACTCGCCGCTTGTACAGTGACGCCTTGGGGAAGATAATTGCCTTGTAGAACTTAATCTCTTTGCGGCGACGTCACACCCTTGAGTGAAAGCAGTCCGCATAGCAGAGTCTTCTGAGACTGGTTATGGCCACCAAGAGCCAAGGTTTGCTCGGCCTGGTGCAGGTCAGATAGAGAGCAAGAAGATCTGCTTACTGTCCGACGAGCTCTCTTAACTCGAGCCAGAGCGAATACCGCGCGAACGGGCCGACTGCGAGTCTTTACTAGCCAGAGTGGCTACCGCCCTAGAACTTGCTTCGCCTACAGCTATGGGACGTCATGTGATTATTAGCGATCGCACCTAGAATTCAGCCGGTATGCCTTCGCGACGTGACCGCGGAGAAAGCCGTTCCGGCTCAACTTAATAATAGACAGCGCTCAAACTGGATACCGTCGACTCAATCATATCGCGCAGACATGAAGACGCTTCGAAGCTTGGTCGCGGCGCTAGTGCTATCGTGTATATGCATCCTATTTCTCCTACCCTCCTACTCCTTAGCCACGTCAGATGATCTCCTCCCGGATATTCCGCGTCCACGTGGCAGTAAAGGGAGGCCGAAGCTATTTAAGATCCGAATACGATCGACCAACAAACTGCCCTTTACATCTACCTCCTCCTCGTCCTCCTCCTCCTTTTACTCCTCGAAAGTTTCGCGCTTTGCGAATCCCGGTGGCGGCAACAGGGGAATAGGCCGCTTCCCGCTGCCCTCCTTTCTCGCCGCGTCTTCCGCCGCATCCTCCGCCGTTTCTTCCGCCGTCTCGTCCCTCCGCCGCGCCCTCTTCAGCCGCCGGAAAGCGGTCCAAACCGATACCAAACCTTCCGAGAAACCGGGCGGTCATCCGAACCTAGGCCACTACCGTCGGATCGCCACAACCACCATATCTACGGCGGAGATCGACCCAGAAGCCGACAGCACCACCAGCGAGCCGCAGGGCTTCGGAATTCCCAAGGTTTTCGACATTCCCAAGGGGATGCACGGGCCATTCAAGGGGCACCACCCGCGCCTCGGCCACCATACCGCCTCCGTGGGCCATCACTGGTTCGACGGCGGCCGCCACTCGGGGGCGGGCGCAGCCAGCGCGGGCAAGCGCGCGCCGTTCGGCGGAGGGCACCATCCGCGGAAGGCGGACGGGACGTTCATGTTCGGGCACCACCCGTCCGGCGTGGGACATCATCTGAAGCGCGGGCAGAAGTGCTTGGGTAACCAGACCATTTGTCTCATCTTCGCTAAGGAAAACCCCGGTTTCGACGTCTGCTGCGGGTGAGTACAGTACAACACACAGTATACCGCTGCCCCTCCTACCCCCTTACTCCTTCATCCCTCCAATCCTTCAATCGCGCCTGTCGCAACAACGACTTGTTCCACTGCGGCGATAGACTCACGGCGTGTCCTTCCGTCCCATCCTCCCTCCCCTTCCCACACCTCTCTCCTCTCCCGTTCTCCCTCCCTCCCCTTTCGCTTCCCCCACGCTAGGCGCGCCTGTCGCAACAGCGACGTGTTCCACTGCGGCTATAGACTCGCGGCGTGTCCTACTTTCTTTCTCCCCCCACTCCTCCTGTAGAACCAGGCGCGCGTGCCGCAATCTGCGCAGCGACGTGTTTCACCGCGGCAACTGCCTAACGGCGTGTCCGACGTTTTTCCCCTCCCTCAACCCCTCTCTCGAGTCAACTATTTTGAGTCGACTCAAAATGTCCGACGTTTTTTCCCTCCCTCGGCCCCTCTCTCTCCTTTTCTCTTCCTCCCCCACCCTCCCCGTTCACTTCCCCCTACCAGGCGCACCTGCCGCAACCTTCGCAGCGACGTGTTTCACTGCGGCAAGTGCCTCACTTGTTGAGTCTCCCCCCTCCCCCTCCCCGTTCCCCGTTTCCCCCCCCTCCCTCCCCCCAGTCGTGCCTGCCGCAATCTGCGCAGCGACGTGTTTCACTGCGGAAACTGCCTGACAGCGTGTCCGACGGGCCACCAGTGCTGCGACGGCGCGTGCGTCAGCACCATGGACGATCCACGTCACTGCGGCGGCTGCTACAACACGTGTCCTGCTGACGCGGCGTGCCAGCTGGGCATGTGCGGATACGGCAGCAGCAGCGGCGGTGCGGGTGGGGTTGGTAAGGGAGGTGCTACTACTAGTGGGGAGGCACGAGGCCGTTACAGCAGTGCCGGCGGATTCAGCAGTACCACCAGTGGCGGCTGGGGCCGTAGCGTCGGCAGCAGCAGTGGCAGTGGCGATGGCAGTGGCAGCAGCAGCGGCGGCGGCAGCGGCAGCAGTGAATATGGTGACTTCAAGGTTGCCGAGCAACCCGGTAGTTCTGCCACAGAGAGCGGCAATAGTGCTGGCAATAGTGGTGGTGCTGGTGGTGGTGCTGGTGGTGGTGATAGTGGTGGTGCTGGTGGTGGTGATGGTGGTGGTGCTGGTGGTTTTGCTGAGGGTGCTACCAGCAGTGACAGTAAACGGAGCAGCGCTGATGCTGATGATTCCGTAGGAGCCAGTTTCAAGAGTGGTTACGACAATGACGGCAGGCTGGGCACTGTTGACGCGCAGAGCAGCACCGGCACCACCAAATTCAACACCAGCGGCAGCAGCAGTAACATCAGCAGTAACAGCAGCAGCAGCAGCAGCAGCAGCAGCAGCAGCAGCAGCAGCAGTCACAGTAACAGTGGCAGTGGGGGTGACAGTGATAGTGGCAAAACAGGGGGAGGAGGAGAGGGGGACGGAGAGGGGGAAGAGGGTGGAGAGGAGGAAACGGGAGGAGCATCAGGAGAAGCAACAGGAACAGAGGGTTCGGAGGAGAAGTCTACTGGTGATAAATCAGGAGAAAATTCAGGAGAAGACTCAGGAGAAAAGTCAGGAGAGGAGTCAGGGGAGGATTCAGGTGATAAATCCATGGGGAGTGGTGATTCCAGCGAGCACACGAGCGTTCTTTGGCCCGAGCTGGGTGAGGCTTCAGGTGGGGCGTCAGGTGAATTTTCAGCCTCAGGTGAAAATTCAGGTGACGGTTCAGGTGGAGCGGACGATTCAGGGAAAAGTTCTGGAGGTGACGGTGCGAAGGAGAAAGCAGGAGCGGAGGAGGGGAAGGAGAGTGCGGAAGAGAAGAGGAAGGAGGAATGGAAAGACCATGTGGGAGGGAAGGTGATTGATCTAGATGAGTGGCAGAAAGGGGTGCAGGAGAGCAGCTATCATTTGAAGATGACGAAGGAGGGCCAGGAGGGCAAGGGAAAGGCGATTGAAGGGCGAGGGCACTCACATTCAAGCAGCGAGGGTAGCAAGGGAGGCAAAGGCCTGGGGAGCAGCAGCGGCGGCAGCAGCAAGGGAGGGGTGCAGGAGAGCAGCTATCATATGGAGGTGACGCGGGAGGGCAAGGTGACGCAGGAGGGCAAGGTGACGCAGGAGGGCAAGGGGAAGGCGAATGAGGGAAAAGGGTTCTCACACACGAGCAGCAAGGCCAGCCAAGGCCGCAGCAGCTCCAGTGGTGGTGGCGGTGGCGGCGGCGGCAGCAGTGGGAGCAGCAACAGCAAAGGGGCGAGAAACGAATTCAAGGTGAAGAGAGAACGCAAGGAGAAGGGAAGTAGTGCTGAGGCAGGGGGGGAGCCGGGGAGGAATAGCGGTGGGCATGGTGGGCATGGTGGTGGCGGAGGGGAGAGGAAGAAACAGTCGAGTAAGAAGCAGCATGAGACGAAACACGAGCAAGAGGCGCAACAGAGGCTGAAAGAATCTCCACAGCTGGCAGAGGTGGTACAGAAGGCAAAGGAGGATAAGCAAAAGGAGGAGGAGCAACGGCAACAGCAAGTGGAAGAGAAGGAGCAGGAGGGACAGCAGAAGCGGCTGGGGCAGGAGAAAGTTCAGGAGGAGGAAGAGGGGAAGCAGAAGCAGCAGCAGCAGCAGCAACAGCAGCAGCAGCAGCAGGGGGAAGGGATGCGGTTCGAGGATGAGTGGCAACAGTTGCTGGCAGCGGCGGACAGCAGCAGACTCGCCACGCAGTCTGCTGCAGGCCAAGCCGGTACTGCAGGAAGCAAGAGTGGCAGCAGTGGTGGCGGCAGAACAGGTGGCAGCAGCCATGGCACCCACGCTGCTGGCCATGCTCGCACGGGCGAGAGTGGAGGTGGCAGCAGCAGTGGCAACAGCAGTGGCGGCACAAGCCAGAGTCTTGACGGAGCTGCGGAGAGAGGGAAGGGAGTGGGTGGGGAAGGGCGGAGTACGGTGGGGGGAGGTGCAGAGGCTAAGGAGGGGTGGACGCCAGTATCAGCGTTGATTGCTATGCAGAAGCACATAGAGGCGCGAATGTCGTGGCAGGGAGCGGATGGGGACCACCATGCTGCTAGTGCTGCTGGCAAGGGTGGTGCTGGTGGCACAGCTGAGTGGTTGGGGGTCCACAGCAGCGCAAGGCAGCACACGGGAAGGCAGCAGCAGCAGCAGCAGCAGCAGCAACCGCAGCAGGCGGGGCATGCGAGGCATGGCTAACACTAGGGTGGATCAGGAAAGCAGCACGCAAGCCGGCTGCAGGTATGTGCATTGCATACACTGGGAATACCTGTGCATGTGCACGAATGCATGTGTCCGTGTGCATGTGCATGTGCTTGTGCATGTGCATATCTTGTGCATACAAGTGCAATAGTGCGGAAGTCTGCTTCTTCTTGTTCATCCTTGGCTGCAACTACAACTTCTCCCTCATCGTCCTCTACAGTCAACATCGTCCTCTGCTTCATTCCTTTTACTCCTGGATTTTCCCAGCTTCATTTTTGTGCTGTAGCTTCTGGCCTCTCCTTTCTCTGCTTCCCTGCCTCATTGCTCTCCCGTGTGCTCAGCTCTTAGCTTTACTCGCCCTTTCCTTCTGCTCTGTTTCCCCCTTAACAGGTTCCACCTACCACACCACACCCACACACACCCGAATACGTACAAACACATCTATACGCCACAAGAGCCTTGGCTATTGACTGGTGGTATTGTGTTACGAATGTTTACCACTCTCCTGTGTTCCTCATAATCGTTCAACTGCTAGCATGCAACAATTTAGCAGTAGTTTTGTAGCTAACGCTAACTTGCTACCGCAATTGATAATGCTATAGCGTGTAATTTCTCAATGCACTGTATGCGCTACTAGAGGCAAGAACACTAGGTTCCACCTTTTTACTCGTTAGTGTTCCAAGATTGAGTCGGTTCCAATGTCTGTACAACTTAAAAGATGCATGACAAATATTGATGCAAGACATTTTGCACTACACATCCTGGTTAGCTGCAGCTGCAAGGAGATTGTTCTTAACGAGGACAGCAAACTGGGCCATCTGAGCAGGCGAGTAGAGCGGAGTAGGGTACACCAGCAGCAGCTGCAGCGCCCCATCCTGTCACACACAGGGAGGGGCGAGAGGGGCGAGGGGGCGAGAATGATATACAGGGAAAAAGGGGAGATTACACAAACAGAAGAGCAGTTCTGCAGCAGCTGCAGCGCCTCATCCTGTACACGCAGGGGAAGAGGCAGCGATCCAAGGTAGCAACATCAAACAAGACAGCACAAGCAGGGATCTGCAACAGATGCTCGTGAAACAGCACAGCGAACCAGTCTTGCTCGAAGCACACATGGTAAACCCCAGCAGATGCTCATTACTCACCTTGATGAAATGAGGCATGGCAATGCAGGGCCCAATGCCGTGACTGGCCACCAGAGGCCCCATCACTCCGCCCAGCTGCAGCACAGCCAGGTCGCTGCTACCGTTGGTGGCAGCATGGGTGCCTATAACCTCTCACCTTGCTGGGACATGTGGTTGTACTCACCTTGATGAAGTCGGGCATGCCAATACAGGGCCCAATGCCGTGACTGGCCACCAGAGGCCCCATCACTCCGCCCAGCTGCAGCACAGCCAGGTCGCTGCTACCGTTGGTGGCAGCATGGATGCCTATAACCTCTCACCTTGCTGGGACATGTGGTTGTACTCACCTTGATGAAGTCGGGCATGCCAATACAGGGCCCAATGCCGTGACTGGCCACCAGAGGCCCCATCACTCCGCCCAGCTGCAGCACAGCCAGGTCGCTGGTACCGTTGGTGCTGCCGTTAGTAGTGGTGCCATTGGTAGTGTCGTGTGCAGTGGCGAGGTCGAGGGGGAGTGGACCGTCAGTGAAGGCGGTGAGGAAGGCGGTGCGCAGGGAGTGCTCTGGGCTGAGGGAGGGCGTGTTGAGCACCTGTGAGAGGGGGATGGTAGGAGGTGGTTGGGGGTGGTTGGGGGTGGTTGGGGGTGGTTGGGGGTGGTTGGGAGGAGCAGAAGGGACAGGAAGGCAATGAGTAAGAAGGTGCCGAGAGAGTGCCAAGCATAAACAACCGTGATACTTTTTCCCACTCACCGTGCCAAAGAGCATCTCCAGCACGGGCAGTTCCGAGAAATGTTTCCCCTTGCTGACCGCAGATGCCACCTGCTGCGTGAGCTGCCCGGCAATGCCCCACAGAGAGGAGGCGTGCGAGCAAGAGTGCTTGAGAGGCAGCCCTGAGTCAAACACCCCGATGGCCGATGAGGGGAGCGCAGGGTCGCAGTACTGGCGACAGTCGATGAGACTGAGTGGGTGGGTGGGGCGGAGGGGAAAAGGGAGAGGAAATCAATGAAATAGCGAGGGAGCAGAGAGGAGGAGAGATGTGCGCGCAGGCGTGCTTTAAGGGCAGATCCGAGTCAAACACCCCGATGGCCGAGGAGGGGAGCGCAGGGTCGCAGTATTGACGAAAGTCGATGAGGCTGTTGGTAGGAAGGGAGGGGAGGAGGGGGGGGGGGAAGAGAGAGAGGAGGGAAGGAGGGAGGAGGAGAAGGGAAGGAGTGCTTGAGAGGCAGACCTGAGTCAAACACCCCGATGGCAGAGGGGCCGAGGGGCGGGTCGTAGTGCTGACGACAGTTAATAAATGTTAGCTGCCGCGGCACACTGCACGCCATACAGCAAGCTGTGACAATAGCTGGTGCTGTGATGTGCTGTGCGGTTCTCTGGGGTGCTGTCTGGGAGGTGCTTGAGCGCAGCAGCACACTGCACGCCATACAGCGAATCGGTGGTGCTGTGATGTGCTGTGCGGTACTTAGAGGTGCTGTGCGCTTGAGCCAGACACCCACCTGGTGACGCCGAAAGACTCATCCTTCTTCAGCTTCAGCTCCTCTGCAGCCGCCTTGAGCACAGCCGCACACTGCACTCCATACAGCGAGCTGCCCCTCGCCTCACACGCTGTCTTGAGTGCATCGGTCTCTGGATGGACACAGGGGGGGTAGAGAGGAGTGGGTAAGGGGGGTTAGAAGGACACCGTGGGAAAAAGAGTTTCAGCACACGGTGGCAAACTGCACGCCGTACGCCCACTGCACGGCGGCACACTGCATGCCGTGGTCTCTGTCTTGTGTGTGCCACGCACACGGCGGCACACTGCATGGCGTACAGCGAGTTTCCCCTTGCCGCACACGCCGCCTTGAGCGATGCAGTCTCTGTACGGACATGGATAGCGGGGGATGGGGCAAGAGAGGTTGGGTAATGAGAGCCTATCTCACAACCGCCTTGAGCACCGCGGCACACTGCACACCATACAGCAAGCTGTGACAATAGCTGGTGCTTGAGCGCAGCAGCACACTGCACTCCATACAGCAAGCTGTGACAATAGCTGGTGCTTGAGCGCAGCAGCACACTGCACTCCATACAGCAAGCTGTGACAATAGCTGGTGCTTGAGCGCAGCAGCACACTGCACTCCATACAGCAAGCTGTGACAATAGCTGGTGCTTGAGCGCAGCAGCACACTGCACTCCATACAGCAAGCTGTGACAATAGCTGGTGCTTGAGCGCAGCAGCACACTGCACTCCATACAGCAAGCTGTGACAATAGCTGGTGCTTGAGCGCAGCAGCACACTGCACTCCATACAGCAAGCTGTGACAATAGCTGGTGCTTGAGCGCAGCAGCACACTGCACTCCATACAGCAAGCTGTGACAATAGCTGGTGCTTGAGCGCAGCAGCACACTGCACTCCATACAGCAAGCTGTGACAATAGCTGGTGCTTGAGCGCAGCAGCACACTGCACTCCATACAGCAAGCTGTGACAATAGCTGGTGCTTGAGCGCAGCAGCACACTGCACTCCATACAGCAAGCTGTGACAATAGCTGGTGCTTGAGCGCAGCAGCACACTGCACTCCATACAGCAAGCTGTGACAATAGCTGGTGCTTGAGCGCAGCAGCACACTGCACTCCATACAGCAAGCTGTGACAATAGCTGGTGCTTGAGCGCAGCAGCACACTGCACTCCATACAGCAAGCTGTGACAATAGCTGGTGCTTGAGCGCAGCAGCACACTGCACTCCATACAGCAAGCTGTGACAATAGCTGGTGCTTGAGCGCAGCAGCACACTGCACTCCATACAGCAAGCTGTGACAATAGCTGGTGCTTGAGCGCAGCAGCACACTGCACTCCATACAGCAAGCTGTGACAATAGCTGGTGCTTGAGCGCAGCAGCACACTGCACTCCATACAGCAAGCTGTGACAATAGCTGGTGCTTGAGCGCAGCAGCACACTGCACTCCATACAGCAAGCTGTGACAATAGCTGGTGCTTGAGCGCAGCAGCACACTGCACTCCATACAGCAAGCTGTGACAATAGCTGGTGCTTGAGCGCAGCAGCACACTGCACTCCATACAGCAAGCTGTGACAATAGCTGGTGCTTGAGCGCAGCAGCACACTGCACTCCATACAGCAAGCTGTGACAATAGCTGGTGCTTGAGCGCAGCAGCACACTGCACTCCATACAGCGAACTGCCCCGCACCTCACAGGCCGCCTTGAGCGCATCAGTTTCTGGATGGACATGGGTGGTTGGAAAGAGAGGGGATGGACACAGGGGGGTAGAGAGACCGAAAAACACAGAGAACCGCAGCAGCACACTGCACACTGCATGCCATAGAGTACAGCGAAGTGAACCGCCTCTATCTTTACAAGCCGCCACGAGCGCATCAGCTTTCTGGATGAACACAGGGGGGTTTGGGAAGAGGCGGAATAAACACAGAGGGAAGTGAGTGAGAATCAGAGATTACCTCGATGCTCGAAAAACGTGTTGGGCAGGTACAACGCTCGGAGGCTAGTTTTGGGTCGACTCAAAACACGGAGGGAGGGTAGTGAGTGAGAATCAGAGACCACCTCGATGCTCCGAGCGTGAACAGTTTGGGACTGAGTTGCTACACAGGTAGAGAGGCTGGGGGAACAGAGCGAGGGAACGTGCTACGCAGGTAAAGCTGTTGTGGATAGAAACAGCTTGAGAATGTCGTTGCACGGGCAAGAAGAGCAGGCTCTCCAGTCCAGCTACGCAACACGTTTCTCGAGCTGCTCCCCCGCCCATTCTACCTGCGGAGCACGTTTCACGCACAGTGTTCCACCAACCTTTTTACCTATGCAACACGACTCCCAACCCGTCCTGGTGACAAAACGACAAGCACAACTGCGTTGCCAACTGCCACACGCCTTGTGTTTTTGGGTTTCATCCACCCACCCACCCACCCACCCAGCCACGCAGCTTGGTTAGAGAGGTGGATGGGGATGATCTCGGAGCGGAAGTGGTTCTTGCGGGCGTCAGCGCAGCCCCACCAGATAGCTAGCATACCCACCCCACCCAACCCACACACCCACCTAACCCACCCACCCACCCACCCCCCCACCCGCCCACCTTGCTGGGAGAGGTGGATGGGGATGACCTCGGAGCGAAAGTGATTCTTGCGCGAGTCAGCACAGCCGGGCTGGAAGGGCAGCATCGCAGATTTCGATGAGGCGGCATACCCCACCGCGTCCACCACCTTGGTGAAAAAGCCCTTCGCCTGTGCGCCCTTGGGCATGAGGGAGGCGAGGGAGGGGGGCAGAGAGATGCCTGTGGTGGGCCTGGGAAGGGGAGAGGAACCAGGAGGGGCAGGCAGGGGGAATGGGAGGAGCAGGGAGTGCAGAAAGAACAGGAAGGGAGGTGGGGCAGGGAAAGAGGTGAGCAGGGTTGGAAGGGCAGTATGTATGACGGAGTGCAAGGAGGCGGCACGGCATATCCTGGTGAAGAAGCCCTTCGCCTGTGCGCCCTTGGGCATGAGGGAGGCGAGAGAAGAGGGTGAGAGAGAGAGAGAGAGAGAGAGAGAGAGAGAGAGAGAGAGAGAGAGAGAGAGAGAGCGGAGGGAGAAGGGGAGGACATGAGGCATACAAGGTTGTAGGGTGGAGTGGAATGTCGTACGTACCGGTACCGGGTTGGGGAAGATGGGGCAGAGCCAGCGACCACATCTAATTCGTGTGTGGCAAGCACGTATGATCCGTGTGTGGCAAGCACGTATGATCCGTGTGTGGCAAGCACGTATGATCCGTGTGTGGCAAGCACGTATGATCCGTGTGTGGCAAGCACGTATGATCCGTGTGTGGCAAGCACGTATGATCCGTGTGTGGCAAGCACGTATGATCCGTGTGTGGCAAGCATGTATGATCCGTGTGTGGCAAGGCAAGCACGTATGATCCGTTTTGAGTTGATCCGTTTTGATCTGTGTGGGGTGGAGTGCCGTGCATACCAGGCTGGTGAAGAGGGGGCGGTGCCAGCGAGCACAGCCGCAAGGGCAGAGAGGAAAGCGCGGGCGACCGAGAGAGCGGAGGAGCGATCAAAGGCAGCGCAGTGGCCCCTCAGAACGATACACGTGGCGAGCTCAGAGGGGTACACGTGGACCTGTGGCAGGCGAGGGGAGGGGAGCAGGGACGGGGAGGGCAGGGGAGGGCAGTGACGAGTAAGAGATTAGAGGAAAATATAGGATAATAAAACAAAAACAGTGGGACGTAAACAAAACTGTGAGGCATGCATCTGACTTTTGAGTGAAACCGTGAGGCAAGCATCATCTATAATCGTTTTTGTAAAAGGAGAAGATCAGGGTAGAAATCGAAACAGTGGGTTCGCCTGGAAAGAATTTTCACCTGGGGTTCAACAAAACAGTGGGGTCAACATCCTCATCTCTCTCCCCCATCACCGCCATGAGGGAGCTCATCTCATCTCTGCCCTACACCCTGGGCGGTGATATGATGGAGTCCCTACACCGGGTCTGTTACCTGGGACTCACCTGGAAAACGTTGGTCGGCTCCTCATCCTTATCCCCAACTGCCACCATGGGAGTGTTCATCTCCGCCTGAGTCAGCAGCCTCAGCGCGTCCTCCGTCTCACTAGCGCCTAGCGTGCTCGCCCCATCCGCCCCTAGCACTTCGTGCCACGAGCGCGCCGCCACGGTGACAGCAGGGGGGGCGTCAGCAGGCACATTAAGCTCCCAGTGCGGCTTGGGTTTCTGCACCCTGATGATCCTGGCCGCCAGGATGGGGTGCTGCGATGCGGCGAGTGCAGCTGCTGATTTAACCTGGTTTTGAAAGGGGGGATGGCGGGGATGTGAAACAGGTAAGACACAGCCGGGGGACTGACAGCCGGCAGCTCCCAGTGCGGCTTGGGCCTCTGCAAGCTGATGATCCTGGCGGTGAGAATGGGGTGATGAGACGCCGCCAGTGCTGCTGCCGTTTTAACCTGGTTTTATTTTGGGGGGTGGGGAGGGGAACGAGGTAACTAGACGTGAGACAGGTAAGGCATGAGAAAATCTTGTTTCAGGGGCGTCGGCAGGCATGGGAAATAATTTGGTGAGGAAGTTCTCTGACGCGAGAATTACGGAGATAAAAGGCAACAGTGTTCCAGCACACCTGGTCCAGCGAAATGGTTCGCGAAAAACGCAGCGTGGTAACACTCAGTCCCGTGCCCGTCTTGCTCGCCCGCTGCCACAACTCCTCGTTGCTCGCGAGCGCGCGGGAAGCCATTAACTTGCGTTTGAGATGATTCGTAACAAGGTGGGAGAGGACGGTAAGATAGCAGAACGTGTTCAAAGAATCGATTTAATGAGTTACGAGTGTTGCACGACAATTTGCGAATGTTATTTATATTTTATGTGTCGGGATCCGCGGCTGGAGAACAAATGAAGATCAGATGCGGTCTGCGGAGAAGGCACGTCAGTGCGACTCGTGACGATCCATGATGACGGCTGTGCAGGTGACGATCTGGGTGCATCTTGACGCGACAGGAATTGACGTCGCGAAACGGACGTATTACGACTGACGTCGTAAAGTGGGGACGTTGACATTTGGACAGGAAAACGCCGTTTCGAAAGGTTGGTTCAGCTCAGGGTCCACAGGTTTCGAAGGGGTAGGACGGCTAGTTAGAGGCGAGTGCCTCGATTTGACCGCGACCTTGAAAAGTGCTGAAATAAGACGAGACGTGTGACGGCTGCAAAAAGGCGGCTGTAAGGAAACGGGAGAGCAAGGAGGGAATGAATGGAGAGCATCCCATCATCTGCCGTCATCAAGTGTGTCCCATCAAGTGTGTGTCCTTTCATACTTTCAAGTTCCTGTATCGATGTTTACAAAAAGGTGAACTGCGTTTCAGAGTGATGAGTAATGCAGACCGCTTTACAGAGCACACCATCCCAAACCACCCGACCAAACTTTATGAGCAGGAAGTGAACACCTCCAGTCCAGTGTGGATGAAATTTTATATCCTTTATAATATGACGTTCTATTGTGATTAGCACTTTGTGCTATTTTGATTAAATTTGTGTTGTGAGCTGACAGCATAAATAGGTCTTTCGCAAATACCTTATCAGTCAAGCTCGTGTGCTTTCTTGCTTAGGCCCGCTGGCCTAAGTCCGCTAAAGAATTAGCGGGGTCGACTAAGTCGAGGATAAAGCGCGGCGGAAGACTTTGGCGAAAGAACTACTAGCGAAATAGGCGAAGGAGTTACTGAGTAATTGAAGAAGAGTTGAATGAGAATTGGTTGATATGAGGGAATACAAGCAAGGTTTATATAGCATGCAAGAAACAAGGTTGGAAAGTGGATTGTGGGACCAAGAATTGTAGTGCAAGAAAAGTAGAGTGCCACGTGGCACTAGAGAATCTGAGAAGATAAGGATAAGGGTGACTTGGATGGGTTGGGAAAGTACTGTTCAAAGGGAACAGTAAATCCCCCTTTAACACTACCCCCCTCCCAAGGAGGCGACGTCCGCGGCGCCTGCAGACTGAAGGTACGCTCGGAGGCAAGCGTTGTCGGGAGACAGCGAGGACGAAGGAACCCAGCTGTCGTCGGCTGCATCGTAACCACGCCAACGAACCAAGAAGTCGATGAAAGAGACACCTCCCTGCAGACGGCGACGGTGCCTGAGGATGCGCTGGATCTGGTAGTCGGGCTCGTCGGTGTCAACAGCTACCGGCAGTGGAGTGCGATCACGGCCCGAGAAGGTGGTGTTGGGATCAGTGTAAGGCCGAAGGAGAGACACGTGGAATGATGGGTGCATGCGGAAATGAGCGGGAAGGCGAAGGCGGTATGCGACTGGACCAAGTGCGCGCTCAATGACGAATGGACCAATGAAACGTGGGCGAAGCTTGCTGTCCTGTGGCAGTCGGAGGTTGCGGCTATCGAGAAAGATACGGTCACCAACTGAAAACGACACCTCACGACGACTGCGGTTGGTGGTGCGTGCCATGCGTGCATTTGCGAGCTCAAGGTGCTTCCTCACGTGATCATGAATGAAAGTGAGATGCTGGTGGAAGTTGTCCGCACGAGGGACGGTGGGTGTGAGATCGACACGAGTGGGGACATTGGGGTGCTGACCGTACAGTGCAAAGAACGGTGACATGCCTGTGGCGGAATGATGCGTGTTGTTGTAGGCGAACTCAGCCATGCTCAGCTTCTTGTCCCATGCTGCTGCGTCGTGCATCGTGATGCTGCGAAGGATCTGCTCCAAGGTCTGGTTCACGCGCTCAGTCTGTCCGTCTGTCTCTGGATGGTACGCAGACGACATGGCTAAGCGAGTCCCAAACAGTGCGAAAAGCTGCTTCCAGAACTTCGAGGTGAATCTAGGGTCGCGATCGGAAATGATGGAATCGGGAACCCCGTGCAGTCGGACTACGTTATCTACGAACAGCGTCGCGGCTTCCTCTGCTGTGACCTGACCGTGCGTGGGGATGAAATGCGCTGCTCGAGAAAACTTATCCACTACCACGAAGATCGCGTCGTGACCCCTAACTGTGCGCGGTAATGCCATGATGAAGTCCATGATGACTACCTGCCAAGGGCGGTCGGGTGGTGGAATCGGCTGCAAAAGTCCTGCTTTGCGCTGGCGAGAGGACTTCGTACGCTGACACGTGTCGCACGAGCGAATGTAATCCTCTACGTCTGCTGCAAGCCCTGGCCAGTAGTACGTGCGACTAAGCGTCTTAGCCGTCTTGTCTGCTCCGAAGTGACCTGCACTAACTACGTCGTGCGCCTCTGAGAGAAGGAGCTGTCGAAGAGGGCGGTAGGCTGGAACCCAAATCCGTGTGGTGCCCTTCCGTATGTAAACACTACCCTGCACCTCTGCTCCTGCGGGCGGCTGCGGTGTGAAGTCGGGATCTACTGTGTAACCGTGCTCGAAGAGTGCTGTGAGAAGTGGATGGCCTGCAGTGACTGTGAGGCTAGCGAGCTGACAACTAGGGCGAGTGAGCGGATCTGCTGGGTTGCGCACGCCTGGCTTGTACTCTATCCTGTAATGAAAGCTCCCCTCCATGAACTCCATCCATCTAGCCTGGCGACGACTCAGCTGCGGTTGCGACTTGAGAAAGCGAAGCGAGCAGTGGTCCGTGCGTATAACACTGTCTGCCCCCTCTAGGTAGCACCTCCATACCTTATACGCATGGATGATCGCGAGCGCCTCTTTGTCGTGTATGGGATAGTTCAACTCCGCTCCCCTCAGCTTACGCGACTCGTACGCGATCGGCTGCAACCCGCGTCCCTGGTCCTGAAGAAGTACTGCTCCTATGGCCTGATCTGAAGCGTCGGTCACTACAACGTACGGGCGAGTGGGATCAGGGTACGACAGTGTCGGTGAAGACGTGAGCGACTGCTTCATCTGCTCGAACGCCTGCTGCTGCGCTGGACCCCAAACGTACTCTACGCCTTTCCGAAGTAGGTCGGTGAGTGGACTAGCGATGGAAGCGTAACCCTGAACGAAACGGCGGTAGTAATTTGCGAATCCGAGAAAGCTCTGCAACTCCTTGACTGAGGTCGGTGCTACCCAATCCTGTACCGCTGCGATCTTCTTCGGGTCGGTCCTAACGCCACTAGCGGATACGACGTGTCCTAGGAACTCGACCTCGGGGAGAAAGAACTCGCACTTCGACTGCTTCGCGTACAGCTTCTCCCTCCGCAAGACCTCAAAGACCCCCTGCAACTGCTGCACGTGCTCCTCTTTCGACTTGGAGAAGATCAAGATGTCGTCTAGGTAAACGACAACGAACGAACCTAGGAACTCGGAGAGGACGGTGTTCATAAGCGTCTGGAACGTCGCTGAGGCGTTGGTCAGTCCGAACGGAAGAACCTACCCTAAACTCGTACAACCCCTGCTTCGTACGAAACGCCGTCTTGTGCTGGTCCTCTGGAACTACGCGAATCTGGTGGTAACCCGAACGAAGGTCGATCTTAGAAAAGACTCTAGCGTCCAGCACTGCATCTAGAAGATCCTCTACTCTCGGCACCGGGAATCGATTTTTAATGGTGGCGGCGTTCAGTGCGCGGTAATCTATGCACATCCGTAACCCTCCGTCTTTCTTAGGCGCGAAAAGGATCGGTGCGGCCCAAGGCGACCTAGATGGCTGTATGAACCCCTGCGCGAGAAAGTGCCTAACCTGCTGCGTCATCTCCTCTGTCTCTGCTGGACTCAACCTCCACTGCGGCTTTGCTACTGGCCTGCTCCCCGGCTCCAACTCTATTCGATGGTCGACTGCTCGGCTAGGAGGTAACCCTGGGGGCAACTCGTCGGGGAAGACGTCTGCGAACTCTGCTAACAGTGCACTCACCTCAGCAGGAAGAGTCGCCTTCTCACTAACTGCTGCGCTCCCTCCTTTCCCCTCCTCAGCTTCCACCTCCTCAAGGAAAACCGCGAAGATCCGTGCCGCTCGCTTCACCAGCTGTCGCACACGAACAGCATTGATGATCGCTGTGGATGATGTGGCCCCATCGCTCCACTGTGGCAGCTCCCGGAACTCGCCATCTACCTTGACGCTGCAGCTTCCCTGAGCCCAATCGAACTGAGTACTAACCGTCCGTAGCCAATCTCTCCCGAAGATGAAATCGTAACCGTCCAGCGTCGCAGAGTCGAAGTGACGCCTTACTATGATCGGTCCTAGCACTACGCGCAACTTGCGAATGACTGGTCCTATGTGGAGAGGCGTCCCATCTATCATGCGAGCGTCCTTGAAGTTGACTGAGGAATCTGCTTCAAGATGGAGACGGCTAACTAATGAAGACGAAACGAACGAGTGGCTAGCTCCGCTGCCGACGAGAATCTTAACAGGAACTCCGCGAAGCTTCCCTAGAAGCACGACTGGACGATCAACAGTGTCTACCTCGTTCTCCGTAGATGACTGCTGCAAGGCCGTCTCCTCTACGTTGGTAGACGTGGCGGGTACGGGAACCTCCACACCAGCTAGCGACCCGCTATCTACTGGCGGTTTCCGTTTCCCTGCTGCCGCTCCTTGAACTGTGGGCAGTCCCGCTTCATGTGACCCGGCTTTTTGCAGTAGTGACAGTTCCCCCTAAATCCGTTGCGCTGTGAGCCGTCACTGTTAACTGCACCAATCTCCATGGGCGACGGTCCGTCCCTCGATCGAGCGTCGTTGATCGGTCTGCTGTATCCCCTATCGCGATCGTCACGACCCCGTCGGCTTCGTACTGCGTCGACGCGTTCTGCTGCTGCGACTACTGACTCGAAGGTGGACAACCCGTGAATCGCAATAATCTCCGCTATGTCCGGCTTCAACCCTTCGAGGTAGCGATCGCGCATCTCTGCTTCCGTGATGTCGTCTATCTCGTTGCAGATGCTCAAGAACCGTCGTGTGTACTCCTGGACGTTTCCTATCTGTCGGAAATGACGCAGACGCTTCCTTTTCAGCGCCGCTTCAAATCCTTCCCATGTCGTCAGAACCGTGGTAACATCCAAAGCTAGACTCTATAAGCTCGAAGTTGCAGCTGCATGCCCCACGCCCTGTTGATGCCCGTGTATCTGAGCCCTCCGTACAGCAGTCTGCGTAAGTTGGCGCCACCACTCCAAGGCCGGGCCCCTCAGCAGCGTTACGGCGTACTCGATCCGCTGCTGCGCGTCCGCCTCTTGCACCCCGCCCGCGGCTAAGTAATTGTTGAGCATGAAGAGCCACGTTCGCACGTTCGCGTCGCGTTGACTTGGGTCGAACGACTCGGGCTTCTGCGGCTTGAGCGCGCTTCGACGTTCCGGCAGCGCTTCCGCGCCAGTCGACGTGGTGGGTGCAGGAGTTGGTGCGGCAAGGCCATGGGGGTTAGAAGCCAAATTGCGAAGTTGTTGCATTTCGGCTCGTACCTGACGATTTTCGAACGTCAATTCTTCGAGTTGACGCATGAGCTCGGCAAGCGTGTTGCCCATGTCGTGGGGGAAAGCGTTCATGGATTCGTCCATGTTTGCTCGACGACTCCAAGTCTGCAAGTCGGCACCGCGGGACGATGACGGCGTAGTCTCGTCGTCGACGGTCGCTCGTTGGAAGTCGCTCCCCGCGAAGGCTCTGATACCAAGTGTTAGGCCCGCTGGCCTAAGTCCGCTAAAGAATTAGCGGGGTCGACTAAGTCGAGGATAAAGCGCGGCGGAAGACTTTGGCGAAAGAACTACTAGCGAAATAGGCGAAGGAGTTACTGAGTAATTGAAGAAGAGTTGAATGAGAATTGGTTGATATGAGGGAATACAAGCAAGGTTTATATAGCATGCAAGAAACAAGGTTGGAAAGTGGATTGTGGGACCAAGAATTGTAGTGCAAGAAAAGTAGAGTGCCACGTGGCACTAGAGAATCTGAGAAGATAAGGATAAGGGTGACTTGGATGGGTTGGGAAAGTACTCTTCAAGGGAACAGTAAATCCCCCTTTAACATTAGCAGTCAAGCTCGTGTGCTTTCTTGCTATAGTTGCAATTCAAATTTACAGTGCTCTGACAATCTCGGTGGCCTGGCGCGGGTGGCAGCTCCCAGGAGTGTGTGAAAAAGGCGCGTACTTTTGAACCGACTCCGTCGCGCGCCCCTGAAGTTTTCATGTGCCGCGCCACGGCCATTTTCCCTCCGTCCGAACCACAAATTGAAGAATCTCTTGACGAAAGCTCCCTCCATTTGCAGCTGAGCTGCCCGAGGTTTGGACGGAAGGGAACCGATATCATCCCTAGGGGGCGTCCGTCATTTTCGCAAACGGAGCAAATATAACTGCAGTTTCTGGAAAAAAGCCATGGGACTGGTCACTGGACGTCAGCTTTGTAGGGGCGCCGACGCCTTCGCACCCCGTGCTGTCCGTACGACGGAGGCTGTCGGAGCTCCGGCTCTCTTCCTTAGTGAGCTTCCCCAGTTCACTCTGCTTGGTTGGGAACTTGGGAGTGTCTTCGTTCCCCTCGCACCGCCCGCCTGTTCGCTCATGTGCCTTGGGATAGTCCTTGGGATAGTCTTTCCGTCCTTTGTGGTATGCGCCAAACCGAGCCACCAGCGCGAACTGTTCGCTCATTCAGTGCACAGGGATTCTTAGGAATTTACTGAGGACCTCCTCTTAGACTTGGCCAGTTTAGCAGGACGGAACACACAGAATAGTCCCCTTCGTTTGCTCGGATGGCTTTTGACATGCTGACGTTTTCTGGTAGTAACCCAACGGAGAAAGCGGTACTATTGTCAAGCACGCATCAGTCAAGCAGTCCTAACGGGCGCTAGGCGTCCAATCTACTCTGTTGTTCGTGTAGGTCTATAGGCTGTCAGATATTAGATCCGATCGAACATTTGTATTCTCTAGTATCAAGCGTAAGTTTGTTTATTAATTTATTATAGAGCCATGTGGCACAGCAAGAAGGCGAAAGGCGGGAAACACGGAGGCAAGATGCTCGCTTGCTTCGGTGGAACCATCCCCGTAGAGGCCTCCAGCTCTTTCGCAGACGGTCGCCAGAAATCGCTCAAGTCGCACGAAGGCCTGCGAATGGCCGCGGCGACACTTGATGACAGCGACCATGACGGCGACCATCTCACGACCGCCAAGCGGGTGAGGCTCCACTTTTGATTGGAAATCCTCTTCTTCCTACTGCAGTCAATTCTCGCAAAATAGCACTCTCGCAACTCGCATCACAATGAAGCGCCTCCTAAATCAATATGATGCGTTATTTCCATTTTCTGCATAGTGGATTCGGCATTATTATCGGTTTCAGAAATCTTAGCGAGGCCTCTCTACACGTCCCGTCCATGCTACACGACGATTTCCCCTCCTTGAGCCGACTGGAAAATCAGCTGTTTGCTGTCTTCTTTCTCTCTCGCGTCTCCTTCATGCAGGATCATTCCCCTTTCTCTCAGGACAAGAGAAATGTTCTTCTTTCGACAGGTGGGACCCGCGTCTTCCCAACCAACGAATCCCCGAATCCACGTCAGCCGTTTTCCTCAGCCAACGGACCCACGTGGCCGGATAAGTCTTTGTCGCAGCCGAACCCTAACACGGAGGCCGCCGCCGCGGCCGCTACAGCCAAAGCCGCAGCGGAAGGTATTCTCCCGCCTCTCGGTGCTACCGAAGCTAAGTACCTTCGACATAGTCACCAGCTGAATCACCCCCCTCATCTTCACCACCCGAAAGCTGTCACGCCGGATGCTGACGTGGCCGCCGCAACCGCCATCGCTGCGGCGGCCATAGTTGGGCCTGCTGCTCCTGTCGCGCCGCTGGTACAGCAGGGGATAGATGCTTCTGGGAAACCCGCAAAACCCGTGAAGCCGCTTAGTCATCATACTAACGGCGGGACAGGCAGATCCGGTGGGAGAGAAGGGGAGAAGGTGCAAGTCGCGCGATTTAAGGAAGAGGATGAGGACGAGGAGGACACCTCATGCAGCAGCGAGTCCGCGAGAGCCGCCGGATCTTCCGTGGGCTCCTGCGAGAGCACGTGTGTCCGAGTGCCTCGTGGCGGGATGGGGTTTGGCGCGGGAATCGCGGAGGGCAGCGAGGAGCTGGACGAGTTGAGGCTTGAAGTTGCGGAGTTGAGGCGGCGGGTGGCGAGGCACGAGGAGGAGGCGAAGAAGCTGCGAGATGAGGTAAAGTGGGGTTACCAGAAGCACTCTTCGCAGATGTAGAACAAGATTTTTACTAAGCTATGCCAAACCCTTAATTTTTACCGCCCCTCCGCCAGTTGCTACCACCCACATTCACTCGTTCCCCCTCCTCTGTACCCTTCCCTTCTCCCCGTCCCCCTCCCCTTCCCCTTCCCCTCACCCTATTTCCTTTGTCTGCAGGTGCTCTATCTTCGCGCTTGCGGCTATGAGATGCACTTAGCTAAGAGCCAGCAGCAGCAGAGGCGCGTTCTCACACCAGCAACCAGCTCCTCACGGTTACCGCTCCAGGATGTAGGTAACCTCCCGGCAGCCGTGCCTGGGACCATCATGAACACGTTCGGGAACCCTGAGAACGCGATGTCGAGCTTAGAGATGATGATGGGGATGCGTATAGCGGGGATGGCGGAAAACGCAGAGCTTAGGGGATCTGGAGTCGCAGGAGGAGGAGTCGGAAGGGTAGATGAGGGATCAGCGGTAGAACTAGCCGCAGCAGGAGCGGAAGCTGGGAAGGCAGGACGAGGAGGGGAGCAGCAGGCGCAGGGGCAGAAGGAAAACAGGGAGAATAGGCAGCCTGGGAACGGTTCGAATGGGTTGAGCGGTTTGAACGGTTTTCAGGAACGAGCCAGTCCGCGAGGAACGGGTGGGGTGGAGGAGAGAGGGCGTGTGCTGCAGGATAGGGGGTTTGCAGGCGTGCAAGACAGGGGGAGTACGGGCGTGCAAGACAGGGGAAGTACGGGCGTGCAAGACAGGGGAAGTACGGGCGTGCAAGACAGGGGAAGTACGGGCGTGCAAGACAGAGGAAGTACGGGCGTGCGGGATACGAGGGGTAATGCGAGTGGTGGTGATGGGCTGTCCGTCCTGCCTCCCCTGTGGGCATCCGATTCCCCTTCCAAAGAGAACAGTCACAGGGAGGGTGGTGGGGCTCGTGGTGGTGGTGGTGGTGCTGCTGCTGCTGCTGGGGAAGCTGATGTGGCGGTGGCGCCAGCAGTTCTTTTCTCTCCTCGTCCCGCTGCCACGTCAGCATGCCCTGTCCTGCCAGCTCGGCCTGCCACGCCAGCAGCCGTCGCGCGGCCGCCGGTGTACAGCGGGCGAGCGAGTCTGGAGAAGATGAGGCCGCCGCCTATAAAGGGGATGCCGCTGCCGTGGGAGTCGGTTGATGACGTGGCGAATCTGCAGGCTGGGATTGGCTGTCAGGCTGCTGCTACTGCTGCTGCTGCTGCTGCTGCGGGGAAAGAGACAAGGGCGTGTGCAGGAGGAGAAGCGGTAGGAGAGCAGGGGAAGCATGGAATACAAGAGGAGGAAGGTGATCAGGGTGTTGTCAGGAGTGTGGAGGGTGGGTCGACTGCGGTGGGAGGTGCGGGGCTGGCAAGATCGGGTTCGGGAAGCAGTGCGGTGAAGAGCGGTGGGAGGAGGAGCGGGCCTGCTTTGGTGTGGCGAGTGGTGAACGGAGAGGGTGTGTGGACGCTGGCTGGGATGGATGGTTCACAGGAACAGGAAAGTCAGAGTGCTGTGGTGATAGGTGCTGCCAATGCCCCTCGTGCTGCTGTGCCTGATGATGGTGATGCCGCTGCTGGTTCTGCCACTCCTCGTGCTGCCGCTGCTGCTGGTTCTGCTGGTGCAGTGGGTGCAGCAGCTACAGCAGCAGCAGCAGCAGCAGCAGCAGGAGCGGCAGCAGCAGCAGCAACAGCGGCGGCATCAGGAGTAAAGGCAGTAGCAGCAGTGGACCACGGTTCGGCAGTGAAAGCATGGCTGGATGGGACAGCAGGGAGCCTGATACAGTCACCCTCGGTAGATGAACCGGCATGGGCAGTGGGCGTGTGGGAGGAGGCAGGAGTGAGCGCGGAGCAGGAGGCACTGCAAGGGTATCATCAGATGGGGACGTGTGATAACGAGCTGAAGCTGACTTCTGAGACGTCTCAAAAGATGTGTGATAATGAGCTGAAGCTGCATCCCACAAATCCCTTCCTCTCCCCTCCTCCTGCTGATACCTTGCTTTGGGAAGAGCATGGCGCTCCCATTGCAGCATCCGCGTTACAGGTGGGCCCGGTAGAGGCAGCAGCAGCTGCTCCCGAAACAGAGTGCTATCTGGCTGAGGACCGACCAAAGCACGAGCAGCAGCAGCAGCAGCAGCAGCAAGTAACAGCGGGGGTGCAGGTTCACCCGGGAGAGAGTGCTGACGCAAGACCGACAATGAAGAGCGCAATGAAGGGCGCTTCTCCTCGCACTGCTGCTAACGCCACACTCCCTGCCACAATCCCCCCTGCCACACCTCCCCCTGCCACACCCCCCTCCGCTGAGCCTTCCGCTACTGCTCCCACCACTCCCCTTGTTCACGCGAGTACCCCAACTCCCGGACTGGCCAATCCCGCTTCGCCAGCTGGACTGCCAGGTGGGCTGCCAGCTGGGCTGCCAGCAGGGCCGGAGGCGAAGCCAGCCCTATGGGCGGCAGCAGTGGCAGCGGCGACAATGATGACCCCCACCGCTGCCCGGATCTCGGACCTCCTCTTTGGCTCCTCCCCCCCTCCCTCCGGTCCTTCTGACCCCGCCCCTCCCTCTGGCCCGACTCCTCACTCTGCCCCCTGTGGCCCCAACCCCGCATCTGCTCTCTCTCCGCCCTCGGATAGTTTCTCTCTGGGTGTGAGCCAGGGCGTGAGGGGAGGGGTAGGGGCGGCAGGAGCAGAAGGGGAGAGCGTGGGGGCGAGGAGGCGGGGAGTGGGCGAGTCGGATAGCTCGCTCACTCTGGTGCGAGGGGCGTCGTGCCGAAGCTCTGTTGACACGCCCGTGTTTGCAGCAGGTGCTGGTGCTGGTAGCCGTTCCTCCCTGCCTGCTATGGGGGGTGAAGGGCGAGGGGATTGGGAGGAGGAGAGTGAGGGGGAAGAGAGTGAGGAAGAGAGTGAGGAGGGGGAGAGTGAGGAGGAAAGCGAAGGGGAGGAGAGCGAGGAGGAGAGTGAGAGCGATTACAGTGAAAATGGTAGTGGTAGCGATGAGGAGGAAGAGGAGGAGAGGGGTGAGGTTGGGAAAGTGGGTGTGGGAGAGAAGAGTGCCACAGAGGACGACAGAAGCTGTACCAGCTTCCTCTCCTCAGGTGGGGCCACTGCTGCGGCGTCAGCCCTCTCAGGTGAATTCTCAGGTTTCTCAGGTGAACTCCACGCGTATGCAGCAGACGCAGCAGTGAATAGGCAGGGGCCGCGTGAGACAACGTGTGAGACGACGTTTCAAGGCTACGCAGCAGCAGGCAGGCAAGGGGCGCGTGAGCACAATGATACAGCCGCTACAGCCACCACAGCTGCTGCAGCTGGTGCCACAGCTGCTACAGCCGCCACAGCTGCTACAGCTGCTGGTACAGCCGCTGCAGCTGGAGCAGCTGTGACTGGGTCATCTGACGGCAGTAAGATCTCGCTCTCTCTTGGCTCCCTCACTTCCCTCTCCTCTCCCTTCACCTCGCAGTCCCTTCCGCCCTCCTCGCCTGCCCTCGTGCCCCACACTGCTACCACCGCCTCCCCTGCTGCTGCTGCCGCTGCTGCTGCCACTGCTGCCGCAGCACTTGCTGCTCCTACTTTCCCTCCAGCTACCCCTGCGTTTGCTGGTAAAACTGGCCCTGCTGCTGGTGATGGGGCCGCAGCGGCTGCTGCTGCTGCTGCTGCTGCTCCAGTGCGCGGTTGTGTGAGAGAGGAGGGAGTTGGAGGTCGGTTTGAAGGGGTGAAGGCAGTGGGAGGGCATGGGGAGGACAGGTACGGGTCTGACTGGAGTGAGGACGAGGAGGAGAACAGCAGCGACGAGCAAGAGGAGGAGGAGGAGGATGAGGAAGAGGAAGAGGAAGAAGGGGAGAGGGAGGTGGTAGTAGATACCGAGAAGGAACTGGCAAGCGAAGGGGAAGCGGCGGTGGGTGTTTATGCATCGTCGCTGGTGTGGAGCTCTTGTGCGGACTCGGAGGAGGGGACGGAGGTGGTTATGGAAGATGAAGGTGCGGAGGGGAGGGAGAAGGATCGGAGGGCGAGGAGGGAGGAGCAGGAGAGGCTGCAGCAGCAGCGGAGGGAACAGCAGGAGAAGCAGCAGCAGATGGAGCAGCAGCAGCAGCAGCAGCAGCAGCAGCAGAGGGAGCAGCAGCAGCAGCAGCAGCAGCAGCAGCAGCAGCAGCAGAAGCAGGCGCAGCAAAAGCGGGAGCAAGAGGGGAAGAGGGGCGAGGAGGAGCGGGAGGGGGGCGAGCGGAGCAGTGGGCGGAGGCAGAGGAAGAGGTGGGGGGAACCGAAGGGAGACAGCGTGCTGGCAAAAGCCATAGAGCAGGCCCTGCCAGGCAGCAGACGCCGCTCCACCTCCCCTCTCATGGTCCCCTCCCCTTTTGATGAGCCCACCTCTCCTCTTCATGAGCCTACAACCCCTCGCAGGTCCACCTCCCCCAGAACTACCTCCCCCTTCAGCCAGTTGTACCCACCCACAGCCACACTCCACTCGCCCAAACCCGCGCTGCGCTTTCCTGCAGGCAAGTCCGCCCAGGTCAACTCTGCATTGACCAAGTCAACGCTGCCAAAGAGCAGGTCTACCTCCCCTAAACGCACCTCCCCCACACGCACCTCCCAAACACGCACCCCAACTAGAAACACCTCCCCTAAACGCACCTCCCCCACGCGCACCCCAACTGGAAGCACCTCTCCCGTCTCCCCTGCGCGCACCTCCAACCGTTCACTGAGGCGCACTGTCTCCCCTATAAGCATGCTCGCTTCTCCGTTGAAGCGGCTCCTTGTGCCTGATGGCAAGCGGAGCAGGTCCCCCTCCCCCACTGGCCGCTTACCTTCTCCTGCAGCCCCTCTCTCTCCTTCTGCTGCTCCGCACTCTCCTTTCACTCCGCACTCTCCTGCTGCTCCGCGCTCTGCTGCTGCTCATCTCTCTGCTGCTATCGTGTCTGCTCGCTCGCCCCCCCCGCTCGGTCAACCACCCCTGTTGCAAGGCAGCAGGGGCAGGCAGAGGTGGGGAGGATGAAGAGGTGGGGGGGTGGTAATGATGGTCGGGGTGATGGGAGGAAGGGTAGGGATGTGGGGAATGGGAATGATGGAGAAAGCACTTTAGACTCGACTCGAAAAAATGATGGAGGAAGGAACGGAAACGGCGGACTGGATGGTGGAGTGGGGAACGGCAATTGGGGCAGTGCAACTAGCTATGAGACAGAGGAGAAGCTAATTGTGGTGGAGGGGAGTGCGAGGAAAGCAGGGAAAGGAGGAAGAAGGGAAGGTGCGTTGGAAGAGAGAGGGTTGGACGGAAGGAGTGAGGAGGGAAGGAGGGAGGCTGTAGGCGACTCTGTGTGTGATGATGCTGGTGGGAAGCTTGAGAGGAGGAGCAGTAGTAAAGGGGAACGGAGTGGCAGCAAGGGGGGAGGAGGGAGGAGGAGCAGCAGGGAGAGGGGGAGGAAGGGGACGTGGACGAGTGGGGAGTGGGAGGTGTTTCAAGGGCCAGGGAGTGACGAGGAGGAAGAAGACGAGGAGCAGCGGCATGAGGGAGGGAAGGAGGGAGATTTGGGTCGTCAGGTTAGAGGGAGATCACCTGTCCCAAGACGAACGGCGTCCGTGACGTCAGCTGGGAGCAGCGTGACGTCAGCAGCGTCCAGAGGCAGTGGGATCAGGCGCAGAAGCAAGGGGGGTGGCAGCAGCAGAAGCAGGAGTGGCAGCCAGGGCAGGAGGGGGAGCAGGGGGGATTGTGATTCGAGGGGTGCGAAACAGGCTGGGAAGGTCGAGCGAGAAGAGAGAGGAGAGGAGGAAGAGGGGGGAAAAGAGGGGGGAAAGGAGGGGGGAAAAGAGGGGGGGAAAGAGGGGGGGAAAGAGGGGGGGAAAGAGGGGAGGAGAGAGAGCAGGGTGGTTGCAATGGAAAGCGAGTGGGGGTTGAAACCCAGGAGGCGACTCAACAACAGCAGGAGCAGCAGAGACAACAACCACAAGAGGCGCAGCAGGGGAGTAGACGAGGAGGAAGTGGGGGAGGAGGAGCAATCACCAGGTGGTCAAAATAAACAGACCAGGGGTGCAAGTGGGAGGGTGAGGAGAGGGGAGGGCAAGGGGTGGGGATGCAGTCCTGGCAGCACGCAGCAGGGCGAGCGGAGGAAGGGCAGGAAGGCCCGAGGCTCCCCTGTGGACGACGAAAACTCCCCCAGGTCGACCCGGTCAAACCGGTCAAACCAGTCAATGCAGTCAACCGAGGTGGTCAAGCAGATGATGCGGCAGCCAGCCTTTGGGTCCCTCTCTCCAGGTGGTGACGTGGCTGAAGGAGACTTGCTGGGGCTTGAGGCTCGGACCCCGAGCCTGGAGGCCAGGAGCCCGAGCCTGCCCCGGAGATCGCCGAGCCTGAAGAAGGAGAAGAGGGGCGGGAGGCGGGCTGGCGGGGCAGAGGCGGACGCAGCAGCGAGGGTGGGGGAGAGAGATGCGCAAGGCGGGGTTGGGGGTGGGGAAACGGACGGGGTTAGGTTTCAGTCGATTCTCTGCAAGAGCAAGTCGCCTATGGAAGCTTCCGAGACGCTGCAGGTTGCCGCAGGTGGGCATGGTGGTGGTGGTGCAGCAGCAGAGAGTGAGCTTGTGCCCGAGGTGGCTAGAGAAGGCACAGGTGATGCTTCTGATAGGGAGATGGCAGGGGACTCCCTTGGGTATACCGATCAGGGTGCTGGGGTAGGGATTCATGGGAAAGATGATGCAGCGAGGAAAGAGGAGAAGGCTGGTGAGTTGGGGAGGAGGGAAGAGGGCGGGGGAGAGATGGTGGAGGGTGAGGGGAAGAAGGAGAGGGCGTGGAGGAAGGAGAGTCCCTTCGGGAAGAGGAGGGCAACAGGAGTGGTGCAGGATTCAGAGCGACGGGAGCGCGGGGTGGATGGAGGGCGAGGGTTGGTGGAACGGGATGCCTATCAGGAGAAGGGGCACAGGGGCAGGAATCCGTTTTCAAGTGGGGATGAAGACATGAGCTTTGACGAGGGGGATGCAGGTGCGGGTTTGGATGCAAGGGCACCTGAGGGGCTAGAAACCGTGACATCGTTTTCAAAGAAAGGGGATGCCAGGGCTGCTGGGGTAGTACTAGGGGGCAGCTGGAGGCGTTAGACTATTGCATGTTGTTGAAAATGCAGGGTTATTAGATATGTTAACAGTATATAGTAATTGTATCACTTTGCTACGAATACAGGACAAGTATTTACTACAACTACATGGATTGGATTTCAAGAATGGTCATCTTTTGAGTTTGAATATGGGAACCATCTGTATTTTACTTGTGCTGTATGACGTTCTACAGTTGTGGTTTTTTTTAAGTGATTCAGCTCTTTTGACGAGGACACCTCCCACGAATCATGTGATGCGAAAGGTGGTGATTGTTGACTCGGTCAACCCCTGCGTCTCCAAACACCAACTCAGCCCCCTAGAGACGATTACCTGGGCGACTACCTGAGCGACTGTTCTCACTTGCGTATCTGTCGTGTAGAGGCAGACGAATAGGAGCGAACGAGGCGTTTTCTCGCACACTTGAAAGTAACGATACCGGAAGCTCCTGAACCCCTGAAGTACCTGCCCCCTCAACTATCGGCGCAGAGGACAGCGCAACTGCAACCAACCACTCGCAGCACATCTTCGTCATTCCTACTCGCTCTTCCATGTCGTTCACGAGTCGTGCATGGAGGGTTCCAACCAATAACATTCGAACGGGGCTGGTTGAAGGAAGTCGGTACCACGAACCTCTGCGACAGAAGGCCCCTGCCCGAGCCCAAAGCCGTCGAACCCTGATCGACCTTTCGATTCGCGCCAACACCGCACAGAGTTCCGCCGAAACCCCCCGACATGCGCATGACACCGAACAGAGTTCCGACATCGCCCCGAACCGAACTCTCCATTCCTCGACATCTGGTCTCGTCCCAAACCTGAAAGGTCGAATGAGCAGATGCGAGAGCAGGTGTTGGATATTCTGTCGCACTAGTCGCATGTCTAGTGCAACGTGCTCCTTCCACTCACCACTCCAGCCGAATCGAGTCGAGACATGTACCATGAGCGATTGCTGAGCCCCTCAAACGAGAACCGTCCACTGCAATCTTGTCCTCCTGTTTTGGACCTATCGAGAAACCTGACTATTTCTCACAACCTGCTATTTGGTCAACGCACCGCATCTCTTTTCTAGGACAGAAGACGTTGAATTCAAGCGAACTTACGAGTCGCTTTCTGCTCGATCTGCTTCCTGCAAGCGACTCCTTGTTTGGATAGCTTCTCATTTTCTTTCCGATACCGAGCGCGCTTCCGGATTACGGCAAGCGTCGCGATGGCGACGTTGTTGTCGTCGTCCCGTTCGCCGTTGCTCGCGTTTCTCGTCGTCGCTGTCCTCGTTCTCGCGTGCGCCTCTAGCGCGGCGTACGCGCAGTATTCGGGGAAGTTCGCCGTACGCGCTATAGAGAACGCGCTGCGGAAGAAGAGGCTGACGACGGCCATCACGTACTTCAGAAAAAGCGGTAAGGGCGTGTGGACCATCCCACGGACCAGTCTAATTATGGTCCACGTGCTGAGACGACTCGTCTCAAAGAATGTGGGGGCCCTCGAGGGACCGAAGTCCTTAGAAGGTCTTCACTGAGGCGCTTGGCAAGCGCCCCTCGTGTGCCCTTAGTGTCCTTTTTGCGGTGCCTCGGAATGAAAGCAACGGGTAGAGAGACGACTTTTGAGGCGCCTCAACAGACGGCTCCGTAGGGAGTCTTCACGTGCCCCTCGTGTGCCCACGAGCCGCTTCGTGCAAACCACATGCCGCTTCGTGCTCGCCGGATGCCTGAAACTGGCCAAGGCACGCGAGACCGATTGACGCGATGCTGATATTGGGTGAAACGTAGGGTTTCTTCACGGTAGTGGCTGCGGTATTGTCGGCGGCTACCGGTGCAATCATTTGGCTGACAGGCACGTCGAGTGCCGATACGACGGGACGCGTGCGAAAGGGCGAATCTGTAACCTCGGAAGGTCCTTCGCTGACGTACCGTTTTTCACAGCGTTGCTGCCCTACTGTTCATCCGTTCATCACCACTGAAAACCGCATCGTTGTGCCGTGGTTACCGAGTCTGCTTCCGACAACTTCCTCCTCCATGGCCTCGCTGTTATGTTCCGTGGCCTCTGCACTTTCTGTTACACCTTTTCAACACCATTTGGTGTGTGTGTGTGTGTGTGTGTGTGTGTGTGTGTGTGTGTGTGTGTTTTTTTTTTTGTTTTCCTCTTCTTCTTCTTCTTTCTAACCTCAGGTTTCAACAAAACTCTTGCGGAGAGGCTGCCCACGGGCAAGTATACGTTTCTGGTGCCAATCAACAGCGGGTGGAACAAGATGAGCACCTGGGCGCGCGGGCAGATCCGAAGCAACAACACGCGGCTCTGGCAAATCTTCGCTTATCATTTCATAAAGGAGCGGTACACCAAAGTCCAACTCGCGTGGTATCCGCCTGGAACTGAGGTCCGTGTTTTATTAATGACTTGATAATTGTTTTCGAAGTAATGTACCAATGTGCACCTCGCAGGGTTATCCGAGTGGCATTATTATGTTGTGATGCACTGATTCGCATGTTTTGTTTTATGGGAACACGATACAACTTGGTGAAGTCTGTCTTGTCATGTCACCTCCTGTATGCGTTAAATACTCATCCATGTATTCCCTACGCCCATTCACCAAAGTATCAGCTTTCCCATGCAGTCATGCTTCTCAGTTCTGAATGGTACCGTATGCTACATTCTTTCATGCTTGCACCTGTTCCATCCCTATTCCCTCCTCCCGTGTTGCTCTTAATGTGCAGCTACCAACGGGGATGGGGAAACAGGTCATCCGCCGCCTACCCACCAAGGACCCCCAGTATGCCAAGCCGGGGCAACATCGGGGAGCATATATCGAAATGGGTGAAATTTTCCAAGATGGCCATGTAATTGTGCATGGGGTCAACAACGTCCTCGTTCCTAATTTTAAGTGAGGTCTTTCAAATCTAGGTGTTTGCTTGATGTGGTTGGTTGGTGGGCCATCTTACAGAGCAGCTATGGTAACATGCAAGATTTTTGTATATTGGAGTGAGGTATCCTAACATACATTCAGGGAGCAATTTGTATTGTTAGATTGTGCCACCAATTCAGTGCACTGTACAGAGCACCCACATTGCAGCATGCAACATGAAGGGAATGTGACGATACCGGTACAAGGGCTGCAGTTTGGTAAATTCAGTTGTCCTGAGTAGTAATAAGCACCTAAATGAATTATTAAAATGTATATACGTTGTGTTGGATTTGACTCCTTGTAGTATTCGTTCATGATGTTGACGGTTGCGCTTGCAACGAACATAATAAACCTTCTACATCCTCACCGACATTCTGTTCAGGTGGTTGCATCAGGGGCGTGCGTTTCGATGTATTCCATCGTTACAAGCTGTCCAGTAAGCGAGTGAAATACCTGAGCCTGCCAATGAAGCCACGACAATGCGACTTCTGGTCAACTCTGTGCACACCTCCACCAACCAGCCTTCCGGAACGGAGCTGACGTTGCTGACACAGTCGGGAGTGCGACCCGTGAAACCAAAACTCATTCGGCCATTTTCAGGTGCATGCAGCTTAGTCGAGGCGCGTTATTCAGGTGCATGCCAGGTTGCGTACACTTTTCTCAGGTTAAACAATTTCTCCCGTAAATGAATACGCAGTTCAAGATTCGATAAAAATTGACACAAAAGGTCTGAAATAGATAACATTTCGGAATACGCAAATCGGAATCGGGATGATTGGCTTTCGATGCTGCATTTTCTGACGTAACTCAGTGCAATGATTGCATTTCTGCCCAGTTTCTACGCAATTTTTTGCTTCGCACCAAATCTTTTTGAACGGATTGTAATGCTAAATCGTTTGTACTGTTGGCGCAGGTGGCGGACGCTTCGCGGGTCAAATCAGCAAACTCTAGTGGGACGTGCATTGCTTGAAAAGGGTAGTCCGAAACACGATAAATATGACCGAGTGTTAAGAGTGAGTTACCCCTACCGCTATTAAGGATATATCGTATGTTACATGTATATTTAATGCCACGTAATTAAGGCCGTTGAATACCACCTATTTCAATATGCACGTACGGCAAACTTAGTTTGGTAGAGGCAAAATATACAAACACTCACGAAGGGTTTGCTGATTTGCGTCCGTCATCTGCGTCAAAAGTACAACAGATCTAGCATTAGATTCGTTCGAAATGAGTTGGTGCAAAGCAGAAATTTGCGTATAAATTGGACAAAATGCAATCATTGCACTGAGTTACGTCAGAAAATGCAGCATCGAGAGCCAACCATTCCGATTCCAATTTGCGTAGCCCGAAATTGCATCTATTTCAGACCTTTTGTGCCAATTTTAATCGAATCTTGAACTGCTTGTAAATTTACGAGAGACATTTTTTAACCTGAGAAAAGTGTAAGCAACCTGGCATGCACCTGAATAACGCGCCTCGACTAAGCTGCATGCACCTGAAAATGGCCGAAACTCATTTGTAACCGCACTTGCATCAGCTGACATGGATCTGATGCACAAATTGTTTGTAGTGTTCTCAGCACGTCGCGGCTTGTTCCGGGCGGTCTGACACGGCGCGAAAAGCGCTGCATGTTCCGAACCGACTTCACCATATGCACCCTCGGAATGCCTGGCTTGGCTGTTTATTGGACGAGCGTCGGTGGAGAAAGTATGGTTAAGAGAATTTATGTACGGTTTCAAACGGCGCGTTTTCATCCGCCACCAACCCACATCAGGCATGCGAGGTGACTCCCCTTGGAGCTGCTGGTACTACCCAACTCACCACCACCGTTGAAGCTTGGCACCACCGTGCCCCCACCGTCGTGAAATTTTTGGTCCTCCCACCCCGGAGTCCTGACTGATCAACAAGGAGCAACTCAGTAGACGACCCGCAGACAAGCACTTGGAGGTCAATCGAGAGAACACTGAGCATTAAGCGAGTTCCCTACTCCGTTTTTACTCGTTCTTTGAAACCAACATTCCTAGGGTAGTGCGCACGTCACAAGTTAACAACATCAATGTACAGTGCACACGTCTGACTACTACAATAACTCTTCAGACTCGTTATCGCAACTTCTAAGGCGCCTCAATGCCTTTTCCCCTGTAGAAATGGAGACGCGAAGGTTCATCGGTCCGGTGCTCCTGCTCGCGGTGTTGCTGCTCGGCGCTCTCGTCGCGGCGCGCGCGCAGTACTCTTCGGCGAACGCGCTGAAACAAATCGAGGCTGCTCTTCGGAGAAAGAAAATGACGACGACGATTACGTACATGAGGGAATGCGGTGAGTGCTGCACGTGGCCAATGCTGTCATGGCTTGGTGGTTTGTCCGCTCTTCTCACACGAGTCTCCCCGGGAAGCACGGCCCTCACGCTGAACGATTTCAAGGTTAACCCTGCCAAGTCGCAGCGTGATGTAACATTTCTATATCCGTTTCTCGTTTGTACCCCTCGTTCCAACCTGCCTCCATATGCTACTTTGCCCCATAGAATCACTGACATATTTTTCTTCCTTTCCTCATTTCCTTCTTTCCTTCCTTCTTTCCTTCCTTCTTTTCTTCCTTCTTTCCTTCCTTCTTGCCTTCTTCCGTTCTTTCCTTCCTTCCTGTGGTTGTGTTTCAGGATTCAACAACACTCTTGTAAAGAATCTGCCTACATCGCGTGCGACGCTGCTCCTGCCGATGAACACCGGGTGGAACAAGCTCAGCGCGTATACGCGAAACCTGATTCGCAAGGACCCCACCAAGATGTGGCAGGTGTTCGCGTACCACATGCTGGCGGGCCGTTACATGTATAAGGAGCTCGTTAAAATCCCCTACAACAAACTGGTGAGTGTATTTGTCAAAGCTCCAATTTACCTCGACCTCTCCTTGGAACCTTATTTTTTTTGGGATAGAATCGTCTCGTTTGACATGCGCGTTCTCCCAGTCAATTTCCCCTGGCCTCTAACCCCCTTCGCCCCTCCCCCCCCCCCCCCCCCCCCCCCCCCCCCCCACCCCCACCCCCACCCCCACCCCCCTCTTCCCCCACATCCCCCCACTCTCCCCTCCACCTCCGTGCTTTTCCATCCACCCTGTGATGTAGATTGGGACTGGCCATGGGGACTTCAAAGTCAGGCGGTTCCCGACAAAGCTCGCTCAATTTGGGAAACCGGGCACGCATGGTGGTGCCTATGTCAAGGTGAACAATGTGTATCAAGACCCCCACGTGGCAATACACGGTGTCAACAACGTTATGGTTCCCTTATTCACTGAGTAGCTCCATCCGCAATGGCAGTCCACTCTTTGGAACCAAACTGATTATGCGTGTTGCTGTACAAATGTTTGTTAGGGTATTCCTGTGTTGGTTTCTACCTAGTATACTAAAGCGCATGTTATACTAGTGATTCCCCTTAGCCCCACCTGGGAGTAGTGATTCCCCATTTGTTTTGATTTTTGTCCAGTGGCTGCCAAGGGTGGGCGCATGACGCACCAAACATGTGCAGAAAGCTGAAACCGAAGCTGGACATGGTGTGATGAAAGGTTCTATTGGTTGCATACATGCATGCCTTGTGTTTTGAGTCCCTTTGTTAGTCTGGATCCTGAAGTGCCCAACTAGTTAGCTGGTTCGCATCAGAAAGAGGAGATCCTGGGATCAAAACCCCCCTGCGGCGTATGCTGCCACTAAAAGGGCCTACACAGGTGCCCAAAGGGGGTGTAATACCAAAGGGGGTTTCCCCCCTTACCCTTTGTCAGTCTGGACCAGGGTTGGTGGTTGATTGTGGTATTTTAGTAAGTTCATAACAGAACCGAAAGGCCATCGAGGAGCAGCCCCTTTTCTGCTGCGCAGAGGAAACCCCCAGGATTAGGCCAGAATGATAATTGCAGGTACCGGTAGCACCACTCATGCTTTAGGTATGCACAGAATTTAGAATCTGAAGATACAAGTACGAACAAACCTGAAGTGAACCCACCGAAATTTGATCCCAACAGAATTTGATACTCAAGCATGGCACTAGTAAAATGCAGCATTAACATATAGAGCAGCAACTTATTGACCTCAACCTATAGGAGGTGAAATCTATACACCAGAAAAATAGTTCTGAAACGCGTTACTTGAACTTGGGTGGCATAATGACGGTGTCTACACCGTGGATTATCACTTGCGCATCCATGTAGACTGTCCAATCGACAATCGAGCCGTTGCTGGTGGAGGTTCCGATCATGATTTTTTTGCCAGCGGACTTGAGCTTCGTTTGGAGGTAGTTGTAGTCACCAGTACCGAACTGTAACAGCACAAGAAAGGAACACCGCAGACACATCAATTACAATCCACCGAAATGATTCAGTAGCGAAAAAAAAAAAGATCGCAAAAAAAAGCAAATAGATAGCCTACCGTTTTGCCCACAGCGTAACCCGTCATGGCTTTCTTCGTGTGGAGGTCGCCGAGCATGTTGAACGCAGCGATTTGGAATCCCGTGTGCGCGTTCTTTTTGATCGCCTCCCAGTTGCTGAGCTTGCCGAACGCTTTCGTCTGCCCCACCAGAAGCGTCACCTTGTACTTGGGCAGAATTGTGACGAGTGTGTTGTTGAATTCTGCATGCGGAAAATGAGGAAAGGAGAGGGGGTGAGGAGGGTGGGAGGAGAGAGGAGGAAGGAGGAGAGAGGAGGAATGAGGAGAGAGGAGGAAGGAGGAGAGAGGAGGAATGAGGAGAGAGGAGGAAGGAGGAGAGAGGAGGAATGAGGAGAGAGGAGGAATGAGGAGAGAGGAGGCGAGAGTACAAGAGAGAGGATGGAAGGGGTGAAGACGGCAGAGGGGGGGGAGAAGAGAGTGGAGGGGAGGGGGAGGAGAGCGGAGGGGAGGGGAGAAGATAGCAGAGGGGAGGGGAAAAGAGTGAAGGGGAGGAAGGGTGCAACATGGTGAGAAGTCTGAATAAGTAGCGAATGCTGCGTCTCGTGGCACAGGGGCAATGCTGTCAATGCGAAGGACTGAGTGACGGGTAGACGTGTGCAGAAACAAGCCGCGAGAGATTATGAGTCACTTGCCGGCTTTCAGAAGTGGCCAGAGTTAAAAAATGGCTTTCATAAGTTACATGACGGCTATTTAACTCTGGTACGGAACGAACTAGTAGGCCGCGCAAAAAGCTGATTTCGGATGCGCCTACAATGAAGTTGGCGAGTTGATGCGAGCTGTTTGTCAGACTTAACACCATTAGGTTTCAAAATCAGGGCTACGGTCATTCGAGCGAGGGTAAGTCAATCGAAACACAGCTTATAGGTGCCGCCAGCTCAAGTGTAACTCCACTGGAAATGACCTGCTGTCGAGTCGAGAGAAACACAGCTTTAAAATGCTGGTGTTGACCTCGACCTGTCGTGGCACTCACTGCCATTCTGCTTTGCAAAACGTCTTACAGAATACACAGGTAAACAGGTTTTGAATTCGACTTGACGTGCCACTTACTGCTTGTCTTCATAAGCGTGATGTAGGATTGGTAGTTTTTAGCTTTCAGCGCGGTTTCAATCTTTTTCAAGCCTGCCACCGCGTCGTACGCTGCCGCAACCGTTGACGCTAGCGAGACTAGCGCGATGCTTAGCAGTAGAAGTCGAACAGATCGGATCGCCATGTTGAAGTTTGGCGAGGGAGGCAAGGAAGACGCGTTGAGTTCGAAGCGACAGCAATCAGTATAAGATGAAGGAATGTTAGCCTGGAGGCACAATGGCTTGGAGCTTATCGAAAGAATTTGAGTAAGATTGAAAGCGTAGTGTTGTGGGAGAGGCTTTATTTTGAGGGATGTGGAGGTGACATGAGGGCAGAGCAAGCGTTCTTCGGTTTTACTCGGTTCGGCTAGTTTTGAGAAGGTGGTCTCTGTGTAGTGAAGTGAGTGATATGCCACCAAACCCATCACGTCGTGTACAGTGTGGCAATGCAAGTCACGTTGGGCAAGGGGAGATGACGCTCAGCCGCTTCAGCAGCACCGACGTGGGATCAGGCGGCTGGCGATTCGCTGGAGGTGGTGGGGCCATGGGGACAGGTGGGCTTGGCCAGGTGACTCCTCTGATAACCGTCCGTTTGCGCGATAGATGGAGAAAGAAACGCATCGACGGCACAGATCTGGTGGTCGGTCTCGTGCGGCTCGACACTGGGCATTTGCCCTGGCTGGTTGCACGCACCCACTCGCGGGCTATGGGTTGTAACGCGCCGACAGGTACGGTGTCCTCCTCAGGGGAAAATGCGGGATGTCCGGGCCAGGGCAGTCGGTTTGCCTGGGGTCAAACCTCAACAACCTGGGGATTTCTCGAAAAGTGCGGTCACGTGGAACCACGTTACGTTGCCGAGCCTCCAGCGCCGCTGCGGAGAAAAACCTTTTTTTTTGTAGTCAGCCTTTCTAAAGTTTGAAGGAAACGAGACATCTGTAGGTCTTATATGATTGAACTCCATTTCACTTTGCAGGCAATTGAAGCAAGTTTCAGGGTTGAACAACGAAGCCCTGATTGACGGAATTTGTATCCTTGCTACTAGCAGTCCTCTTTTCGGAGCGTGAAAAGGTAAGAAGTATTGTTATCGAACTCCAGTACACATACCCCTTCTTCCTCTCTTCCTACCCCCTTCCAAAACTGTCGACTCTTCTCTCCTCCGTCTGTTGCTGCCGGTCACACCCTTGTTTCCTCACCCCCTTGTATTTCAACCTTCACCACTCCAAGTCCCAATTTCCTTTCTCCCCTCCAGAAGCTAGCTCCCTAGCACCACCTCTCTCCCCTACTTTTCCGTTGTATCGCTCAGCGGGCCACCATGAGGTCAGTAAGCTCCACGAGTAGTCACGCTGGCAAATAGAAGTCTGTATTGGATGCCCGCAACTTTCTAGCTTTAGATCATGATGGCGATAGTCATTGTCTGGGGTGGTTTGCCCCACTCAGTTCGCCACTAGTTGGCCTATCAGTTTCGCTTAGTATATTTGTTTCCGAGCCGTTTCCCGTGGCGGTGAAAACACGTGCATATTCTCTTCGCCGAAAAAATTCTCATCTGGCGTTTTTTCTCGACCATGGTTCGGGCCTTCAACCTGCTCTCCTCGTGCCTCTTGCTCTCTGCGTCATGCTTCTCTGTCACGCCATCTCCCTAATTTCCTCCCTCACGCCGCAGTAAGCTGCAGAGCGACGTCCTGCGGGAGGCGATTCCGAACCTGCTGGTTATTTACTCTAATATTCTTCTCGTTACACTATTCCCTCGATCCTCCCCCTGCGCGCCGCAGTAAGCTGCAGAGCGACGTGCTGCGCGAGGCGATCTCGAACCTGCTGGCGGCGTCGCGCGAGAAGAACCGCAAGTTCTCGGAGACGATCGAGCTGCAGATCGGGCTCAAGAACTACGACCCGCAGAAGGACAAGCGTTTCAGCGGCTCCGTCAAGCTGCCGCACGTCCCGCGACCCAAGTACCGAGTGTGCATGCTCGGAGATGCCCAGCACGTCGAGGAGGTGTGTGCGGCTTGTTTTGGAGTAGTGTACACGACATAGTTGATTTCATTAACGGTCGGTTCAAGTACCGAGTGTGCATGCTCGGAGTGCCAGCACGTCGAGGAGGTGTGTGCGGCTTGTTTTGGAGTAGTGTATACGACGTAGCTGATTACATAAATGGTCGGTTCAAGTACCACGTGTGCATGCTCGGAGATGCCCAGCACGTCGAGGAGGTGCGTGTGGCTTGTTTTGGAGTAGTGTATACGACGTAGTTTATTACATAAATGGTCGGTTCAAGTACCGCGTGTGCATGCTGGAAGATGCCCAGCACGTCTAGGAGGTGCGTGCGGCTTGTTTTGGAGTAGTGTATACGACGTAGCTGATTACATAGAAGGTTGGTTCAAGTACCGCGTGTGCATGCTGTGAGATGCCCAGCAAGTCGAGGAGGTGCGTGTGGCTAGTCATGAGTTCGTTTATAAGACGTAGTTTGATTACATTAAGATCGGTCCAGGTATGGCGTGTGAGTGTTGGGTGATGCTCAGCACGTCGAGGAGGTGGCGTGCTGTGGGGTAGTTTATATGCTGTAGTTCGACTACATAAGGTGTCGGTTCTAGCACCGCGAGTGCATGCATGCCCGGAGATGCGCAGCTCATGTTGAGGTAGATAGATTTGACAAGTTGTCGGAATGTGTTATTGGACGTAGTTCGATTACGCAAGGGGTCCGTCTAATCGAAAAAATGCGAACGTTCTTGGTTGTTGAGGCTCGTCGTCCTCGTTTTCCTGTTCGAAATTCTCAACAGGCGGAGAAAGATCAGTCTGGACTGCATGGGCGTGGAGGCGCTGAAGAAGATGAACAAGAACAAGAAGCTCGTGAAGAAGTGTTGGCGAAGAGAGTTGACGAAGAGCGCTAGCGAAAAAGCTTGCGACGTAACACGCATTTTATTTTCCCTTCGCCTATCTCCCTTCGCCAGGCGGAGAAGATCAGTCTGGACTGCATGGGCGTGGAGGCGCTGAAGAAGATGAACAAGAACAAGAAGCTCGTGAAGAAGCTCGCCAAGAAGTACCACGCGTTCCTGGCGTCCGAGGCCATCATCAAACAGATCCCCAGGCTGCTCGGCCCCGGTCTGAACAAGGCCGGCAAGTTCCCCACGCTCGTCACCCACCACGAGCCGCTGGAGAGCAAGGTGAGGGAGGGTTTTGTACGCGGTATGAGGCTAGGGTTTGGGATTCGTTAAGAGGTATCGCGTGTTCCTGGCGTCCAAGGCCATCATCAAGCAGATCCCCAGGCTGCTCGGCCCCGGTCTGAACAAGGCCGGCAAGTTCCCCACGCTCGTCACCCACCACAAGCCCCTCGAGAGCAAGGTGAGGGCTTAGTACGCGGTATAAGACTAGGGTTTGGGATTCGAAGAGACTGCGTGTGGCGTCGGTGCCCATCATCAAGCAGATCCACAGGCCGATCAGGTGCTCAGGTTTCCTGTTTTCTTTCCGGCTTGAGTCTTACGCTTCTGTTGCTGCTAAATTCCCAGTATTCTCTTGTTGCGTTTCCCCTTGCTGTCGCCAGTTGTTGGAGGCGAAGTCAGTTTCAGCTGAAGAAGGTGCCGTGCATGGGCTTGGCGGTATGCTCATCGCATCTCCCCTTCCCCTCTCCCCCTTGCGCTTCCCGTCCGCCCTCGTTCCCCCTCCCCCCCCCCTTCCCCACCCCAGTTGCTGGAGGCGAAGTCGACGATTAAGTTTCAGCTGAAGAAGGTGCTGTGCATGGGCGTGGCGGTGGGCAACTGCGACATGGAGGAGAAGCAGATCTTCCAGAACGTGCAGCTCTCCGTCAACTTCCTCGTCTCGCTGCTCAAGAAGAACTGGCAGAACGTACGTACGCGATAGTAGCTCTGTGCTCCGTGGGTTCGTTACAAGGTATAGTTTTGTTGAGATTTCTAGAACGTGCAGCTCTCCGTCAACTTCCTCATCTCGCTGCTCAAGAAGAACTGGCAGAACGTAGGTTGTTTGTGGTCATCTTAGGTCATTTTTAACCTACGTTTTTTCAGTTTGCGAGCAGTTTGTTTTTTACTCCATCCTATCCTGATTTTCTCTTGTTTAGCTCGTCCCACTGTCTCAATGGTTTCCCGCTCTCCGCCCCCCACCTTGTCCCTCTTCCTCCCGCGCCCTCACAGGTCAAGTCGCTGTACATCAAGAGCACCATGGGCAAGCCCCTCCGCATCTACTAAGCGCACTGATCGCCGCTTAATCGCCTCTTAGTTGCCTTGCTGATGTGGCTGTTGTTGTCCTTGTCCGGCCGATTTTGGCCCTTTTCTGGTAATGCACGAACTTCGGGCGCAATCTGTGTTCTCTCATTGGCTGCCAAGCTGGTAACCCTACTCCGTAGGGTGGTAACCATGCGCGGCTGTTTGAGTCTCTAAAGCAACTCGCTTTAGTGCACACCACCAAGGCAATAACGGGTACAGGGATTGGCGCATCCAAGGGTTGATGGGAGAGCGAGGAGGGAAGAGAAGGGGAACGGGATGGTGGGGGTGTGAGGGAGTGTTGATGGGCCTCGGGGGGGATTTTTCCTTCCACTGTCCTATCCACACATCCTCATCTCCCCTCCACTTCGTTCCCTTTCTCTTACCCTTTCTCCTCTCGCCCGTCACCCTTGTTATGCCTCACCTTATACCTCGGGATTGTCGTTGGGAGCCCACTAGTCTCGTGACCTCCTTCCCTTCAATCCTCCCTTCCCCACCATTCCTCCCTTCCCCTTCCCCCTCCTCCCTCCTCCATCTCCTCCCTTGCCCTCCTCCCTTACCTCGCTTATTCCCTCCCTTCCCTCCTCCCTGTCCTCTCACTTCAGTCCCCCCTTCTCGACCTTCCTTGTTCTCCCTCTTGCCTTCCCTTCCCTCCTTCCCGCTCTCTACTCCCCATCCCCATATTGCATCTCCTCTCCACCCTCGGAAGATGCTCTTGTATCGCCTCCATTCCATTTTTTCCCTGCTGCACCTGTATTTTTGGGTGCCATCTTCATGGTTTTCCAGCGTCGTCATCATCGGTTATGAGTGGATGGAGTGTGTATAGAGCATATGGTTGTCATTCGTGTACATTCATGTACCATGCATTGTCCGTTGTGTGTGTACCATGCGTTGTCCGTTGTGTGTGTACCATGCGTTGTCCGTTGTGTGTGTACCATGCATTGTCCGTTGTGTGTGTACCACGCATTGTCCGTTGTGTGTGGACCATGCATTGTTCGTTGTGTGTGCACCATGCATTGTCCGTTATGCGCGTACGAAGCGCTTGTTTTGTGTATGCCATGCATTAGTGTGTTTATCACGCATTTTGTAGGTTGTGTGTGTACCATGCATTTGTTGGTTGTGTGAACCATACACATGTCTGATTGTTCGAAAATATACCCTGATGCAGGGCTCAGGTTATCAGTGTAATTTACCCTTCTACACTGATTACAAGGGTGAAATTTTGGGTCTACACTGATGTGCTGGGGTATGTTTTTGGAGAATTAGTGTTACACTGATCTGTAAGTGTATCGACATAGGCCACACTGATGCCTTGGGGTAAATTTTCCCTTAGCGAAGATTACACTGAAGAGCGTACAGGGACCCGCCCCCCCCCCCCTTCGCCCCGAAATTTGTCAGATCGCGGTTCCCTCACGGAAGTACCGAGGATTTCTTCCGTGCAGTACGTACATAGGCCGTAGTCACGCGTCCCATTGGTCTGTTAGGAATGCTTCCCTTGCCAGCACGCCGAGAAACCGAACACTACAACAACTACAGCAACTCTTGGTGCTATTCGCGTCACCCACCGAGGCGACCATGGTGCTGTTTGGATGCATTGCCGTGTTGGTTCAGCAAGCTCGTCAAGCAGTTGCGCCACACACCGCCATTCTTCCACCCCCCAAATTACTAGTTGTTTGTGTCGAAAAAAAACCACACTGGTGATGCAGGGTAAAAAAATTTAAAACCTGATGTTACGCTGCTTTATCAGCGTGACAGAAAAGTACACACTGCCCATAAGGGTTTTTGAAAAAAGCTACGCTGCCAATTATGAGTAAGCCAAATCCAAACCTGAGCATCAGTGATGCATATACCTGCCATGAATAATGTTATCCACAATACATGTGTATGTGCCATCGCCAATGTACATACTGTTGCCCATCCAGATGTGTATGTTACCATCCTCCTCTGGTTCCGGTGAAATGTAATCTCAAATAGCGGAAGTGATGAGAATCTGGGCTGAATAATCTTGTGCTGGTTTAGTGCGATGAAGAATGATGTGTTAAACTGTATTATGTTGGTAGGCTGTAGTGGGGTAGCCAATATGGGGTACAACCCCAACTAGGGTTTGCTACTTGTACCCAATTCTTCCATTCAATGCATCATTCTTGCCTAGTTCTTCTGAAATGGTATTCAGAGCAGGAGGTCCCTAGGACCTACCGACCGTTTTTTTTTAAGGGCCCACCACCGCTCGCATGCGGTTACCACGCTACCCCGTGCCCTAGCCTCGTAGCGCCCTCGTGCGCCCTCGTTAGCGCCCTCGTGCGCCCTCGTTAGTGCCCTCGTGCGCCCTCGTTAGTGCCCTCGCGCGCCCTCGTTAGCGCCCTCGCGCGCCCTCGTTAGCGCCCTCGCGCGCCCCTCGCAGCGTCGCCCGCCCGCCGAGCCGCCCGCTCGCAGCGTCGCCCGCCCGCCCGCTGCCCGCTTCGCAGCGTCGCCCGCCCGCCGTGCTGCCCGCTCGCAGCGTCGCCCGCCCGCCTCGCTGCCCGCTTGCAGCGTCGCCCGCCCGCCCGCTGCCCGCTTCGCAGCCCGCCCGCCGCGCTGCCCGCTCGCAGCGTCGCCCGCCCGCCCGCTGCCCGCTTGCAGCGTCGCCCGCCCGCCCGCTGCCCGCTTCGCAGCCCGCCCGCCGCGCTGCCCGCTCGCCGCGTCGCCCGCCCGCCCCGCTGCCCGCTTCGCAGCCCGCCCGCCGCACTTCCCGCCTGCAGCGCCGCCTGCCCGCCGCGCTGCCCGCTTCGTAGCCCGCCCCCCGCACTGCCCGCTCGCCGAGTCGCCCGCCCGCCGCGCTTCCCGCCGAGCTACCTACCTGCAGCACTGCGGCAGCTTCCTTGCTCAGTCGCACTGTCACTATGGCTTCCATCCGCGTGCTGTCGTTCGATACTGAGGGCCGCCCTGTGAAGTTCGCCACTTGGCTGGATGACCTGCAGCTGTTCCTTCTGAGCGATAGCAAGGAGCATGTGTCGCTCTATGATTACGCGTCTGGTGCTGCACCTGCCCCTCCTGCCACAGCTGAGCTTAGTGTTCGTTCCCACTGGCAGACTCGTGACGCAGCTGCTCGCCTAGCCATTCGCAGTCACCTCCCGCTAGCTGAGCTCGAGCATTTTGGCGACTGCAAATCCGCTAAGGCCCTGTACGATGCTGTCGTTGCTCGCTACTCCTCGCCTGCCACAGCCGAGCTTAGCCGCCTCATGCTGCCGTACCTGTTCCCTGAGCTGTCCACCTTTGCTACAGTCGCCGATCTTATCACCCACCTTCGCACTAGTGATGCTCGCCTGCGTGCTGCCCTTCCCACCGAGTTCTGCGCTAAGAACCCCCCTCCACTGTACTGGACACTCCACTTCATAGTCACCCGTCTCCCTGACACCCTCAGCTCAGTTCGAGACCACTTCCTTGCTCGCTGTCCCACTGAGCTCACAGTCGCCCTCCTAGAGGAGCAGCTGCTAGCGGCCGAAAAGAGCATTGTAGCTGTCGGTGCTGCTCGTGGCGCTCCTCGCACCCCCATCTTTGAGGGGTGTTCTCCCTCTCCCCTCGCTCCCTCCTACGCTACTGCTGCTGCTGTTGACTTCCTTGGTGCTGAGTCTGCTGGCGCTGCTTCTGCTCCTGGTGGGAGGCGCCGCACCGGCAAGGGCAAGGGGGGCAAGGGTGGCGGGGGTGGCGCTGGGGGGGGAGGAGGTGGGGGAGGTGGGGGGGGAGGCGGTGCTGGAGGGAGCGGTGGCGGGAGTGCTGGTGGGAGTGGGGTCGGCAGCGGAGGCGGGGGCGGCGGAGGGAGCGGTGGCGGTGGTGGCGGCGGCGGCGGTGGCGGCGGCGGCGGCGGTGGCGGCGGCGGCGGTGGCGGCGGCGGCGGTGGCGGTCGGAGCGGAGGTAGTGGTGGTGGCGGAGGTCAAAGTGGAGGCACTGGCTCGGGCCAGAGCTCCCAGCAGCAGCAGCGTCCCCAGACGACCCAGCAGCTTCGTGAGTGGCTTGCTCAGCGTGGGACGTCGGGGGGCAGTGGCCGCTGTTCCTATGTCATTCGCACAGGTGATCGCAAGGGGCAGAAGTACCCTTGATGAGAAATTGATTCTACCGAAATTAGCCATGTACAGAACTGTATCTGCACTGGTGGGACTTCGCCTCAGAGCGTGTTCCTACGCTCTCATTAGGCAAACCTCTTATCAACCTTGCCTGGTAAGTAGCGAGGGCTTACGGGTTTAGGGAATTTTTAGTGTGTTTTGCCGCGAGTGTTAAAGAGGTTGGCCTATAAGGGGCCATAGCAACATGCCCTTAGAATTTACGTCTAACCACACTCTTGTCTTGCAATGCAACCAGCAGAAATATATAAAACCATGAGTTGAGTAGTACGGTTCTTATGTCATGCATGCTCTGTGTCAAATGTTGTAGCCTATAGTGAGGTTTGTCTTAAGGGGTACAAAACTTAGGGTTAGCTATTTGTACCCCAACCAACATCAATGCATCATCCATTCTTCATTTTGACATGGTATCAGTTAGGTTAGGATCCTGTGGGATCCCGTTCCTCCGTTCTCCGTTCGAGCCTCCCGAGCCTGATCCTAGCTCTCATTCGTCCCGGTTCCGTTGTTACCGCGCGTAGTGCCGCGCCTAGCGCCACTCCTAGCGTCGCGTCCTGCCCGCCCTTTCCCCCTCGTCGCGTCCCTTTCCCCCCGTCGCGTTGCGCTCTTTCCCCCCAGCGGAGTCGCGCCCCCCTCTTCCCCCCGTCGCGTCGCGCCCTTTCCCCCTCGTCGCGTCCCTTTCCCCCCGTCGCGTCGCGCCCTTTCCCCCCGTCACGTCGCCCTGCCCCGTCCCGTCGCCCTGCCCCGTCGCGTCGCCCTGCCCCGTCCCGTCGCCCTGCCCCGTCGCGTCGCCCTTCCCCGTCCCGTCCCCCTGCCCCCTTGCGTCGCCCTGCCCCGTCGCGTCGCCCTTCCCCGTCCCGTCGCCCTGCCCCGTCGCGTCGCCCTGCCCCG